AAAAGTTTACTTTGTGTACTTGTGTCTCTTCTGATCCGAGCTATGATTAACACGATGCAATGACAAGGAAAAGGGAAGATAGAGTCGCGTAGAGAGGGAGCTGAAATCTTTGCATTTCCATCCAAAATAGATGCTCGACACGAACAAATTTATCAAAATGAGGAAATGGGGATTCAACATGTGAAGCCCGGTTAACATCCATTCCGCAAATGGAATATGAATGATATATCTATCACGGCTAGACCATCCACGATGAGCTGAGCTACACGTTTTCCGAGTAAGCCACCCAACGGCGTCCCAACCCACACCAGGGGAATAAATACACATAACCCATTCCGAACTGATGAATGTCACCCTTAAAGCCACACACAATCCCATTCGACGTGAACCGGATATACTAATCCACCTCGGCTTCAAAATTGGTACGACCAACCATCACAAGAAAACATCTGCTGGAATAAAAAAAAGAAAGGAAGAAAAAAAAAGGAAAACCAACCAAAAAAAGAAAGCGAAATTACATGTAAAACAAAACTTATAGAAGAGGAGATTATGTCAAAAATCAGAAAGACCCAAAAAATCAAAGTCGACCATCCTGGGACTCGAACCCAGAGCCTTTACCACCGGAAAGTAACGCGCTACCGTTGCGCCAAACGGCCATTGTTGTATAATTAACTTGAAGCTATAGCCTACATAGGGCGTTTACCAAAATGTGGGGTACAAGTCTAACTAACCATCGATTCCTAAACAACAATCACTACGTATGTATCACCAGGAGCAACACCAGCACCAACACCAATCGATCAGCCACAGCCACTCTGTTCGTATGCACAAGTTCTACCCTGGCCTATTACATTAACAACTTAAACAAACTGGAATAACCCAAGAAAGCCTACGATAGTTTTGCTGCACAGCTATATATAAGTGGAGATGAACAACCAGATGCGTATTGGATGTACCTATCTACCTAGTATACATAGATCGAAATGGATGGCAATTCCTACCTCTACCTGAGCTGGTGATGCTTCGTCGACTGCACTCATCGCACAGTAACACGCAAAGAATATCGAGATATACCTACATACGTGATACACTGAAAAAGCCTCAAGTAAGCTCTTCTTAATCTTATAGTCGCAGCCATTCGCATCGAGTTTCATGTGGTCAGTGTCGGGTTCACATCCCCATCGTCAACTTTCTACATTGAAGTGAAGTCTCGTTTACCCCCCTTCGTGCGCTGAGAATGCGAGCGTAGTTGTCAATAACCTCACCGACCTTGACTTTCTTAAAAGCCCTTAATTCGGCGTCCTCTCTGTTCTTTGCGAGGCATAACCCACCCCGTGACCATCACATCGCTTTAGTACACCCGTCGGACGACATAACATCTTTTGTCCGTTGCGCCCCTTCCTTCTTCATCAGTCAACGCATCCCACTCACTGGAGATGCTTCGTTGGAACAGGCACGAATCCAGTGTTTAAATGAAAGAGATGCTGAAGAAATGTAATTTCCTTGCTAAAGTGTCGTTCTGTGTCAACCGCAGCGTCAGGTAGATCGGTCAGTATAGGGCTGTACCGTACGCTCAATACCACTTCGTAAGTAGCTTCAAGATATCATAGAGACTTCCACACCTTTACACCAGAAGTCGCAAGCAATGTTCACTGCATACACACCATGTCATATTTCACCACTTTAAGTTGCTTGTTTTTCATCCATTGCATTCATGCTCTACCTCAAGACCAGACCAAACCATATGTTGTCATAGACTAAAGTACAGAGCCGGGGAATCTGAAAATTATGGAAAAGGCAAAAGATGCAGAAGGGTAACAAAATGCCCGTCAGTAAAACGAAAACCCAAACTCCGTCCCAAAACCTTTTTCATTAAACTTTTGTAGTCATGAAATCGTTTAGTCAACCTCCTCCATGGCGGAGTCGCCAGTCTCGGCGGCGGGAGTACCCTCAGCGGCAGCGGGGGCATCGGCAGCAGCCTCAGGCTCCTCATCGAGGTTGAGGCCGAGGGAGACGAGCTTGTGGATGCGCTCGGCGAAGCTGGCGGGCTCCTCAATGGTGAAGCCGGAGACGAGGAGAGAGGTCTCGTAGAGAAGCTGGACGATGGACTTGACAGTCTTGTCGTTCTCACCATCAGTCTCAACCTTCTTCTTGAGCTCCTTGATGATGGGGCTCTTGGGCGAGATCTCGAAGGTCTTCTTGGAAGACATGTAGCTGGACATGGAGGTGTCACGGAGAGCCTGGGCCTTCATGATACGCTCCATGTTGGCGGACCAGCCGAACTGGCCAGTACGGATGGCGCAAGGAGAGCCGACGAGCTTGTGAGAGACGACGACCTTCTCGACCTTGTCACCGAGAATGTTCTTGAGGGCCTTGCAGAGATCCTCGTACTCCTTCTCCTCCTGCTCACGCTGCTTCTTCTCCTCCTCGGTCTCCTCGAGCTCGAAGTCCTTGGTGATGTCGACAAGCTTCTTGCCCTCGAACTCCTTGAGCTGAGTCATGGCGTACTCATCAATGGGGTCGACAAGGAAGAGAACCTCGAAGCCCTTCTCCTTGAGGGCGTCAAGGAAGGGAGACTTGGAGACAGCCTTGATGGACTCGCCAGTGATGTAGTAGATGTTCTTCTGGTGCTCGGGCATGCGAGCAACGTAGTCGGAGAGAGAGGTCATCTCGTCACCAGACTTGGTGGAGTGGTAGCGGAGGAGCTTGGCAAGGGCGCTGCGGTTCTGGGCATCCTCGTGGATACCAAGCTTGATGTTCTTGGAGAAGGCAGAGTAGAACTTGTCGAACTGCTCCTTGTCCTCAGCAATCTCGTTGAAGAGCTCGATAGACTTCTTGACGATGTTCTTCTTGATGACCTTCATGATCTTGTTCTGCTGGAGAGTCTCACGAGACAGGTTGAGGGGGAGATCCTCAGAGTCGACAACACCCTTGATGAAGCTGAGCCACTCGGGGACGAGGTCGGTAGCATCGTCGGTGATGAAGACGCGGCGGACGTAGAGCTTGATGTTGCTCTTGGTCTTCTTCGTCTCGAAGAGGTCGAAGGGAGCGCGCTTGGGAACGAAGAGGATGGCGCGGAACTCGAGCTGACCCTCAACGGAGAAGTGCTTGACAGCGAGGTGGTCCTCCCAGTCGTTGGAGAGGGACTTGTAGAAGGCAGCGTACTCCTCCTGGGTGATGTCCTGGGGGTTGCGAGTCCAGATGGGCTTCTGCTTGTTGAGCTCCTCCTCCTCGATCTTGGTCTCCTTGATCTTCTTGACCTTCTTCTCCTTCTTCTTTTCCTCCTCCTCTTCATCAACCTCCTCGATCTTGGGCTTCTTGTCGTCGCCCTCCTCGGTTACCTCCTCGGCCTCCTCGTCAGGAATCTCCTTCTCGATCTCCTTCTGGACGTGGAGGTAGATGGGGTAGGAGATGAACTCGGAGTGCTTCTTGACGACCTCCTTGATCCTGCTCTCGTTGAGGTAGTCAAGCTGCTCCTCCTTGAGGTGGAGGATGATCTTGGTACCGCGGCCAAGGGGCTCGCCCTCGGTGTCAGGTCTGATGGTGAAGGTACCACCAGCCGAAGACTCCCAGATGTACTGCTCGTCATCGTTGTGCTTGGAGACGACGGTAACTCTGTCGGCAACAAGGTAGGCAGAGTAGAAACCAACACCGAACTGACCGATCATGGAGATATCGGCACCAGCGGTGAGGGCCTCCATGAACTGCTTAGTACCGGAGCGGGCAATGGTACCAAGGTTGTTGACGAGGTCCTGAGCGTATTCAGTCAGCGCATCGTCACTTTCACAAGGCCTAGATTGATTCGAGGCAAACTTACAGCCTTGGTCATACCGATACCGGTATCGCGGATGGTGAGGGTCTTGTTCGCCTTGTCGGGGATGATGTCGATGCGGAGATCCTTGCAGGAGTCCAGCTTGCTGGGGTCCGACAGGGACTCATAGCGGATCTTGTCGAGAGCATCGGAGGCGTTGGAGATAAGCTCACGAAGGAAGATCTCCTTGTTGGAGTAAACAGTGTTGATGATGAGGGAGAGAAGCTGAGAGATCTCAGCCTGGAACTCGAAAGTCTCGGCGGCCGCCATGTTGGGCAGATTTGTGGGTGAAATGTGTGGGTATCTAGAGCAGGGTCTGTTAGCGCACACGTCCTGTAAAGGTGCTGCGACTTTATATGTACACGATGGTTTATCTGCAACGAAAGCGAGCAGGTGAAGGTTGTTGTCCTTAATAATTGGTGACGGAGGGGAGTGAGGGAGCGAGCATAAGACGAGGCTGAAGCGGGGGAGGGGGAGAAGGAGGGGCAGTCACCAGAAACCAAAAGAGAGGCACTGGGCAGCGGGTGAACCTACCAAAAAGAGATGCAAAGAAAAAGCGCTAGTAGTGTTCTGCTCCTCCAGAAAAAGAGAGGATACTGCTGCAGGCACGAGTCGAGAGAGGAAAGAGGAAAGTTGAGATTGGATTGGGAAGACTGAGGAACGAAGGGAAGAGCGAGAGAGGAAGAGGGCAGCAGTGGCATCTAAAATGTTCTTGCGGCGGCCCCTGGGTCCTGGCTGTTGCCAGCAACAGAATTCGATGAGATTCTATCGTCCAGAATTCCATGGCCTTCCTCTGATTCGTTTGCGGCCGTTGCTTGCTATCCCCACATAGCCAAATCATGCCATTTGATTGGCTGGAGGTCCGCAAGCAGAGCGCGTCTTGGCTTCCTTGCGCTTCTCTCAAGAGGCTGCAGGAGCTACCCCAGCTCGAACCCCGTCCAAATCGCTCCGCTGAGGGGCAGGACCCTCTTCCATCCGCATTCCTCAGCTGTTGCTCCCCTATCGTTGCCATTGCCCCCCCCTATCAGCATTGGGAACTAAAATGACTCCAGAAATTGCACCATGATTCTGGATCTCCAAAGAAAGCTGGAGGCGAGTCGAGATGGCAGGTGTAAAACATCCAATCAACTCCAATCACCGGGTTCAGGAGGGGCACCTTCACATCTGGAGCCTTCTCCATTCCATCAACATGATCTACGGATGCCTCCTGCATCCCGCGATTGGGCAGCCAATGGGCAGAACGATCCAGAATCATCGAGGCACCTGTTTGTCGTGTAGTCATGGCAAGGCTGAACGATGGGAGCCCAGGCACCCCACGATCCGTCGACAACGTGCCCTCGGTGCTGCGCGTGCTAACGTCCCGACCCGTCGTCCACGATTGACCAGCCACCTAGATTTGGAGATCGAGTTTGAGATTCTGCCTGTTTCAAGAAGCCTCTGTGATTGTGGTTCTCTGCACTAGTGTATGCGCATGGGGAGGTTCATCGGATTCGGCGAGGTCTCGACCGCTGCCATTGCGGCCAGGTATGATGGACTCGGCGTTCGTCTCTTTGTCGACCTCGCATGATCGTATCACGTCGTCTCAATCCACACATGTTTTTCGCCAACTTCCATAGCACTTGGCAGTGTGGCCTTGTTGAGCCTGGCCATTTATAGGTTGCTGGTGTCCTCTTTTTGCTCGGTTGTCTCTTCATTCCTATTTCATACAACCATGATACTTCAGTCCTCTGACCCTTTTGCAAAGTTCTAATCAGCAATGCTCGAGTCCCCATGCCCATCTGTGGCATGCTCAACGTCGATGTCTCTTTGTCCAGGCTTGCTGTTTTGTTCTCGTTTTGGATCGCCACATCTCGGCAAGGGAATGACCCCTAGGTCCCGAGACTGAGGTGGCTGCTATACTCGGTCTTCAACATGGACCTCACTCAACCAAGGATTATTTATTGACTTACCTTTAGCAAGATGCTGAATGGGATGCTGATTTGAAGACCCAAAGATCAACTAATGCGAATCCAGAAAACATCATCACGTACCTCGCCATTTGACCTGTATCATATTCGACGGCACAAAGCTCCAGAGTGCAGCACGGCTTGTCACAACCACCACAACCACCACCACCACCACAACTTAGATCCATCGGTCGAATATTTAACCGAGAAAGTGTTATCCGAGCCCTTCTCTACCTGAGACTCCCCTCATGTAATTAACATGCTCTGACCCGATCAACATGCGTGGTCGGAGGCGCAATACAACGTGCAAGCTCCATGCAGGTTGAATGGATGAAGGGAGGAGATATGACGGGAGCCCTGCACAGCGCCCCATAATGTTATGCCAAGAAGAACCCTTGCTCCTCAATGCCCCTCCATGGTTCGTGACGAGCTCTCTCGGGCTGGCAGGTACGCAGGGCAAGCTCACATTGCATTACTTGCACAGCAGCTGCAGCACTGCAGCCCTGACCCCACGGCAACAGGCGCTGGCAAGAAGAGTTGTGAGATCATTCTGAGCCGTTGATGATGGGATTTTCCCGTCTGATCGGTGTTGAGTCCGGCGAGTAAAAGCTTAATAATGTGTGAACCAGGACGGTCCGGTTGGGAGCTCCGTGCGTGGGGCTTCAACCCACACAAGTAAGCTCTTTGAGAGGTTTATTACCTCTAGATACCTCTACCTAGGTTTCAAGAGGTCGAGGTCAAGCAACCTCGAGGTCGGAAAAGAACGCTGTTGGTTCCGTTTTCCAGCAGTTAGTTTGCTTATACACAAACGTGCCGACCCGCGCTGTGCTGATTCTGGCATTCAGTGATCTCCCTGTACATATTCCCTGATTCCCGTTCCCAGCTTGGAAGGCTCACTGCAGGATCGCTTTGCCTCCTGCCCTCCTTGCTCGTTCTGCCCCTCTCTTTCGTCCCCTTCCACTCAACAGGTTCACCAATCTAATTACGCCATGAACGGGATAAAGCTTGCGCCCCACCGCCTCAGGGTCGTCGCTCCTCGTCTTTCCCTCCTCCGCCCCTCGTTCCTCTTTTCTGTGCCCAAGACTCTGAACTCTTTCCCGTACACCACTCCCCAAACAAACTCAAAACACAACTTCACCACCACATCCAGCAAGATGACTATTCCCCAGCTTGACGGTCTTCAGATCGAGGTCCAGCAGGAGGGCCAGGGCACCCGTGAGACCCGTCGCGGTAAGTGTAACCACCTCAGTTGTACCTGGAGCTAGGTCTAGCTCTGGTGTGCAATTTTCCGCTTCTGCCTTGACGCCCCGTCTGAATCTGGCCCTCATTGCACATATCTGAATTTGAGCGCCATACATTGAGCCCTTTGCACTACGCAAACCAGCAAGCGAGCGCCTCAAGTGTGAAGTAAACGTGCTGACTTAATCTCTCCCATCAGGCGACAACGTTGACGTCCACTACAAGGGTGTCCTCACCAGCGGCAAGAAGTTCGACGCTAGCTACGACCGTGGCGAGCCTCTCAACTTCACCGTTGGCCAGGGCCAGGTCATCAAGGGCTGGGATGAGGGTCTCCTCGGCATGAAGATTGGCGAGAAGCGCAAGCTCACTATCGCCCCTCACCTCGCCTACGGCAACCGCGCTGTCGGTGGCATCATCCCCGCCAACTCCACCCTCATCTTCGAGACCGAGCTCGTCGGTATCAAGGGTGTCCAGAAGGGCGAGTAAATGTATCACTCAAACATGCATCTATAGCTCTGGGATACAGGCGGATTAACGGTTCAATGGAAGATCATTTTCGGCGTTATGTCTCTTACCGGTGCTGACTCGCCCTGAGCGCTTCTCGAGTCGCGATTGGGGCTGGAAAGACACTATTTGAGGGTCATATTTAGGGAGGAAACGTTCGCATAAAACAGACCGCGTTGGCTGCCTACCTACTTGCTTTGCAATCCTCCGAGTGCCCCTAGTGATGAGTACAGGCCGCCCATGCCGTATTGGTTCACACATTGACTTGCGTTTCGGTTGTTTGGTTAAGAGTTTGTTGTTTCGGGAAGTGTACTAATCCTACTACTGGCGTTCTTCACAGGCTCGTCCTCGTGAGTACTCCTAACTGGACCATGCAGCGGGACTATACAGTTCCCTAACTGTCTATACCTTCTGTCGGCATACACTAGTCCGAACTGGTATCCGTCTATACCCTTCCCCTCGGACTTCTCCAGTTCAGCAGGATCCAACGAGCTCACCTCTTTCCCTTCTTCTGCTCCGCGCCTAACACCAAGCCCCTCGACAATCTCCTCGACCTCTCCCAGCACAATAACGTGATCCCGGACGGGGACGAAGCCCGCCATAGGCTCCTCCAATACCCTGCACTTCATTATATAGAGTACTCCATCCCCATCCAGTAGGGGTGCCTCTCCATCATCCCTACGCATATCCATCGCCTCATGGTTGGCAACCACACACCCGCATTCACTCTCCAGCCCTCTGAACACCTTTTCTGGCCCTTCGCTGTTTCCCCTGGTCATCCAGTCCGCAATCGCCGCGCCCGCGATGTCATCCGTGAGGATGTGGATATTGAACCGCCTGCTGGCGCGCAATGCGTCCAGTGTCCGGGACGGGTGGGTGATGTTGAAGCTGACAATGGGCGAGGGGGAAAGGCCGAGGCAGGTGAGAGAGGACATGGTCATGCCGCGCATGGTCGGCTTATGAGGCTTGTGCGGCTGCAAGGAATGGTTATGCGTATGCGTATCAGTAGAGGTGCATACTACAACGGAATGTGGGAAGAGGCGCATAAGGGAACGGGTTCGTTCGGCGATCGGGGAGAGCTTCTTATGGGCGGGGCCGGGTGGATGATGTGGTCGATTTGGGGGAGATGGTGGTTTGGGGTCGGTTATTGTCCATTCTCGGGCATTTATGTGACTAGTGTGGATGGCTCGACAAACTGTTGGGTAGATTCATGAGTTAGTTTAAGTTAAGCTTTGTTTGTTTTCCAAAGTACGGATGGCATGGGTAGTATCAAATCAATTTCGGATTCGTATATGTCATGCGCACTTACAGAGTTGAGATGTTCTGGCGTGCTGTCCAGCAGCAACTCGCCATTGTGCTGCTGCCGTCATGATCCTGATAGACGGTTTCTGTGACTGCACCGGGTAGATGCCATTGCGATTGCAGATATGCGCTTGCTCGGCAGTGAAGCCCAGGACCCGGCGACTGCTCATCTCAGGCCCATTGAGCGGCTTCGCAGAAAGCCAATTGAAGAAGATTGACAGTCTCTGGAAGGCTGGCGATGATGTTGTTGACAAGAGATGAATCGCGCAAAAGTTCCTTCCATGTGCCAACCGTTCGGTGCTATCTCAAGCTATCCCCCGACACTACCCAAAATTCAGCCCTGGAACTGACGCACTTCAGCGGGCATGGGCCCCTGGACACCGCGCCTGACGCCCCTGACAGGTTGGCTTCAGGGCAAATGCGCTTAACAAGATCTCATCTTATCTGGGATCGGCCCCGCCGGGCAGCCGCGGTCGGGTGTTTTCCAAGAAGCGGGACCAAAGAGCTCGCTTCGTTCCTTCCCCGGACTTCAAGGTACGCAGTACACCATAAAGATCGATGTGCCTGCCGGCCGATAACGATAGCGCTTGATGGCCAAATAGCCCGCCGTAACAATTTTTGTCTCTGCTGATCCACCCACCCGTCCCGGTCCCGCGACTAGCAGCGCCTTGAGCCAGACCACCACCACCCGAGTCCGAGTCCGCGCGGCGCGAATCTCGATATCCCGTTTCCACGCCTCCGGCCGCCGTCCACCCTACGACCCGACCCCCGATACGAACCGTTTTCTCTCCCGTCCTCCGACGTCCCCGCGGTTCGCCTATTACCACGACGCCTGATTAACTTCACTGGCGACGACGACGGTCCATACCTCAACAACCCATATACCAAAAAAAAGCGAAGATACCTATCCCATAATACAACAAAACAACAACCGCCAAAAAATGTCATCAAAACTCCCCACCACCCTCCTCCGCCGCCCTTCGGCCCTCCCCTCCACCACCACATACACCGCCTACTCGGCCTCTCGTCCAACGCCGCCATCATGCACCGCCCACGCCCAAGGCCAACAAATCCGTAACGCAACCTTTGTCCCCCGCCACCGTCGCCCCTACCAATTCACCCAGCTGGTCCAGCTCTCCGACGGCAGCACCTTCACGGTGCGCACCACCATGCCCACGGCCCTGTACAAGAGCGCCAAGGACAGCCGCAACCACCTGCTGTGGCAACCCTCCGACAAGTCGCTCAAGAACGTCGAGCTGGACGAGGCCGGTAAGCTGGCCGCCTTCCGCGAGAGATATGGTCGCGGGTGGGATCTGGATGCGAAGATGACGCCGGAGGAGGAGGCTGCTGCCGCTCTTGCGGCTGCTGGTGGTGCTGGTGTTCCTGGTGGCAAGGCTGCTAAGAAGGCGGCTGAGGAGGCGTTGTTGGCTAAGAAGAAGAAGGAGGAGGAGGAAGAGGCTGCTAAGAAGGCCGCTGAGGCTGAGGAGGCTGATCCTTTCGATTCTTTGACGGATTTGATCAGTGGGTATGCTACGGAGAACATGAACCCTGGGTTGAATTTCAAGGAAACTCGTCATCATGGCAAGAAGAAGTAAATGGAGGAGCGCGTCTTGCTGGGAGATGGGTGATGGAATGTTTGTGGGGGCGGCGTTGAGGTTATCTTAGACGCAAGACACTCGAAGAAACCCCGAAAGATGCCCAAAGCATCCTTGCCGTCTGAGTGGGAAGTGGTTCACTTTCCATTCCTTCTTGCCCCTGGGACCCCTTCACCTTGTATCTTTATATCGACCGTTCCGCCGCGAGGGACGAGGATGTTTGCCCGGTCATTGCTGTTGCTTGATCACTTCGGAGGGTAGTGTATCATCAGGTGCCGCGCCAAGGCCATCGAGGACGTGGGAAGGCAGATCTGTACAAATAGACATGGAATGGGAGGAGGAATGGAAGATACGTTTGTGGGGGCCGAGAATAGAAAGTGTATGGATAAGAGATTTCAAAAATTTGAATATTCAGTACGCCCATCCCGTTTTGATATCATATGCTCGCACCTAGCAAATAATTGTTATGTACGATACAGTCGGCATCCCTATCATGGACAGTACAAGCTTCTTCAAGAACTCCAATGCAGAACTTGTTGCAATCGCTCTCTAAACCATCATCATTATATTTGTATTCATGTGCTAAGGTGGATACGGGGGCTGCTAACTCCTATGCTTCCTGTCTTTCTGTTAGCCCCGACAACAGGCTGGTTCTCCTGCAATGTCACTATCCTCCCAAGCGCGGCGCCCGGACCAGGAGTTATTTATGTCTCTGTGGCCGTCTGTGGGACTGTTCTAGCTTCGCCCTCTCCTAAAACCACGACCATGCACTATCCGCTTTCTTATAGTCTGGAATCCTTTTTGCTTGGTTCGTGCGGTCGGTTAGGTTCGATGGCGAAGTGGTCCTCGCCGACTGGTCATTTCCCACAAGACCACGATCCTAATCGGAGTCATCGTCGATCCTCGCCCGAGCTCGATCCACCGCCGTGTCACCGGCAGGCTTGTTCGCTTGGACGACCGGAGGACGGTAGAACACGGTCTCGTCGTCTTCGGTGTCGAGCTGCATGAGGAAGGTCTCCCACTTCTCGATCAACTGAGTAAGAAAGTTAGTAAACAGTTGCGTTTCATGTTGGTGTCAAGGGGGAAACATACCTCCTTCTGAGCCTCAACGGCACTTTCCAAGAAGGTCTCAACACCCGACTTGAAGTCCTCAACCTTCTCCCTCTCGAACCTGTCCAGCTCAGCGCGCATCAGACGGCCCATGTCCTCAAACAACAAGCGCGCCTGATGCACCTTGCGTTCAGCATCCGCCACCTCGGCATTAACTTGGTTCAAGCGGTCCTGCTGACTCTTGCCTTGCCTCAAGAGCTTGTCCTGGCTAGCCTTCCGCTTCTGCAATTCCGACTCGGCGCTGTGCCAGCTATAAAATGCCTTCTGGCGCTGCGAGAAGGCCTGCTTGACACTGCCAATGAGACGGATGTACTCTTCGATGATGATACCGAAGGTGAGCACATCCTGTTGGGCTTGGCGGTCATACACGTCTCTAATGGTAAGCTGCAACTCCGAGAGCGCGTCGAGAGGGCCGGAGAGAGTAGGCGACAGCTCCACGGTCGAGAGAGCATGGAGAGAGGCCGAGAACTCGCCAGCGGCCTCCGCCATCGCTTTGCGCTGCGCGACCATGCTGTCCATGGCCTTCAGAAGGCCCTTGAGTTGGTTCTCAAGAGCATCAAGGTAGACTCTGCGATCATGGAACCACTACAACCATCCATCGTTAGCACTGTCTTTAGCACGCAACCCCCAGGGAGGAAGTCACAACTCACATCATCCTGCTCCACGAACTTGTTCCCGCTTCCGACACTAATACCAAACGTGCTCAGCACGCCCTTGCTCTCGCCCAAGTGTGGCTCCTTGCGCTCCTTGTGCTTGACATCGATGTTGAACGCCTCGCTCTCCAAGAACAGCTTGAGGTCGGCATCGTGCTGTAACGTCGGATGGGCGGCTGTCTTGTTAAGCATCTTTTCCAGAGCGGCGCGTCGCGCCTCGACAAAGTTGCTTTCGAACCGGCCCACCGCCTGCTTCTCGGGCGGAGGAGGCACCACCACGCCCGGGTTGTTGGCGTGTAGCGTGTTGTAGAGCCATAAGAAATCGCGGTACCGCCGCTTGACTTCAAACTCGGGCTGCTTGTAGGCTTTTGATGTCGTCTGAGTTGTTCGGTTGTGGTTAGCGCATTTGCATGTCCAAAGATAGGGGAATACGAGTGTATCTAGACGTTCCGTACCTTTGTCCTCACAGAGTAAACTATATGACTACTAGTCAAATCGCCAACCTTGTGGGGATCGCCGACAGAGATATGGAACGTTGGGTTCGCCGCCTGCTCTATACTGACGCTCGGCTGCATCGACGTGCGCACCGGGCTTGGCAGGGCAGGCGGTACCGGCGGCGGCTGCCTTGGCCCGCTCGAACTATCATTGTATAGCTCCTCCTCCTCGATGCGGTGCGGGTCGGAGGGTCCACCGCCGGGCCTCCTGGCGCCGCTGCCGATCTGGTTCGGGCCTCCGGACAAGGTCGTCCTTAAGGGTAGCTGCTCCTTGAGAGGCGGCTGAGGGGGGGCAAGCGGGGTGTCAGTGGCCGTAGGGGTGCTGGCACCTAGAGGACCAAGCGGATCGTCCTCGACGGCCTCGAGACGGGTTGGTTGGGCGACCAGGCGACGGGGTGTCAGGCGCGAGGGTCGGCTGCTGCTCGTGTGGGTTGACGGCGTCAGGGTTGACGATGTGGACGGGGCGGCGGTGCTGTCGGCGGGCGCCGTGTCATCGGACTGGGGAACTGTAGAGGAGCTGTTGTTGCTCTCGCCGCCGATGGCGCTGTCGGCCCAGGGATCCTCCATTGCGCAGCTCCTGCTTGTAGGATTCTCAACCAAAAGATGGATTCAAGGAATAGACACGATGATAAAACGCACAAATCACCAGCAGTATATGAAGGCCGGTAGTATGGAAGCTCCAAGGAACGTATACCATAGAGACGGGTATTGGTACGGATGGTGAGTGGACTGTTGAATGGGAACTTGGAGTGCGCTAACCTGGTCGCCTAGGCAGGTGCATCGTCAGCGGCCAAGCTCCCCGTCGCCCAAAGCAGCTGCGGGACGCTCGGGCCAATTGACGTCGTTTCACCACCTCTTACTACATAGTAACAGCGGGTGAAGCTATTCAAACAACATACTGGAACTGCTAAAGTTTGTTATTGACTTCTAGTTTCTTTGCTTGATTTTATTAAACCCTATTTCTCGGCTTGAAGGTATCACTGAACTAATGATTCCCAACCCTATGGACCTTTTTCGCGAACCGGAACTCCTGGATCGTCAACTCCTTTCGATCGCAATAGTACATGCGACCCATTTCAACCGTCATTGATCATGGTCAAACAACCTACTTCACGTTGGAAAACAAGACCTTTCCTGCCAATATTGCCATGGCTCCCTGGGTTCCTACAAGGACCGCTGATCCTGAACCTCCTAACGCTCAGGATCATAGCATCCGCCCGCAACCACAAGGTTCATTCTCGTAAATTGCACCTTCAAAACAGGAGTTTTCTTGGTCGCAAACGCGCTGATTTGATCAGGTGTGATCTGCACCTCCTTGCCCTTCTTCTTCCCTGTAACCGCACCGCTGCTGCCATTAGCGCTGCCGCTGGCGGTGCCAGTGTTGCCGGTAGCATTAGCGGCAGCTGCTGGTGTAGCCGCAGAACCAGTGCCACCCACGGTGATCGAATTACCGTTGGGACCTCCGCCAGACGCCACAGCGATGCTGTCGCCAGTCGCAGCACCATCCGCCTGTTGACCAGATGCGCCTCCTCCAACCGCCGCACCGCTACTCGTGATAGCAAGCTGGCTGCTCTTGCTGGGATCGGCCGGCAACTCCACATCCCACAGCCGCACGGTGCCATCCAAGCCTCCTGACACGAGCACGCTCGACTCGGCACTGAAGCTTAGTGACGGAATACCACCCTTGCCGTGGCCGCGGCACCGCTTAATACGCGCGCCCTTGGCAATATCCCAGAAGAAAATGTTTCCACCCGTATCGGCGCTGGCGAGGATCTTTCCGTTCGGCGCGCATTGCAACGCGCTGATGTAGTCCGTGTGGCCCGTGAAGATGCGGACGCAATTGCCTGTCACCACCGACCACATGCGGATGGACTTGTCGGTGTCGTCCGATGCCGAGAAGATGTACGTTCCGTTCGGGTGCCACGCGATTGCTGAGATGGGCGTATCATGTCCGACCATAATGCGCAGTGCAGAGGCTCTATCTTGCGCGAACACGCGGACGGTCTTGTCCCAGCCGCCAGTCGCGAAGTAATGACCGTGAGGACCCCAAAGGACGCGGAAGACGGGGCCATCGTGGGCCTTGTAGATGCATAGACATGCCCAGTGGTCGAGGGACCAAAGGCGGACTTGACCGTCCGCCGAGCATGATACAAGTAGCTTGGTGCTCGTATCAGGCTTGGCCCCGTCGGCTTCTGGGAAGACATTACGGTCCAGGTTGGCAATGGAATCCGAGAAAGACACACCGTAGACCGGACCGGAGTGGCCGATCAGCTTCCGGTTGTTGACTTGTAGATCCTTCTCGCTGGCTACAGATGATTTTAATGGCTTTCCATTCATAGACCAGACGCGGATATAAGAGTCCATAGTTCCGACAGCCACGAGCTCGTGGTCATTGGAAAAGTCCATACATGACACGCTAAGAAGAAAACAGTCAGCGTGATGAAGCCGCACCGAAGAACATGTACGAGAACTTACCTCCCCAAGCTGTTATGGAACGTGAACATGCAGGCCGAGACAGGAACACCCGCACCGCCAGTCCGACCCTCGATCTTGAACCGGTCCCGATTTTCTCGAACTTTTTGCATCTCCATTACGACGTCCCTAGCTCGAGATGGTGGAAGAGGGAGGTCTGTTCTCGAGGGAGCGTCGGCACTTTCTTCTCGCTTGATCCGCTGATCGAACTCCTCCACGAGTGTGGACCTGCCCTCTACTGGTGGATGTCGCTGGTCCTCGTCCTCAAGTTCTGCCCGTACGTCTTCTCGCAATTCAGGTTCCATTGGAAGAGGGCCGAGCTTCAGCGGTGCTGATGAGTCGAGAACGTCTCTGTTTGTAACACCGGTGAAAACACCAGGAATGCCTTCGAGCTGGTCAATCTCATCAAGATCTAGATTATGAGTTCGTCGGTAGATAGCCTCAAAGCTGAATGGCTCGATGGGCCCTCTTGCGCTGACGTCTACTTGGCAGAAGGTTTGGAGGATAAATGTGATTGTTGAGCCGCCAGCATCCGCCTCGCGCTCGAGAAAGTGGAAGAGGTTGCCAGAAAGTGACTGGTTGAGCGGGATGCGATACTTGTTCTCCCGGTAGAGTTTGATTGTTTGGTTTTCGCGAATATGTTGTGGAAGGGTGACTGTCGTAAATAGGTCTAACGCCTCACGATGGACAGCGTCAAAGTGAGGTCGTAGTGTTGCCAGGTAGTGCTTTGCTTCTTCCACATACCCCGTGGAAACGAGCTCGATGTAGGAGTAAACGAAGACAGGCCACAAGAGCTTCCTTAGCTCGAACTATTGCTTGTCAGCATCACTGCCACGGATCATTTGGATCCTCGCCTTCGTTGTCTCTTACCTTGTAGATGTCCAAGTTATTCTCGATCCAATCTCGGAGCAAGATGAACGCCTTTAAATACTTTCGCGGTCCGTTCTCCTCGTTGCGCTGCGCGGGCCTGCCGTCAGGCCCGAGATGGGCTGTTTCTTGACGGAAAACGGCTTCGGTCTTGGTGAACCCTTTCTTCTTAAGGTAGTCCGTAACCTGTGCGTCGTTAGTTGGATGTTTACCACGATAGAGCTCCATCACAGCTTGGATCGGCAGATGAGAAAAGCGGAGAGGCGAATGTGGAGGAGGCGAGTGATGGGCAAATCGTGGAGTCATGATTAAATATGGATAGACGTAATGTTTTCTCGTTACCGCAAGTTGTCAGGATGTTTAGGGCAGGGGAAAGCGAAAAGAGAGGATGTGTTGTGTTGTGATGCGACGACAATAATGAGCTTGATTCTGTAGTAGTAACGGGAGGAGGAGGGGATTCGTAAACCAGGCAGCCTAGAGTTACTAGACGGGTGTGCTGGTGAACGGAATCTGAAGTGAATCTGAAATGAACCTGATGGGAAGCCCCATGAATGAGCGCCAAGGCACGGCCGGCCAACATGCCGTGTGCCCGCCCATTATGAAGGGGGGGAAAAAAAAAGAAAGAAACACAGTGATGGTTGGGAAAGTTCATGGCTGGTACTTGTACATGTAAAGGTTCTGGAGAAAGAGGAGGGGCAGAAGGAAGCGAGGAGAGTTGAAGCTCATAGAAATTCCATGAGCTGGTACGTTTTGAACAAGGCCACAAAACATTGATAGGTAAAACATGGGCAGGTGGAATCAAACACTCAACAAGGACTCACTATCTGATTCAAATTCTGAGGTGTGGGCGCCGTACTGCTCGTCGAGGTCGTCCCTGCGGCTCCTGTTCCTCCTGTGCCTCCCGTCGTTGGCGCACCACCAGTAGTAGACTGAGGTTGTTGTTGATGTTGTTGGCCACCGCCATATGTGGCACCTCCCGGCGCCTGGCCGGTGTTTGCTGGTGGGGGGTTGGACATGATGTGTGAGATGCCTTTTTATCGAACGGCTACGTATAGCTTATGCTTCTTTGTGTATACAACAGGTGCAAAATTGAGCCTCAATGACTCCGGTGGCTTGTATGGCTCTTGTTGTATGTGGCTTTCTTAGTAAGTGGGTGGTGAAGGATGAGGAGGACGTCGACGCGTGTGGCAGATGATGGTAGGTTCTTGATCCAGTTCCTGTGAATGCGGTGCTATATAGTTCGTTCGTAATGGGTATACGCTGACTTCGGAAACGATCTTGGCTGCCTGTATAACGATAGCGTCTGTTTTACGGCAAAAGGGCGAGGTTGATAATGAGGCTCAAGACAAGATGGAGATGACGAGGTCCAGGTCAGTGCCCGTCCAAGTGGAAGGAAGACGGCATTTGCCGAGCGAGGACGTCGCGAACAGTCGAACAGTGGACCACTTAGCGCGTCTGTCTAGCGCCTGATCCGTGCTTTGCTGCAGGCACGCTGGACCTTGGCACTTGCAGGTCCCGGAATTTACCCCACGTTTCGTTCATGTTGTCCGTCAAGGTCCACACCGGCCAGCACCTCAATTGACAAACAGTGGTGGGGGAGCTTCCAGAACCTCTTCAACCTTTTTTGTCCCGGAAATACAAAGCACAACCAAACCACCAACAGGCGCATCCAAGAAGTTGACAGCAGCGACATAAAATCATAAACTACCCAATTGGACTCACTACAATATATATTTACCGATAATTTCATACGCATGAGCATCAACCCATCGATTCGACAAACTTCACATCAGCATGGACAACATCGCCCAACCCCAAGGGCAACTACAGCTCCAATCCCAAATGGACATCGACATCCATGAACCCTTTACAACCGCCGAACACATTCAGCAGCTCAGCAACATCGACAATGTACGTTTCCTCCTTCCACCGTTTCCATATCCTACAACTAACCTCCTTCTCTCCAAAAAAGGACATCGTCTCCCTTCTCGAACTAACCTCCAACGCCCTCCGCTGCCTCGCCTCCCCACCACCTACATCATCCGACACCCAGAACCAAACCGAAGCCGAACAACAAAAACAACAAGCACAAGACCAAGAAGACGCAACAACCCGCTTCACCCAAATCCAATCCACCTTCCTCTCCACCCTCGACCGCGTCGATAAGCAACTCCGTCGACAAATCTACGCCATGGAAGAAGCAGGCATCATCAACCTCCGCTCTTCCTCCTCCAACTCCAATCCCAATAACCCCGACGACGACGGTACCGGCGGTCCAGGCGAACCAAGCGCTTCCAACAAACCCGGCGGTTACGCGGCCGCTTCTGCACCCAAAAACCCCGGCGAACTCACGCGCCCAGCCAAGATCGAGACGCACCGCGGCGCCAAGTGGGTGCGGCCCGTGGTGGCACGACTGGACCCGGACGGTGTAGGGAGGTATGGGAATCTGGATGTAGGGAGGATGAATATGGCGATTGATACCGTGGAGAGGGATATGGAACGGGAGCTGTGGCTGAGGGCGAGGGAGCATGCGGAGAGGGTGGTGAAGGAGAAAGGAGTTCCTGCTGCTGGTGTTGGGCCGCTTGGTGCAGGTGGTGTGATTAAGAAGGAGGAGGCAGGAGCGGATCGGATGGATGAGGATTAGAGGTCACGTCCCCTTTTTGGTGCTGGTGATGCTGGTGGTGGTCCACCGGTGGTTAATGAGGATTAGAGGTCCGGTTCCCTTGGGGCTGGTGGCTCTGAGGGCGCGGTTGTTCTAGAGGCAGGATCAGCAGAGGGAATGGATGAGGGCTTGATGGGGGCTGATCAGATGGATGAGGACTGGATGTTTGAAACCGAGGAATTCTACACGCCGTTCGAGTCTTTTTAAATCACTCGGACGTTGCGCGACATGACAGGGGCGATTTGCAGAATTCGTACAACGGGTGGCTTACTTGGTTGGTTCTTCAATGCATGTCTATCAGGAGTTTGGGACTTTGCAACATGATTAGATTTGGCATTACGGTGGGTAATTAGGCGTTAGGTCGTTGTTCGGGTGAGCTTTACACTGGGTTGCTGTTGATAGGATTACCATAGGATATCATCACATGCAGTTTACACATCAGTGGAATCCGAAACTCCAACGAAGGAGTGTGTAAGGAGTTCAATTTTGATTAGAACCGAAACTATGAGCAGTAATCCCCATCCATCAGCCAGTCAAACTGCTCATCATCCATATGGGCCACCGAACAAGACCGAATATGTACGACAAATCCTATTACCCTGAGATTACTCGTTTCATCACTCGTCGACTAGGACCAAAGCACTTCAATTCTTTTTTACCTCTCAAGGTTCGGCGCGCCTCCAGGCTTGTAAGGACCTTTATGCTCCCCTGCCGCCCAAAAATATCCGAAGTACTTCAACGGTCGAATGGACCTCTAGGCCGTAGAACTCTGGCACCGTCTGTCGTAACCACCCGCACCGATAGTGCTGTTGCCGCCCAGGACAAAGATGGACGGGTCGATGCTGCCGTTTTGATATCATGTCAGTGTATTCAAGCAGGCATGAAGGCAAAGGGACGGGTCAGCGAAAGGGTGGCTTACATATCATCAAACAAAACGCAGTTGATATGCTCGTTTGCGTTGTTGATGTCCGCTTTTGAACCATGTCAGCCAGCCATCCTGTTCAACAAGGGAGATAGTATCCAAAGGAGGAGGAGTAGATAGAACATGACGTACTGTACCACAAAAAGTAACTCTTGCATTTATCACCCGCCGCGTTGCAAGTGTACTGGCACTTGAATGCGCCGTAGGGGTCGGTGTGGTGGGTGTAGGGCATGTACTATTTTGGATTTGATCCATGTTTGTCAGCTCACTTTTCTTTCACTTCACCGTTCACATCATCATCGTTCACTCCCATCCACACTCTATACCCTTCCTTCTCTTTCTCCTTTCTCGTGACTCAAGGGGGTGATGATGACATACATGCGGTCCACTCAGAAAGTGTTTATCCCACCAGCTCTTCTTGACCGTGTAGGAAGTCCAGTTGAGGTTGGCGGCGGGCGCGACGAGCGAGTAGTCGGCGATGGGCAGGCTGCCAGGCGAGGAATCGGTGGCGGGGGGACCATTGACGCAGCTCTTGGCCTTTGCGCCTGAGTTAGAGCTGGGATTGGGGAGGGGGTTGGCGCCGGCGCCAGTGGTGAGGAAGGCGGCGGACGCCGAGAGAAGAAGGGCGAGGGTTTCGAGGATTGAGGGAGCCATTTTTGAGGATGCAAGGTAGGATGGATGGTGGATGGTTGGCCCGGAGTCGGGTGAGGTTGTTGAGATTGTTCGTTTGAGCTCAGAGTAGGTGCGGTTTGTGTTGAAAGTATCTATCTAGACTCGAGGGAAAACCAAAAGTTGTTTTAGTACCAGGTAATGTGAATATCAGGATTAGATGGATTTGTTGAGGTGTAGGTGAGTGAGAGATTTGGCCCGAGTCGGGTGTGAGAAACCTTGGGTCAAATGTTGAAAGGCAGCAAAGAGGAGAAGGAAGGAACGCTCGAGGGAGAAAACGTTTCTTCCGAGATCTGAAATCGCTTGACAGGTAATGCTTCTGGAGCTCAAGGGAATGGCGGAGTTGCCTCTTTCCGCGTTCAAGCTCAAATATGGCACTCCATCCCGAAACAAACGTCTTTCGTCCAACCGCCTTCTCGCAATTCCGGCCAGATTTACTTCGACTTGCCACTCATACTTTTGTCCGGGAGAATAACCCGCAAACATACATACCAGCCGAGACACACAAGCAAGCATCACAACTTGTCAGTTCAGGTCTTTCGAAGAGTAGAGATAGTAAAAGATCAGGTAAGACCCAAGAACCGAGCACATAGTGTGTCCTCGACACAAACATGTGTAACATCCACATGCAACCTCCCGCTTGTCAAGACGCAGGAACCAGATGGGATGGTAAGACACCGAGACACTTTGGGCAACGCGTTGACGACGCAGCCCTTTCACTTGTACCTCCGTCATTCTTTGTGCGTGGTATATGTGTAGAGTGGAAGCTGTGACGTTAGGAGAGAAAGGAAACTACGATTAAAGGATATGGGATGGGTGGGATTTCATTGCCACTTGAAATAAAATTCAGATTAGCCGCCATTTGCAAAGAGAAATTTCTTGAAACCTTGTAGAAGGTACATGAAAGATTTTCAGACAATTGTAAAAAAGAGTTTGGTAGTGATCGAATATGGAGGCGTCAAGAAGCAGGCGACATTCGGAAGTCTGGACCGACAAAAGACGGTGAAACATCACAGCGGGGAGCACCCCATCCGGTCCTGGTGCGACTTTACCTCAGTAGTAGTTTGACATCTGTTGAGCGACTCGAGATGTGAGCCGAAGGCAAATAGCTATTCGAGTCAAATGGCAAAGCATGCCGTTAGTTGCCACACTCTAGATTAACATCAACAACCCATCCAGGAAAAATGCCCAGGTTCAATGTCAACAGTGGAGAAGGGAAAAGGAATGACCAAGGGCTGGATAGGGTATACACATGCCATGTAGGAAATAAGTCAAACCCAACCAACCTCCTTATGCCAGCAACTCCTACTCCTTCGCTACGTCACTTCACAAATCTCTCATCCATACCGCTATTTCCCTACACAATCTTAAACGCCTTCCTTCCCTCCACTAACCCCTCCGAGAATTTAGTCACAGCTGCCCAACTCGGGACAAACTGTAACGCCTCATCCAATGCCGGAATAGTCCCCGGCGTGTTTGCATCGCTCCACATACAAATCACCGTGCCATCATTCTCATCATACTCCTTCCTGGTTTCCGAGCCCTTCCACTCCGCATTCACCACCCACGTCTTACCAAACTCCCTGTGCCAGAGCCTAACCAGCCCCACTCCATCCTCAGGGTACTGTCCAAAGCGGTCGTCCCAGCCGGAGCCGTTCTCGACAGCCAATGCCGACACAGGCTTCTTGAACTGAAGAAAGCACGACTTGGTGTTATCAGCCGTGATCTCGATCCGGGCAGTGGTCCTTGACGAGTCGCCTCGCTTGGTGTTGCGCGTGGCGTTGATGGTGATAAGGTCGGCGTAGCTGTCCTGAGGGAGACCATTGTCATCTTCGCTTCCAAGCTTGGGTGGGACCGCAGATCCGTCGAAACAGCACGTTGATATCGTGGAACCACGGCGAAGGGATTTGCCACAGGTGACTTCCCGTCCGGATGCAGAAGGGAGTTCAGCGATAATGGGACGGACGTACTCCTCGATACCGGTATAGCAGACCTTGTTGTCGCCGGTGGCGACGTCAATGTACTGACCGAAGAAGGTCTTATACCGGTTGTTGGCCGAGAAGGGGAAGGCGATGAGGTTATAGGTAAGGGTGACGATAAAGACGACAAGTAGGAACACAGGAATGTGATGTGTGACACGGTGAATGAAGGGCGTGAGGGGAAGGATAAGCAAGACAGTGAAGACGAAGATGATGAGGTAGGGCGTGATGAGCTTGCTACCGTCTGATCCCGTCTGATATACTGCGTCTGTCAGCATCAGACCCGTCTGAGCTGCAAGAATAATCATGAAGGGGCCCAGCAACAAGAACTGGAAGAACCATGCCCAAGAAGGCAGATGTCCAGACCATTCTTGCTCATGGTCGTAGGGCTCCCCATCTTCTTCCATCTTCCGGGCTCCGTGGACCAACGCGGTGATAGAGCGGCGATAAGTAGTCGCAAACGTAGTACGGCCACGATCATTGGTGCCATTACCACCAACGAGCGGTGTCCGCTCAGTCGGTTCGTCATCATCTTCGGATTCGTTCTCATCCCGGGATGCAGTAGAAGGAGCGCCAGAAGAACGACCAGGTATGGGTGTGGTGGGAGCAGGCTGTGGTTGCGAAGAATGCGCGGCAACAGAAGGCGCAGTCGACAATCCATTAGTAGTGCCGGCCGGTGCTTTAGACTTGCTGGGCTCCTGAGCAACCGTGGGCGATGGAGGAGAAGCAGCAGAGGCGGATGATTCAGCCCTGGCCCTCAAAGAGGGTTCATCGGTACTATCCCGGAACCCCTGATATCCATTGTGATCATGTTCCTGGCCGTCATAGTCCTCCTGAACTTGCAAGGCGTATGAAGATTTCCTCGGCAGAGCCAAGAGCTCAACGAAAGAGATCAGGCAGGACAAGAAGATGGCCGATTCGAGGAAAACAAAGATGTAGCCCGCCGCAATCCTACGGCGGTCCTCCAAGGCAGTGACGGCGACCAGAACAATCCAGCCAAAAACGAAGAGCCACAGGTTGGCGTAGCCGCGGTGAAGAGCGCTGGGACGGACGAAATTGGCGCCGCGCATGATCATCCAGAAGGAGAAGTAAAAGATGGACAACATCATAACCCATCTGAAACGACTGTTAGCCCGGACAGCAAGAAAACCAGGAGATAACAACTTACACAGAATAACGACTGCTGTAGACAATCAACGGATTGACCTTATTCATCAAAAGAGCCGAGCTGATCGTGAAAAACACAGCGACACCCAGAGCAAAGGGGAAGCGGAAGAAGCCCTTCCATCCACCAATGGGAACAGCTTCATATTCGGGATGCTCCTTGGTCTTGACCGTGGAGGTGAAAAAGTAGTCCTTGTCGAGGTTACGAAGAAGCCAGGTGATGCCGACCAAGACCAACGGAGTCGCGACGAGAAGAGTAAGCGACCAGGCAAACATGCCGCGCAGACCAAAGAGCACAAAGCTTTTGCCGAAGAGGTCAAACCACACTCCGTTAGAGGAACGACCGTTGGCAACCTTTCCATGGGCTTTATCAGGCCTCTGACCGATGAATGTGTTGCCAGTGTCACCGGAAAATTGCTTGGTTGTGTGGATAGCTGCTGACAGCATATGCCAAAGACTTCCTTTGGAAGTGTGCCGAGTATCGTCCTGGTTGGTGTGATATCTCGCACGGGGCTTGAAGAAGGCCAAGTCGATTCCACGCTGGCCGTAAGCGTCAACGAGTACTGAGTAGTCGGTACCGCTAGAGATGAAGCCCAGGCCGAAGGCATCAGATGCAATCACAGTACCGAAAGGGTGCGATGTTCTAGCATACGCCGCCATAACCTCGCGATCTGTGGCACGGAATACTATTGCCCTGCCTCCAGCACCGGCACCTTCGAGGTTCAAGAAGGTATGGATGAATGGATTCAGCTTGTGCTGACCGAGGGCATGGGCGCCGTAGAGCCAATCTTCCTCGCCGTTATTCAACATGACCACGATGCCGCGCTGGGGTTGGTGGCCCGGGGCGGTGAAATATTTGAGGACTTGCAAGGCAGTCACGACTCCCATGCCGTCGTCGGTGGCACCAAAGCCCGTTGACACGCTATGAGCTGTCAGTTTGGTCGACTTCTTGCACAAACACTGGGAATGAACTTACGAATCGTAATGGGCATTGACCAAGGTAAGACCCTTCGCATTACGTCTCATTCCATGGGCGTAATCGGCCTCCCACCACTCGCCTTCATCGTCCTCCTTACCGCGAATGTAAACCAGGATGTTGGTACCCTCGAAGTAAGCGGCATTATTAATTGAATCCGTACGAGTGAAGGTAGTTCCATTAGACTTTCCCATGACAAAGGTGGAATTTGACACATTGTCATCGAAAACGGTGACTGCTGCAGACTTGCCGTCCTTTACGGTAGTCATTTGGCTATAATCAATATCAAAGAAACCGTATTGTTAGTCTTTGGCAACCAGCCGTTGTAGAAACTCGAGGCCAAGACAACTCACCCATCAAACACCCAACTAGGGCCATTTTCCTCCAAGATGGTCTCGACCTTCTCCAGCAGATATCTGCGCACCTCCTCGTTGAACTTGCTGTTGTAAGGATGGTACGCTCTGGTGATGGTGGTGAGGTCGAGCCAGGCCTCGGTGAGGTTGACACCCTTGAACGGCTCGGCCGTCTTAGGCGCCGCCGGTGTTTTCTCGTTGATGATGACGATGGGTATCAGCAGGGCCAGGTAGATGAGCGTGGTCCAGAACGTGACCGGGCCCGGCCGGAAAGATATGGGATTGATCATCGGTTCGACGAATCGGCCCAACAGCTGCGCGACAGGAATCAGGAAAGGTAGATGAGACAAGCGAAGAACGCCGATGTCGCGCACAAGAAAGAATCTGTGCTCCTCAAAAACTGGGTGGAGAGTCTCGTATGAATGACATTAGATACATGAATTTTAGAAGCGGATGTATCCAGAAGCCAAACAGGGTTGAAGCTGTATAAGTAGTCGAAAGAGGTCAAAGCATGTAAGAGAGGGACGATGCCGCCAGTGGATGAAGCTGGACAGGATGCGTGACAAAGTGCGGAGGCGATAAACGTGAGGTGGTTGGTGGACTGTGAATCGCGAGAAGCTGAACGAACGACGTGCTGAGCTCGAGTTCTGATCTCGCTTCAGCCAAAGTTCCACGACTGGGCTAGCACAGGTACAGATCAGAAACGCAATTCCACAACAACAGCAACATTCGATTTCTGATTATCTTGCCGTCGATATTTGATTGAATTCTAGGTGTAAGCTAGAGGTAGAGAAGCAACAAGAACAACAGTTCAAAGTGAAGATTTGAGGATAAGAGGGCGTCGTTGTGGACGGGAAGAGGGGTTGGTTGGATGGATGTTGCCAAACAGAGCCTAGCCGACAGCAGGGTTCCAGGTTCTCCATCCATTCAGGCAATTGAAACCATTGGCCCAAGCTCCCTCCCTTCTTCCTTCCCCCATCCCAGAGCATGTCGTCACCTCTTTCCCGACTCAAACTTGTACACTACACGACGAAAGAGGTCGCCATTGTGACACCGGGCAAGAGCTCTTCTAGCCGCCAAGTTTCAACAGATTTTACGGCAAGTGCGACTCTGCCAGTGCAAAAAGGCCGTGATCGAATGAAGCGCTGCATGACAACCAAAAATGGAAACCACCATGATGACTGTGTAAGTCTTGGCGTGTAATGTTTCTGTTTTGACAACATTTTTGTGAAAGAGATGATGTTCCGCTCGTCATGGTAATGGTAACAAAATATCAAGCTCGTAACTGAACTGTTGCATGAGTGAGGATAGAGTGAGACACACAAAAAAAGAGAAGAAAAAGAAAAAGAAAAGGCGCCTAGGTCTGAACACGGATGGAACATCTATATGTCTCTGTGATGATCTCTTGTTGGGGTCCCCTCTTCCTCTAGGTTGTATTGTGCTATCAACTTCCACATTTTCCTCTGACTCTGATGCCTTGTTAACATCTAATGTCCTCCTCGTACGCTAGGCTATGGAGTGTTCAGAGTTGAGCTTCACTGGATAAAAATTTGATACCAGAGAGCCGTCCATCCAAGGGCTAGTCATGTAGCTAGTTGGCTCTTGGTTTCTAGAAGAAAAAAAAAACCATCCTGGGAATAGTCATTTTTGGGTGTTCCATCCTCCTCTTTAACCATCAACCATATGTCCCAAAGACCTTGATGTCACTTTTAACAAGTGCCATGGCGGATTAGTCACCATGGTACTCCCTCACAAGACGATATCAGATCCCCGTTGACAAAGGAACCTGAGATTGTATCCCGGAGGTCGCAGGTGGGTTAAACATCTCGCCAGACTTCTCTGTATCTCGCCCACTTTTGGAACCCTAAGAAAAAGTTAGCAGGAGATCCTTTAACAGTCAGGTTATTTTGCTGACCCATGGACTGAAATCCTTCATCCGTTCCTCTCATTGCGTCAATGAACATTTTTTTCAACCCTTGTTGGGCGAATCTGTGAACGCAACTATCAAGAAGCCTGAGCATGATGGCATCTCTTCCCTTGGCCACACCAAGGTTTTGGTCTGTGCGATCAAGTCGCAGTTAGCATCCGTACAAATATTGGAATACGTCATTGACGGACAACTTGCCTGAAATGCAGATGCATGTTACTCCGCCGACATTGTCTGAAATCATTCCGGCCCACGGTAAATCCTCAAAAACGGGACTTCCCGTATTCTTGACGTACGTCAAGGCCACTGCCACAATGGTTCGTCCTTCAAGACCCAACACAATATCCTCGATATTCATCGTGCCTTCCAATTTCGCGTATTGATCGTACCATCCCATATTGTCCTTCTCCCTCGATTCCCTCTCCACTATCTCCATAACCATGTGGTACTCGCTGAATTCACACGATCGGAATATTAGTTCCGAGTTCATCAGTGTTGTTGTTGTTGTTCTTGTTGTTGGCCAGTCGTCAAACACAAGCAACCAGTCGCACGTTTCCAGACCAGCGCCCGGTAAGCTGGACTGAGGCTTAACGGGCCAGTTGCGGCGAGAGAACCAGTCCTCTGAAGGGCTTTCCATGGGAATTCCATAGAATAAACGTGGAAATGTGCTTCCGAGCTGTAGACGGCAAACTCCACGGGTTTTCCTTAGTTGGCGTGAAGCGTGATCATGCAAACTCAGTCCAATACCCCTTTGACGGTAAGACGGTCGAACAAACAGAGCGGCTAGAGAGCCAACCAATCTTTCCGAGTCGCTGCCAATATATGTGGTATATGTAGCACAGAATCCCAGTAGTTGGGTAGTCCCTGGCTCGCGAACCACGTAGTGCATCGCGTAGCCATCGCGGCAGAGAAGGGACTGGAATGAAAACCGACTAAGCCGAAAATTGTCGGGAAAACACTGGCACCACAGTTCATAAGCTGGGGCGACATCGCGGTGCTCGTTCCATGCCTCCACTTGCCATGATTTGGGTGCTAAGATAAGATTTTGGACATTTGGCCCCGCTGTATGTGGCTGCTTGACATTCTCAACCATGACACGGGCTGCTGCTTCGAGCTCCGGAGGGGTAAAGCCAGAACTCTGAATGACTGTTGGGAATGAGCTCTCAAGGGGGCCTAGCCACTTGACGTTGCAACATGCCAACACAATCAGCGGTCGGTTTTCACATAGTGAGCGTACCGTCTTAGCCAGTGAGACCTGCGGAGGTTGACCAAAGCAAGGCGGACCTGAGATAACGAACACAACTGATTTGGCCAGCCTGATGTGCACGACATGAGTCCCAGTGATCCCATTCCTAGGGATATAAGGGACCTGCCGAACCCACGGGTGTTTCTTTGCTAGGGCCTTTCCGAGCGGTTCGAAGGGGTCACTGGTCGAGTGGCCGGTTTCGGAGGTGGTATGATGGGGAGCGACTGCCGGGGTCAGGAGCAATAGTGTATCGCCGTCTTTCAGGGACCTTGAAAGGGGAAGATATTCTAGTGAGTCTTGGATCACAGTTGTTGTTTGATTGCGGCCTTCAATCGCAGGAAATTGCTCAGAGGGCACAAGAGGGTCGTGGATCGCAAGTCTCTGGTCCGAAAACCTTGGCGGGTTCATGGTTCATGAACCTGTAGTATTACCATGTTTAGCGTAAAAAGATCGGTTGAACTGTTCGCGGTCTTTGGGTGATTTAAAGGCATTGATGACTGACTGACTTACCTCTTTTTTATAAAGTTCTAATCAATTCAATGCCAAGCCTCCGTTCCAAAATTTTCATACACTGATCCGCAGGGTTCGGATGTGTATATGCAATGTTATAAAGAAACTCAAGCGGCTGGAGCTCCCGCAAGGTCGACTTAAGCTAGATCGTCCGGCAACAACGTCCAGCGAATGTAGAAAACAGCCCTCTGAAAGCTATGATGGGTCCATTACACACAAGTAAGAAAGGGTACGCGTCTAGCAGCGCTCAGATTCAATTTCGGGTCGGATCAGTCGCTCGTAAGGACCAATAGGGGGGACAGATTCAAAGTCCGAACCAGGAAGCAGGTTCGGCAATGGCAGATAACGACGGAGTGGCTTCACCTTGTGTTTCCTGTTTTTGATACCGCGGTTGAGCAGAGAATCCTACCGGAAATGGCAAGAGACTAGGCTAAGCGCGACACCAGGCAAAGGAACAACCAGACAGGAATGGGAATGATGGAACTTTAAGGGAACACTAGCCCTCCTCGAATGGCAGTTGGCTGACTGGGTTGATCCCACTAACGTCAGCAGTCCATCCAGCAGGTTGTTCAGATAGGGGGGGTGGTTGTCGACATTGCAAAGATGTATATAGGAGTTGCCTGGCTTGAATATCTCGGGTGGTGCAGGTGTAATGGTAACACCATGTTATCCACACGAGTGGGCAAATGGACTAGGTCATTGCGGATATTTACGCGTCTAAAAAAGACACGGGAGAGAAAAGTAAATATGAGACATGTTTAAAGGGGCTTAAAAACTTTGCAGGGACATCTTTTTTTTTCGCAGGACAACAGCCCATTGGGTGATGACGAGCAGGCTATATAGCTCTGGTGTACGCTGAGCAGCAACTGGGGTAGCACAAGGAGCAATGCGCTGATATTGTATAAGGGCGTGTGATGCCATAATACTTGACACATCAAGATTGTGAAAAGAATGGTTTGGGTATTCGAACGAGAAACGCGACGGAGGCCCTGGAAGGGTAACAGGAAGTCCCGGTCCAGTGCTTTACGATGCTCTCACCGACCTCAAGTTCTCGCTCATTATTCGTTTTTTGCCGACGATGAAGGATGAGGTTGGGGAAGGGAAAAGAATATCATGGCAGGAATTCAGAGCGGTATGAAAGCCCGAGCCCCTGATGATGGAGTCGCACGGGCAGCGTGGTACCGGGCATCCTTTGGTGCTTGTACTCGGGGCTGGGGTGGTTTCAAGGGTAAAGAACACTATAGAATCTAGTCAACAGCATCGACAAGGGGTGGCTCGAAGCGCAGCCGGCGCCAACGCTGACCACCCACGCAGACGAAGGAGGGACAAACCTTTTTCGAGTCCACAGCAAGCTGACTGAATGGAACGGTGACACGGCAGAGGGCAAAGTACGTACCCATATCTTTCTATAACCGCACCGGTCAAGGGGCAAAAGTTGAGATGATGCTGTGCTGCTAGGCTAGCTCTCATGATTTGCGTGCCAAGTCCGTCCGTCTGGAGTCAGAGTGCCTCGTGAGGTCTGACGGGCCTAGTCTTAAGCCGGTGAACGCTGACACGAGGACAGCGGCGAATGGATACCGCTTGCTGCAATATGCACAGAGCATATCCGTCTCGTCGTTCAGTCGCACCAGAAGAGTTGGATGATGACAGTGGGCGTAAAGGTCTGAGTTCGATTGGCTTCTGCGTGAAAGAAAGACATGGCCTCGTCGGCCTGCTTTCATGCTTCCTGTTCCTCTGACCTCTTGGAACGGGCGCCTTCGTGATGACACTTGAGGGCAAAATCGAACTGATCACTTCCATGAACGAGAGCGTCGGCGTACATATACCAGGTTATCTTGCGTATCGTGTGACCATTGAGCATCGAGTCGTGAATGAAGCTTGAGTCCGGCTTCTTCAGGACAAGCAGTCAGTGGTGTTCAATAATTCTCCCTGCGCCGGAAGCGGAGGAGTGACCAGAGACTAGTAGGAAGGGTAGCTGTGGGGGCCAATCTGGAGGTATGTAGGTAAGCTGCAGTGACTCCAGTGAGGCATACAGAGATTCGCAAGGACGATAGGTCAAAACGAATAATGGTAAAACGCTAGTTGTACATAGGTAGTTGGTAAGATTGGGAAAGGCCGGGTAAGAAAAAGGTGGGAATCCACATGGAGGACGGGCCAACAAGGCGGTGACAACCAACAGGCAAACGGCCTTAGTAAACTCCGATTGCATAGAGAAATGGCTTCAGAAGAAGTCGATAGAGGCAGAGGGTGGACAACTTGACCTGATCAACAAGAGGAATTCAGGACGGCATCTCCTTCCCGCTATCCCGTCGGTGTTTTGCTTTCGTTCCCTCGTTGCTTGCTCCGCATAATGACAATGTCACGGCTGAAGAATTCATTTGCTGGTGGTGAAAAATAGCCTGACACGCTTACTGCAAGCTAGTAACTGCAGTGATGGATGAACTCGTGATATGAATTCAGTTGTGTTGCTGTCTCCCACTGTGTAAGGCGTTGCTGCAGCGTGACAGTATTAGTAGGTAGCCGCGACCTGGTTCCATGATGATAACCGACAGACGTGCCCGCTCTGTCTGACAACAGCAAGACGATGAGTGATTGTACTTGGTAGTAGGTACCGGAGAAAGTCAGTAGGTATCGATGTACCGGCATGCATTTAGAGAAACCTGGGCTCCTTCCGGTAAAGGCAAGGTATGCCCACCTTCCATAATTCCAGCCTCGGCCTCCTGCCCGGGTCAGGCGCAGATAAATACCCCACGAGGTGGAGGAGTTTGGTATGCGAAATCGGTCTTTCCTTGGCCGTAGCATGTCTTGTGTAACACGAAAACCGAGAAAGTCCCACCTCATTCTCCTCAGCGGGTACATTTGAGGCAGGACTGAACGCCTTGAATTTTGTCGAATCTGTCCCAGTCGTCGTTCCAAAAGTGCGTACTGTACATAGTGTGAGAGAGACTGGAGTGGAGGAAAAGTCAAACTGCTGATAACTATTCAGTGTGTTGAGCGTTTGCCACGTCGTTTCTGACACTTTCTAAAAACGGTGACCAAAGTGTCGAATCCGGCTGGACTTTTGTTATTTCCCATTTGGGGAGCAATGCACAATCTTGTGCATAACCATTCACATAAGACGGCATAAATATTATGTCAGCAAGGGTTACAAGTACACTAGATCAGACCAGTGCACGAGCCACATTCAACCACCAGGTCGGTTGGGTGACGACGGTAACTCGTGGTGGGGCGCGCCGCGACGCGTCTCCCAATTAATCACATGTTCAAAGTTGTAGTACCTACCGTCAAAGACATGTCATGTCGCAACAAATCGCAATATTCCACGACATGAAGGTGTTTCTGTGATAAGGTCATCGTTATTGCGGCGATCAACAGAACCGGGCTTGCAAAATGTCTTCCGTCGAAGGAGATCACAATACAAACGACACCAGTGTGAATCTCGGTGATCATAATCATGTCGGCGACAAAGACAATCTCGGCGCTCTCCTGGATGACATCGAGGCAGGTACGCACTTCTCTTTATATTCCTAAACAACAGATTTACTAATTCTTCTTTAGCCTCCAAAGTGCCGTCCAGACGCCGTCAAACCAGCATAAAGCCCACCGTCGAAAGCTTAACCTCGGTGCTCTACGACAGGGGTGCGTTGCCCGATGAGCTCGCCCGTCTGGTTGACCTGGTCACTCTCACCAACCATCTGGACCAAGCATCCAAGGGCGCCATCATCAAAAACCTGTATCCAGTGGGCAAGCTGAACAGCGACTCCGTCCTGAAAGTGGTTTGTGCCTTGGGCCATGGCCAGCTCAAGCCCTCCTTTCCGATCCAGACTCTTCTTCTCAAGTGGCTGATTATGGTCTACCACTTGCTTCAAGACACCAGCATATTGTCCCAGACTTATGGTGTCCTTTTCAACCTCCTCGACACTGCCGCCATCAGGCCGCAATTATGTCATGTCTTGGCCCTCATCACGCGACGAAAACACGTCAAGCCTTTCAGGATACAGACTATCCTGGCCTTGTCCAGGCAGACGGGAAACGATCCGAATTTGACAGGCCTCCTCCGAGTTTTCAAGAACTACTATCCGGAAATTATTGTCGGCGATGCTGCCAACGGTCGCGCAGCTACCTTCAAGCATCCTGACCCGCAATGGCGAGCAAGATTAGATGAGATTCAGCAGCAACAAACTGAAGCTATCCAAGATGGCACAGTCAGAAATGGCTTCGCTGTCAGGTCTGCGTTTGGCCGCCAACAAAGGGGGGCAAAGGGCATCTTTATTCCGGCTGTGCATACCCTGCATGCTCAAGAAGTAAGTGCCGTCTTCCCTCTCGCTATCATCATTGATGTAAACAAAGTAACCAACCAACCAACCAACCTGCAGAACTCTGTCACTCTTGAAGAGGTCAATAGTCCAAAGTCCCTGGCTGAGAACCTGGAAAAGATTGAGTTTCCGACGCAGCTCGTTGCAGTATTAGCAGACCCCCTCCTCCAGAAACTTCTGGTCCTCCGGCCAGATGCCGAAGGTTTATCGCGGGTGAATAATTGGGTTACAGCGTGCCTGGACGATGTTCGAAGTGGAGATGCCGACCCAAGTCTGCTATTTGACATGGTAGACATCATTCATGACTATGCTGCCAGCACAAAGGTCCGCATCAGAAAGCATTGTCGAGTAGTATTAACTTTGACTAACCCTGAAAGCAGACACTACCACCTCTTCTCATCAATTTCTTCCGTGAGTTTCTGCAAGTCTGGGACGGCAGAGACAAAAGAGAAATAGTCGTAGAGACTCTGAGCTTCCTCCCACTAATGAACTTCAAAGGTTAAACTCAACCCTTTCATCCATTTAACCCTTAGACAACCAAGCTAACTTAGCACATACCAGAACTCTACCAGATCCTCCTCCAGCCCTTCGAATCCGTTCTCCTCGACAATACCTCCGAATCCCAACTTTCCCTCCTAACTTTTTACACCTCCCTCCTCCGACAATGGACCCTCACCATGCTCTCCTCCGACTCAACCACCCTATCCTCCTCCCCGGCCCCTCAGTCCATCCCAGCCCTCATAGCCCACGTCAACACTCTCTCCCTAACCATCGCCCAAACCTCGCCCACGGTGCCCACCCACCTCCTCATCCTCGACTTCTACACCCTCGTCGCCACCCGCATCTTCTCCTCCCCTTCCCTCCTCAAGCACATCCCCATCACCATCCCGCCTTCCTTGCTAATTTACACCCTCCACTTCTCCCACTCGCTCGAAGTCGTCTCCCGACTCTGCGGCATCTTAGCGACCTACAAGCGCGCGTGGGAATCCGTCATGGTTTCCACCTCCCCGTCCGCTCGCCCCTTGTTTGCAGAGGAAAGACAGCAAATCACCACCTTCAATGCCTTCCTGATGGATCTGTGCAATGTCCTCTGGCGAGGCCGGGCGTTCGCCGTCAGCGATGCCAACGCCAAGGGATGTCTCGTGCCTAGAACGCTGGAAGCGGCGCTGAGGGGGTACCTCAAGAAGGTGGAGCCCGATGGGGAGCTGGTGCTCGGATCCGTGTTTGGATTAAGTCACAGTCCGGTGTTATGTTTGCAGAGTATTTCGTTCCTGAGGGAGTTGGAGGATCGAGAGTTGGAAGGGGAGATGGATATTAGTGATCGCGGATTGAGGGCGAGACATGCAGGACCGGTTACACAACAGAGTCTGGCGGCACTGGCAGGGAAGGGAGGGTTGGAGATTAGTTGGCAGGAGTATAGGGCGGGGGTGTTGAGGTATTTGGAGGAGAGAGGATTTAAGGGGGTGCCGGAGTTGATGTATAACACGATGAAGAACTTGATGAAGGGGAGGCAGTAGTTGTGTTGACTGTCGCCAGTGGAGGATGTTGGCAGAGGTGGCAGCAAAGGAGGGAAGAATACTGCAGGGTGGTCGATTTACTCTGTTGGGGATATCCAGATGTGTTTGTGTTTCTCGTCTCGTCCTAACAACTCGCTATTTGCCAGTCTTAACCTCGTTCCTTCTCACCGGAGTTATCATCATCGCCATTACCAAATTACGCCGGGTAAGCAGCACCATCGCCTCTCATATCGCTTCCCGCCGACCACACCCCCGTGCCGTCAACATCCTTCGTCCATCGAATAATTTGTCCCCTACCGAACAAGGTTCTCCCCATACCCTTCACAACCTCCACCTTATGCCCCAACTTCCTTAATCCATCTACCGTCTCCTCCGGCATCCCCTCTTCCACATGTACCGTCGCATCATACACATTCCCCTCATCTGGCATTCCCGCGCCGATACACACTCTCGGCGCATCCAACGCCTGCTGCGGGCTCAGCCCGCACAACACCTGCCCAAGCAACGTCTGCACATGCCCCTGCGGCTGCATGAACCCACCCATGACGCCGAATACCGAGTGCAGACTGCTATCCTGCAAATTCGTGACCAGACCGGGAATAATCGTGTGGTAAGGCCTCTTTCTCGGCGCTAGCACATTCGGGTGCTTCGCATCCAGCGAGAAGTTGGCGCCGCGATTCTGAAGCGTGAAACCGCAGCCGGCGGGGATGATGCAGGTACCGAAGCCGCCGTAGTTGGAGTTGATAAACGAGATGGCGTTGCCTTGGGAGTCAGAGCAGGCAAAGTAGACGGTGTCGGAGGAGGTCAGGGCGGGAGAGGCGTACGGGTCGCCCGGTTGCAGGACCGAGGTGTTGGCGGAGGATGGAGAGAAGAGTTTGGCGCGCTCGGCGAGGTAGGAGGCCGAGATGAGCTGGGAGGTCGGGACGCCGGGAGCGGCGTTGGGGTCGGTGACGAACCAGGAGGCGTCGCCGAAGGAGATGCGGAGGGCTTCGACGATGGCGTGCAGGTAAGGAGCCGTGTTGTGGTCGGAGGGGCCGAAGGCTGGGATGGTGCCTTGCTTGATGAGGTGCTTGAGGATGCCGAGGGCCATCAGGGCAACGATGCCTTGGCCGTTGGGAGGGTGTTCCCAAAGCTCGACGCCGTCGGTTTCGGAGGTGCCATGGGGGTTGGGAAATTTTAGGGAGATGGGCTCGACGGATTCGCTGCCGGTTTCGAGGTGGTGTTGGAGGTCGGCAAGCTCGAGATGGCCGCCGAGATCGTTGACGATTTTTACGAGTTCCTCGGCAATGCGACCGCTGTAGAAACCCTTCTTGCCTTCGGTTGCCAGGATGCGGAAGGTCTTGGCGAGGTTGGGGAGCTTGATGATTTCGCCGGCCTTGGGAGCGCGGACACCGCCAGGAGCAGAGGAATCGGCCTTTAACATCTCCGCGAAGTTGGGAGACGCTTCGCGGATGCCCTTTTCCTGTCTTCCCCACTGTTTCACTTGTCAGAGCGAGCACAATAAAGGAGGATTTGATAGGTACTCCCAAAACTCACGAAATAAGCTGTCGTCTCCGAAACAGGAAATCCTTTCTCACCCAGCTCAATCGCCGGTGCGAGAATCTGCTCCATGGTCAACTTGCCACTACCGAACCGCTCGACAGTATCGACCCAACCGGCGGCAGCACCAGGTACTGTCACAGCGTGAACGCTGCTCATGGGGATCTTTCCCACGGTGCCCTCTGGAATTTTCAGGCTCTTTCGGACGTTCTCGAGGGTACACTTGCCGCCCGCGCGTCCAGAGCCGTTCAGGGCCGAGACCTTGCCAGTCGAGGCATCGTAGTAGAGGCAGAACATGTCACCGCCAATGCCGGTTGAGCAAGGCTCCGTCATGTTCAAGCCGGCAGCTAGAAAGTGTGAGATGAGATTGGTTAGTGAGCACTTCATCATGAGTTCCAGGTAGATGGCTGAAGCGTACCAACGGCCACGGCGGCGTCCTGACATGCATATCAGCAACTGTTATCAGTTTAGGGGAAAGGGGCAGTAAATCTCACGGCAGCATTTCCTCCTGCATTGAGGATGTCGATACCGCACTTGGCGGCAAGCGGTTGTGTGCAAGCCACAATTCCTTTGGTGCTATGAACCACGCTTCTTCGGCTCGGCCATTTCATGAACTCGGCCGATGGAGGTTGGTAGATGGATGAGGTGGGGAGAGGCATGGTGGACTTGGATCCTGTCTAGTGAGTGGAGGAACACGGGCAGCGACGACTGGATAACCCGGTGAAGTATGTAGTGTAGTAAGTCGAAGGGGAGTGGGCAGTGAACACCATTTATTGCCTCATCGGACCTTGCTCGTGAAACGTGGTACAGGAATGGGTACCTGATCGGATACTGATAAACGGGCTATGAGTGTATGGCGATCTCGCTGTCATTGGTGACCGATACTATTGGATGACTTTTACTAAATAGGAAGGCCTTCCTCGGATTTGACCCCTCCTTCCCTTGCGGAACATCGTTATGACACACAACATACCTATGAGGGGTGTTTTTGTTTCTTTATTCCCCTACTATCGAACGATAGACCGCACGTACTAGATTATTTTCGGCTTCTTGACTCACAATTGGTGGTTTCATCACCAAAAGAGGATTCTTCTTCGGTTTGCCTTCTCCCGAGAGAGTACAGAGAAAGAGATTCGAGAAGGGTTCCCAAGCCATTGACCAACTAGCAACCACCAACTGCCGAGGCATCAAACTCACAGGCCCCCGGCTTCGGATTGCTCATGCATTCGGTGACCATCCGTTGATCCTGTTTTCGGTCTTCGAATTCCGAAGCTCGCCAACGTCCATTCGAGGTGGAACCAAGATGCCGAGCTCCGCGCCGCGTTGATTCCGGGGTTGCGGATATGTTGCCATGATTTTACTCGGGTCGGACCGGACCGGACCGGAGGATAAGAGGTGAGCAGGCGGGGGCGGGGGCTGGGGTCGGGAGATGTCAATTGAGGTGGGGTAGCTTTGCTCTCTCGACTGTAGTGATAACAGGAGCAGGGGTGCTGTTCGTCACTTATATCTACGATTCTACCCGCATTTATGTTTGTGAAAACCATATGGCGGCGTTTTCAAGGTGTCGCAGCAATGAGTTCAATGGCTCGTGGATGACACGGACCTACCAATACGAGTAGGTACCCAGAAGAGTCAGTCAGGTTCCCGGCAGCGCACTCTGAGGATGAGGTTGTGCTTGTCGTCAGTCATCTGCCTGGATAACTGCAACCTCAGAGACAGCAACGTTCACGAGTTATCACATCACTGAGGAATCAATTGAACCGGCAGTGTTTCCCTTACACCTTTGTCACTACATCTTACTTCTGGAATGACATGACGGCGTATCGGAAGCTGCCATTGGAGTATCCTCTCCTCATCGCGCGGAAGGCTTGCAGGAAGGCGATGCCGTCTCTGCCCTGGCTGAAGGCAAAAGCCCACAAAGAAGGGTTTTGTACCAGCGACCAGGAAATGTCCCTGCGGGTTCAAGTTAGCAAAGCCATCTACACGTAGATTCGCGGATGATAGTCAGGCTAACCATGTCTTGCTGACATCCTTGCTAATATCCTTGGGCTCATGGAAGACCTTGAGTCCAGCATCTGTAGCGAACTTAACATAGTCGGGCTGGGTGCACAGAGGCGGAAGCAGCATGCCGTCTGGTTCGATTTGTGTTAGCTGACTTTGATCTAGGATGTGCGCTTTCCTTTGGATAAATACCAACCTTCGATAGGCTTGATGTCATTGTCAAACTGTGTTTGGTTGAGTTCTTCGCCCTTGAACCAGTCGGCAAGAACCAGCTTTCCGCCCTGCTTGAGAACCTTGAAGGCATTCTGGAAGAAAAGAGCCTTGTTGGGAAAGTGGCTCAAAGCTTCACTGATCCACACAACATCGAAAGTGCCGGCGTCCGAGGCGAAATACTCGCCCATCTTCTCGGCGTCGAGCTCAAGAAACCTGACCTTGCCCTTCCCGAGCGCAATGAAGCCATCGGCATCTAGGGTGACGGTCTTGTGGTCACCCTGGATCTGTTTAGCGGCCTCGGCCTTGGTCAATCTGGTCGCCATTTCAACTTGCTTGGTGGAGATGGTGATGCCGGTTACGGTGCATCCCAACTCGGAGGCGAGGAAGCGCGAGGTGCCACCAATGCCACAGCCAGTATCGAGAACACGAGCGCCCTCTGAGACCTTGGAGATTTCAAGGAGGAGGCGGATCAGGTTGACCTGAGCAACTTCCTTGGTGTCCTTGGCCTTGGCCTCGTCTGTGGCCCAGTAACCGTGGTGAATATGCTCTCCCCTGTTCACTTGTCAGGTCTCTGTTGCTGTTGTCTCTTGAGGGTTGTTTGAGCTTTTAACAACCCAACCCCGTCAAGAACCTGATGATTAAGAGGTTGAAAACACACCATAGGTTTAGGTAGTAGTCGCTCGCCAGGTCATAATGAAGCTTGATGCGATCTTTCAGAGCTTGCATCGTTGAGTGGGCAAGGCCCATTGGGGTATCATATTGCTTGCTGAGGTCAGTAACCTCATCTTGTCCTGTTTGTGTTGTCTGGCTTGTGACGGCGGCCATTGTGACGAATTGGTTGAAATATTAAGAATTGGAGAAATGGTGCAGTGGAAGGATTTGGGAGGAGGCCGGGCTCAGCGAAAGAAGATCTCGACAGAGACAAAATCAACTGCTGTTGTTTTGTTTGTTGTTGTTGTTGTGATAAGGGAGCTGGTGGATGCTGGGAAGTTGATGAGCAGGAGGGGGAAGCGGGACGGAATGCGGCCGCTACGCTACGCTACCAGCCAAGAATTGGGAACTCGGCGGTTATGCCTGCTTTCAATCCAGTCTGCAGCTCATCATTGATTTGGACGCTGAAACTCTTTTGGATTTTACGCGCATGCAGTGATAGGTATCGGTGCCTGGCTATATCGGATCAGAAAATGTGGAGTGATCAAAACATGATCGTATCCTCGTTGAGCACCTTTAAGAATCGGCAAAGAGCGTTTCCCATTCGCATTGGTCAACTGGCAAAGCTACCAACAGAGGGGTTGCACTTGCACATGCAATCTCTGATGCAATCGCTTGTCGGTACGAAGGGAACCTAGCGAAGAGCCCACGCTCGAAGCACGCGAGACAACAGAGGTACATAGATATCCCCATCACTTCGAAGACAACTAATAGTCGATGAAATGCTGCAGGTACAAGCAGAGGCTGTTGAGCAACAAGAAAAACAAAAGGTGGTGAAAGAAATGACGATAAAAACAGAAGTAGTGCAGATTTATTGCTTGAATACTTATAAATACCTGATTTGGTAAATCATTCAACAATCTTCCAATGGCTGGATGGCCGAGCGGTCTAAGGCGCTAGACTCAAGAACCAAGTTCTTCTTCACAGCTGATGTGAGGTGCATTCTAGTCTCGCAAGAGGCGCGTGTTCGAATCACGCTTCAGTCAAACTTTTTGTTTTTTTTTTCCTGTTCATCCATATCAATACTAAACATCTCGAACAATTACGTTCTGAACCTAACACTTTTGTGATGATTTTTTTTTCTGTTTCTTTTTCCGGTTATCCCCCCTCTAAGAAGTGAAAAGTGCATACCCGTCATAACGGCACTGACGAGAAATTGAAGCTGCAGATCAGAAAGTACCAGGAAAGAGCAGTGGTGACTTCACGTTGAGAAGTTATGATGGACACTGGCGAGCAATTATAAGATCAAATCAAACACGGACAGTCCGATACCGCAATGCTTGCTGCGGTTGGAAAGGCCGTCACAAAACTGTGATAGGGATTACAATAATTTTCAAGCACACAGGCCAAAATGACTTTTCTATCCAGGAACCACTCAGGACCGGGGCTCAAGCCATGATAAAAACACATCCGTGTGTGTAAGAGTATTCCGAAGGTGTGATGTCTTGATCGTGACGTGTTCGCTTTATTCCTACGACCTTTAGACTGGTAACGTTTTGGAGGTAAACGAGTTTCAATTTCCCTTGCTCTTGAGTATGGGGACCTTGGAAGTCTTGGTCGTTGGGAGAGGTGTTTTTGTTTCGTCAGGTCCCGTACGACACCCAGCAGCAAGTATATATGCTGTATGTTCTTATCAGGAACGTATCTGTCATCCTGAAATTCATATCTGAATGTTGGCTCTCGTCCCGACCTCTTAAACAATGTTTACCGTCCAGTCCCACCTGCTTCCATCCCCAAAACTTTGGATTGCTTTGCATCGGGGTTGGAGAACATGACCCAGAATATCTGGTCCCGTGGGTGGTGTGGTTGAACGAAGTTAAGTCAGTGACAGCTTAATGTTAAACTCCAACCAGAATGTCTTCCTAACTCCATTCAGATTTCCCTGCTATTCAACCCTACGGACTGCGCTTCTAGTCAAAACAAGCCACTCTCGCCTCAAGTCATCCACACTTCCTCCAAGTTTATCAACTATTCTCCCTTCTGGGCGGCATTCATTACCTGGGGGTAAATAACAAGACTCTCGTCCCATCCTGAACAAAGTGTCTCCGTTTTCACCAACCTTCGGACCCGTGTAGAGCGTACTCAGAACTCGAAAGCAAACAACAAGTGTCTCTCATCCCATTCTGGCTCAAGGTTATGCAACTCTGTGAGTAGTATTCTTCAGTAAAGCAGGCAACCTCCTCTCTCGTCCCATATTCTTCAAGACCTACACAGCTTGCGTTCTTGAAGCAACCGCTGAGTCCACCCAGATTCTGTCTGTAACCAAGTCTTCATTCACCTCTTCTTCTCCTTGACCTACAACATACCGATTTTTTTTTTTCCCTCCAGCAGATACACTCAAACCCATCACCAACCACAACCCCAACTTCTGACACCAGACAGCATCTAAGACCATTCTGACTTCAAATTGAACATGGACATCGCCGTCACCTCCCATCTCTACAAGCACCATGTTCTGACTCCCAACCGCCCCCAATGGGCGATAATTAAAGCCGCGCCAAATTCGAAGTCTGAGACCTCAAGTCGCAAAGCCACCGAGAACTTGACGAGATTACGGCAGTCAGCTAAGAATTCAGCAATCCACCACCCAAGCCCACTGACCATCGAGCAACTAGACGTCGCCCAAGCCCCCGAAGGCGATCTCTTCCTTGTCGTAGGTGAACTGCTGTACTCTCCGGACAGTAGCGAAAAAGCGCCCAAGCCGAAGCAAGGCACCTCGGACAGTAACGGCGGTAAACAAGAAGGAGAGGTGGAGGAGGAGGAGGAGGAGCCAAACGTGCGGGCGTCTCATCTTGTCTGCACCAAAGCCCGCGCTGAGAGATGCAATCTGTTTGCTCTGGTCTCGGACAGGGAGGGAAAATCATGGACTTTCCTCAGCCTTCCCCAAACCGTGAATGATTGGGTGGCTTATTACCAAGAGTTTACTGGTTACCCGGTCGAGGTGCAAGAGAGCCAGCATAAGAAAAGGCGGGCAGCGTGGAAGCAACGGATAACTGCTTTTTGCGCTCCTCTTCTGGGCACCGACAACTGTCAAGGTGGAGACAAGACTTCAGCCGTTCGAGTCACTAAGGAGCTTCAGGTGTTGAGGACGTCGGCGGAGGTTGGGCAGAATTCTTCCTATGCCGAGCACATTGAGCAGTCGAGGGCTTTCCAGTTGACCATGCGTCTGCTCTACCCGGATGACCCAAATGACGGGCTTGACGAATATGAGGTTGAGGAGATCGCAGGAACTTGCCAGGTAAGTTGTTTTGTGCCTTGACCATAACCGTTCTTTTCCCTGACCATGTAAACCCCAGCCACAGCATCCTTCCAAGTCCCTATACCCCTCAAAAATGACAATACCTTATGAGCTAACAAGGGGCAGATTACCAAGCAGCATATCCGCGAAATCAGCCATTGTGTTTGGATAGGTCTCCTGGCCAACAAACCAGCGTTGTCGCCGTTCAAGCACCAAGCCTTCATCTTCAACTGCTCGATTTTGGCCAGGAACGCGGCAAAACGTAACATGGCCGTAGTCTGGGACAACATCATTGAAGACGCTTTCGATATGGCTTGGAATACCACGTGCCCTCAGCTGTCCGATCGAGGTGCCTGGAGTTCGCAGGCAATTGTGATCGATGATTGAGAGTTGCTGGCGTCGAGAGAGTTCCATGACTTCGACTGTCCAATGCTGGAGAATCCATGGTCAATGCTTCCGTTAGGGAAAGTGGATACACAAGGACACGTCAGGAAGCCTGCCATTGACTCGTGGAGTGTACATGGCTGACGCCTTGGGATTTGGCTGGAGATGACGAATTGCTGGGGGTATGTCGTTGGTCCTACTTAGGTAGTAGACATATCGGACCCATGACACTTCAACAGTGGTCTTGGTACGTGACTAGGACTGGAATGGTAGGAGATTGACTTAGTGAAAAGATATCATAAGTTGAGTGCCTACCTTTTATCTTTGTACGGGGTTTTGCTTTCCCTCGATATCAAAAAAGTACGGTGCCCCTTGCAACTAGTCAGCCCAAGGCTGCTTTTTTTGTGAGCTTGGTCCTTACTTAAGTTCAAAGGAGCCTGGAAACTTGATAACTCGTCTCGTGTAAACGAAACTCTCCAGGGTATGTTGTACAACCGTGTGATAGAAGGCCGGAGTTGCCATCTGACCGCGCAACATTGAATCCTTCGCAAGGCTCCCGAATGACGTATTGCTGGACCACCCATCCAAAGTGATTGTCAAGACAGTTTCTGTGATAGTCAGCACTGTTGTTCTCCGCCACCAGGACCAAGCCGTTGAACCGCCATATCTCGTCACGTATACGCTGTGCCCAGTAGAGTTGCTGTTCAAACAAAGCGCCATTCATTTCCCATAAGTATTAAAACCTTCTCCGCATATGCCCCCCGCCAATTCGCCATCAAATGATTTTATACAATCGCCTCAAGGGTACCCGACGTCCCGTCCCAGGCGTGGTGGAAATTATAAGCAGGCGTCGGTCGACCCCGTGACAAACACCTGCATATAGGATATCTTTTCCATCTTCTTTATCCCCGTCTCTCCATGCCCACCGATTATCGTTCGACGGCGCCCGGTGCCGTTGTCCTTTTGACCCAGCCCTTCAAGGTCTCATCCTTCTGTGTGTTTGGATCTCCGTCGTCCGTCCATGTCGTGAAAAAAGCATTCATGGGTATCTTGTCCCTCGATTCTTGGTGAAAACTTCGTCCGCATTTCTGCTCCTTTTCGTCGAAATTCGTGGAGTGCTTACGCGCCGCCAACGAGGACCTGGTTGAGGGGAATGTGGACTTTGCGGATGTTAGCTTGTATTGAACGTTAGGGGTCGGGGAGAGAGAGCGATACGTACTGAGCTTAACAAGGTAGCCGACAGCCTGTAAAAATCATGTTAGAGCTGTGTTGGATCGTATACATGTGGTTTGCGTTCAACTTACACCCATGACTGTGACAATGTTAGCTGGTGCTCCGAGAACAGCGACAAGGAACAGGGAAGAACTTACTCAAGAAACCAGTACCAACAGCCTGGGAGATCTTGATGAACTCGCGGCGATCAGCTGTAGGAGAACTACAGTTAGCATCGATGCTGTTGGGTAGCGTAACGGTTGGATTGCCGGATCACCTACGCTTCTGGCACTTCTTGATGAACTGGATACCGTCCTTGAGGAACTCGCGGGGCACGTCGAGGATCTCTTGCAATTGGTCCGCCATTGTAGATTATTGTGTTGTGTATTGGGGAAAAGGAAGGCGAGTATACGTTGGTCAAAAGAGAAAGGAGTCGTGGACGGGCAGAAGGTCGATGTTGTGGTGGATTAAAGAGTGGAATAAGTCTAGAAAGTGGAAAGAAGTCGCGTTCGTAAATTGGGGAAACGGGAAGCTGTCACCTTCCTTCCAGTCGCCTCACCAAATGCCACATCGCCTCAATCCATTGGCGTTCGGCCTGCGCTGGCCGAGAGCTGAGATGGCCTGTGCTTTCGGCAAAGGGGGCTGCATTCCTAATCGGGCATGGTGCTGATTTCCACCCAATGCTGGGGTTCCCGGCAGGCAGGGCATCAAGTCAACCGACTTCCCAGAGTCCATCATCTCCAATCTTCATATCGAACACTCATCCATAAACTGGTCACGGTACTTTGGATTCATTGAAATTCCACAATGAAAGGATCTTACATCGCCCTTCCAGACTTACTGCTGGCAGAAAAATGACACGGATGCTGCTCAATGACGATGCAGGCTCGTCTGGCTTCTCCGTCCGCCTGGTTGATGAAAGCAACGAGCAGTTTGGTCGAGTGGGTACAGCGCTTTGCCTGATATAGAAGCAGAAACAACTGAAGTAATCAATAACATCCAAATTAGATGACGAAACGTCCAAGAGTCCATAGGCACCGGATCAAGGGTATCGCCAATCGTTTCCCTCGCGACCTGTGCCCCTCGTGTCCTACACGCCATACTGATGTTATCCTCATATCCAACATCATCACCATCCCCTTCCTCCTTAGACGATAACCGACTGAACACACTTGACCCTTCCCACAAGCTTAGCCACCTCGTTGATATTGACGCAACCCTCCGGCATACGGCCGAGGTTGACGCCCTGACAGACACCGCCGTCCTTGCTCTTCTCCGAGTATCCGTACCAGCCCCTCGCCTTGCTGTCGAGCCCGTACCCGTTGGCCAGGTATACCGAGTTAGTGGTGTCGTCCATGGTGACGTCGTAGAGGAGGAAGGAGTTGTGGCCATAGTTCCAGTCCTTACTATTTGGTGGGAAGCGCGGAACATGTTAGATTTCTAGTCTCGCTCTGGTTGTCTGCTTTGTGGGGTTGCAGGCGGGAGAGTTGGCTTGGTCGGGTATCTTACCAGTCGGTATCCTTGTACTCGTTGGCTTTGGGTTAAAGCAGAGGTGAAGGGGACAGAAGCCGCGATGGTGAGAAGAGTGGCGATGGAGAACTGCATTGTTGCTGTTGTTGGGATAATTGCTTTATTCTTGAGAGATATGGTTGTGAGGTTGTGGTTGAGGTGAAGTCGTTGCTGAAGCTTTGTTGTGATCTTGCTGGTGTTGTTGATGGTGATGGAGGATGAGACTGGTAGCCGAGACAGGGCGTTGCGTAGGTTATATCGACTTTACGTGTGCCCAGTGGGTGAGCCCACAAGACTTCCTCCTCCTCCAGCTCATTAGGATCGTCAAGGTGAGCCTCATGGTGTTGTGGCACTAAACCATTATCCCGTGTCACTTGATACATTACTCATTTTAGTGCTTGGAAACACCAAACTCGGAACCAAAAAGGAGGTTGGGACAAGATCCAAAAGATCACCGTTCGCGCTACACTACCAAGCAGCTCCTTCGACCCTCACCAGTTCCATCGTTCAAGTCGCCATCTATGACTATCACAACTGCCTTATGGAGACAGCTTAGTGTAGGGTCAAAGTACGTGTCTATTGCTGTGATCGGACGAGGTTCCTTCTGCCTGGGTGACTTGATCAGCAGTGCTATCGTCTGTTTTCCAAAAGGGAAGTGTCTTCTTGTCTGCTATAGCATTCATATGTTCCTAAATTCGGGACAGCGGAAATACTTCTGTAACCGCTCATTTCAAGTCTCTTGTCCTGTTCCTTGCATACCCACCTAAATCACCATAACGGAGCATCGGTCCTGCACCACCTTTGAAAGTGTTTGGAAGCACGGCATCTGGTATGTCATTCTTGTCATCGACAAGAAGGATCATAGAACAGTGACACAAGGATGTCAATTCAAGTGTAGTCCCACTTGGCTCAAAAGACAAAGTGGTTAGCACTTCAGCCTCGGAGCCTCAACTTTGGTTTGTCGCCAAACCCTTTACATCTCCAGCACTTTCTGGGCTCGCCAGGCTGCCGTTTATTGTCGAAACCCCAGTCGGAGTTTCGCAATCCTACCAGTCCTAACAGCTCAGCGCATAGGTCCAATCATTTCTGACATTAGTTGATGCCAAGGTGTGCCCATACCATCCTCTTTCAAGTACCGCCGTACAATCTTTCAGGATCACCTTCCCGTCGGCAACTTGGGGACAGGTGACAACATGTTTGAACCCTTTCTCTCCGACGCAATACCTCTGGCTTAGTAGAGCCTTGTGACTCGTGTCTCGTGTCTGAGGTCCTTCCGATCCTTCCATGTAACTCCGAACTGAACATATCATCGACACAAAGTTCATCATTCTCCTTCGCGAGCTCGGCTGTTCCTCGAACTTGACCTGTTGCGTCAAGGGTCTGGGGCCGCAAATCTCCATGATGGTCATCTTGCCCTTGGATCCCTCGGGGAACATTGTCACTTCTGTAACCTATCCTCGATCATGCCGTCTTTTGCGAAAGATGGCGAGCAGGAAGTTATGATACCCCGCGGGCCACATTAGCAACTACATTTCCCCTTACCCACGCTTCCACAACAAGGGCTACCCAAGGGGGGCAACAAGAAAAGAGTGACATCCAGTCACTATCCCGTGAACTGAGCCGTCAAAGATAAAACAAAGGGGAAAACTGCAAAAGAAAGAAGAGTAAATAGAAAAGCAAAAGTGAGGCGAGTCCTGAGCAAACAAGGGGCCGCATGTACAGCGCAGTACAATATACTAACTTCTCCAAAACACAATCCCTAAAACAGACATCACCACCTCGAGCACCAACCAACATACCAAAAATAAAAACAAAAAAGAAACAAAAAGATAAATCGACCCACGGGCGGCTCGAACGCCCAATCTTCAGAGAGAGTTTCTTGTTTTTTGATAGAAAACCGAAATCTGACGCCTTACCATTTGGCCAGCGGGCCATTTGATGAAAGACACATTGCAGAAGATGGTTTGTATAGGGTGGGGAAAGCTCCAACTGTTTATGGAGCTCTTACCCCTTTCCTTTTTCCACTTCTTTTGGTACCCCGCACTTAGGTTGTGACACTGGAACTTCGCTCCTTCTTTTCTTTTCTTTTCGTTGCTTCTTCCGACATGACCTGCGCGTACTTCAGTTTTCATCAATGTGTTCTCAAGGATGTTGATTCCATTCGGGGTCAAGCTTGACTCTGACTTCTTTTCTCTACCACGGACCGGGTACAATGGCAGACAAGAACAGCTTGAGTGATTGTTCAGCTCTCAGGTTAATGATAATTGATCAGTGGGCGGCATCATGCCCAATTGGACTCCCCATGCTACACAGCTCCTCGTGAGACTGGCAGGGTCTCAACGAGACAGCTACCTGATTATGAATTTACAGACGAAGGACGGAGGGCTTATCGATACCTAGCTCCCATGGCCTCATTGTCATGTTTCCGTACCTGAACTCGGCGCCACGGTTGATGCATCATCCAAGATACCTTGGCAGTAAGTCAACAAGCGATGCCAACACTTATCTCGCCGGAACCCCATAGTTGCGCAAAATGCTTTTCGTCAAAGCTCATCTTTTCCTTCCACGGAAGCGCCGTTGGCCGCACGGTTGCGGGCCCGGAGGTGTACATGTTTGACCTCCTCTACGACGAAGCTGTCGCGCTTTCAAAGGATTCATCGCCAGATAAGGGTGATGGATGATCGTGTATGAAATGGTTGGTTACCGAGTTGCCTCCGGTTCGGAACGCTTCTGGTCTGGGCCAACTACTTGATTTGGTAGGCGAACATGGCTCGGTCAAAACTCATCTTTCCCCCCAGTGGGTTAATGGGGGATACGCCTCTTGGCTATGGTCCTTTCGTGATGTGGACGGGCTTTGTCGGCCATCTGGTCGGGCTGGCAAAGAAAAGGGGACTGGGAAAAAGGGTGCGGCCAAGGTGCAAGGGAATTTGTTAGGTGTGGACAAGTCCTGGAATCGGATGGAATATGAGCCAGAAGTCGCGGGGGTTTTGGAAAAAAAGACTGGCAGGAAGAGCCTCAGGAATAAGGCTATGTACTTGCGGATGTGTACGCAGACGACTTCGATGATGAAGTCCTGGACGAAGCTGGTGAGCGCACTAACGCCATGGTGGAAGTGACCGACTGCGCAAAGGTAACACTTTGTGCAAATCAAGAGTTGGTATCAATTACGACTTGTCCTTGCTCGTTGCATGGAATCATCACACTGAAAAGATCACAGTGATCCTGCGGCACGAGAGGTCTTGACCAGACAAGACCCCCGAATATACATCCGGCCTCGAAGTCATCTCTTGAACTAATACGAAGGTGGTTCAACTAATGTCCACGATACCCTAGTTCAAGCCGTTTTGGGTTTTGCAAAAAGTGACGAAAGGCGTGTACTGCAGAGCGGAAAGGTATTAGCCATGCGAAGGAAAGGAGCAACTCATCAACCCTTCAAAGCATGGAGGACGACCTGGGCTCCTCGGCGCTATTTCACCAGCACCAGATTAACATTGCTCTAAACATATGGCTATAAAGAGAGAGCGAGTGCAAAAAGGCTGGGGTTGTGGTTTTACATGCACGTTTCTCGAAGCCAGCCAGATTTCCAGTCAACTGTCTGGCTTATCTTCGTGAATAGCTTCCAGTGTTTCCTCAAAATTGCTCGGCAGTCATGGATCCCTCATGTGCCGGCGATATTTACGATAGCCTCCTTTTAACAGTACATGGCGTGCCTTGCAATAGATTAACTGATTCCTCCCTTTAACGTCGGACAGTTGAAACAGGTGCTGTTGGTCGTGCAGGCAGGCATGAGCCGACATCGAGCAAAATTATATATCCGTTCTACCTGTTGAATAACGAAGAACCAATCGAAATGAAAATGCAGGAGAAGCTATAATAAAGAGCTTTGAAAGAGAAAAGAGTGTCAGACAGGAAGAAAAAAAGTCAAAAGTGAAGGTCGTACCCGGAATCGAACCGGGGTTGCCGGAATGTTCTGAGGAATTTCAGAATCCGGAGTGATAACCGCTACACTATACAACCGTTGTTGAGTGAATGTTTTAGATGTACATTCTATATTGGCCAGCCCACGCTCCGGCCACAACCAACCACTTCGTGTCATGCTTTGCTTCGTTGGAAGTACCGACCGCTTACTGTTGTGGCCGGTAGACTCATGAATAAAAAAATATTGTCCCCTCCAAGTTTGCATAGTCAGAAAGGGCCTTGAAAACTGCTTCAAAATCTCGCTAATATAAAAAGAGAAGGAAAAGAACCTTAGGCAAACTGGTCATCATCAACTCCAATACCGACCCCCCTCCCGCCCATGTCCCCCATCTCCATCTCCTGCATTTCCTCCGCTTCATGCCCTCCACCTCCCTTCTCCCCATCACCACCACCAACAACCGTGGGTCCAATCTCGTCCATCTTCACCACACTCTCATACCCAACCCTCAAATTCTCCGCCCCACTCAACGCCCTCTGCACCAAACTCTCATGCCTTTCCTCCACCAGCTTCCTCAGCGCCATCACCAAGAAATGCGCGACGACATCCACCGACCAGCCGTCCGGAATCATCCCCAAGACCTCCAAAACATCAAACCAGCCGCCAAACCGCTCGAGTAGCGCGCCCGTCTGCTCGACGCGGTCGCTGAGGTCCTCGATGGCGAGGAACTCGGCTAACAAAACGTGGAAGAGGTGGGACTGGGTTTCCTTGCTGGGTAGAGGCTGTTTTTGCTGGGCAGGCGCCGTGCTGTTGTTGAAAGAGAGGGAAAGGCCGCCCCTTAGGCAGTAAGAGACTGCGGAGTCGTAGTCGCCTAGGTGATGGACGAGCAGGCGGATGGAGTCTTCGTGGTCGTGGAGGCGGCCGTTGATAATGATGGCTTCGGGAACAAGGAGACGCTGTTTCTGCTGTGGTTGCTGCTGCTTCTGTTTTGAGGTATGTGATGCGCCGTGCTCTGAAGAGAACTCTGCTAGGGAGGAGTCGATGCGCTGGCGGATGGCGCCGGCGTCGTAGTCGTTCGCACCGCCTAGGAGTTGCAAAAGTCGGAGTCGGCTTTGCCAGGCTTCATTGTCTGGAGGGGCGTTGTCGGTTAGGAATTGGCGATATGTGGGTTTCGGAGGGCGCAAGGCGCGGTAGGCTTCATAAGAGGCCGTGACGGTCGCTCGGGATTCTGGTGAGCTTTGTAGGTCGTTGATGACAATGTCGAGGTAGTACGTGATCAGCTCGTTGATATAGGCCGTGCTGCCCTTTCTGAACACGAGATGCTCGAGATAGTACTTGACTGCATCGGGTGCCTCTTCTCTTAGAAGGGCAACTACTTCTGTGGGCACCAACTTCGGTGCTTTGATTTTGTCGTCGGCGAAAACTTCGACACCCAGCTTGGGATTACGCTTAGCAAGCCAGACACCGTATTTTTTCACCAGCTCCTGGCTACTGATGTTGCTGAGATACCTTCTGACTTGCAACTCGCCGTCGCTCCCCAGCTCGCCGCCCCGGTCCTCTTCCCCTTCGATAATACGCTTCCATGTTTTGAGCACATAAGGCGATAGCTTACGTTGCTGATAGAGCCGACTAAGAACATACAGGCGGCGGTATCCCTCTAGCAGGCTAATCGCCCTATCAAAGCAGTCGACTCCGTGGTCCACGAGTTCATACAGTTCCTTTCGAGGTGAACCAGGCTCGCCAGACTTGCCTACAGGTGTGTTTTTGTCCAGCTCCAGGAGCACTAGTAGCAGGGACGCATCCACTGTCCGAAAGATCTCGGCCGAAATACTGCCGAATCCCCTTTTGTTTCTCCAAGCTGTGAGGAATCGGCGTAAGAAGTCCAGCACATGTCGAGGTAGCGCATCGACCGTCTGCGTAGCTTCGTTGTCCTTCTCCGCTGCGATGTACTCTTCGACGAGAGATTTGATTCCCCCATAAACCCAAATGCCCTTTTGGCCCACGACGATCTCGTTTCGAAGAGCAGGAATTAGTGACAAGACAACTCTTGCGTCTAAGTCACCGTCAAGCAGACTTGCTTCCATTTGCCTGGTCTCAAAATTGCTAAAGGGGGATTCGGCAGAGTTTAAAAAGTGAGTGACAAGCATGATGCTGGCTCGTTGCTTGACGTATCCGAGAGTCATAAACTCAAGCTCTGTCTTGGGCTCCCGGTTATTGATAGTTTTTATGAGACCGAGAAGTTCTGTTTTCTGTTCCGAGTTGTTTGAGCTGCTCTGTTGTTCTCTAGAGGTTGCCAACTCCAGGCTCGATTCCAACTGAAGCAACAGGGGGTTTCGAACAGCCCACCATATGTTCGCCCCTGTCCAGACAGCAAGGCGTGACGAGCCTTTGGCAAGCACACGCACGAAATCCTCGTTCTCTCTGTTCCGCACCGTCTCCCAGTTTTCCGGCAGCGGCTCCTCTTCCGATCCAAGGTCTCGATCAAATAGTTCCTTCTCTCGTGCTAGTCGCTCTATGGAGGATGCCGTACGTGAGTCGGCCCCCTTTGTGGACACAGTATGTGTTGCAGAACCCCCATTGAAGGGCGAAAACCTCCTCTGACAAAGCCGTTTGACTACTTCCTCAAACTGCATCTCTTCGCTAGCCAAGAGTGATCTGATGCCTATAGGGGCGTTGGTAGCAGCAGCAGTAGCTGAGTCATCCTTGTTAGGCACTTCCAGCCAAAACTTCTCTGCTTCATCTTCTCCGACGCTGACATCGAATCTTTGGATCTCCAAGCCCTGATGTACACCATCTTCGAACTCCTTTCCCATAGAAGCAAAGACATAGCCCTCATCTTCACGGCCCATCGTCGATGCCCCTGGAGATGAAACGTCGGGCACACCCCCATCAACAGCAATCTCCCGTGGATATCTCTCAAACTCAACGGTGGGCCTCGTAGGCTCGCCATCCAGATTCACAAACATGCCGATGCCGGGGTCGAGGGGTCCTGTTCCCGTTACGAGCAGGAACTCTTCTGAGGAGGGGGACACAATATGTGGCTTCAAAAAGACTAATCCAGGTTGCGGTTTAGGCGATGCTATGCGTGCCGGCGAGACCCCCCCTGGGCCAGAAGCTTGGGACGCTAGAGATGCCGCCGAATCTAGTAGGGGAGGAGGTAATGGTTTGTCCGCATCTTTTGAACCTGGGCTGGGGTTGGACTCTGGATTGGAGGAAGCTTTTGGTGTGCCAGGTTGCTGAAATACAGGATCCTCTTGCTCTCCTTGCAGTCTTTGGTTCCCACGCATGTTCCCTATCAACCCGGACAAGCTTGTGCTTCTTGAGTGGCCCTGGAAGTCAGCAGGGGCGAGTCTTGCTGTCGCCGATGATGCGCTCCTCGAGTGACCTCCATTTTCGGGGGGCCCTGCGATATTCTGGGTTTGGCCATATTGCCCTCCCGGAGCCGAGTCATCCAGGGAGGATATGCTCATTAACGGGATCTTGAGCTGCCGATCAACGTCTAGCAAAGCATAGCTTCTGGAATCGGCAACGCATGCTATTGAGTCCCTCCGCACCGAGAGAGTACTCCCGGCAAAGTCGATCTTCCTGATGACACGAGCATCGTCCCCAATCCTCACCACCTGTATGCGTCTGTTGAGCGAAAGAAGAATGGTGACGGCGGTCCCTGGATATTCGAAATCCTCGTTCAAGTCCACACCTCCAATCCAGTTACAGTTCCTGACTTGGGTGGTCCCAAAAACCGGGCTCAGCTCGGGTAGCGAGTAGAAAGTGACTGTCCAGTTGCAAAGGATACAGGCCTTGCCTACGCGGGGCAGTAACAGGATCTGCTGGACACCCGGTTTCGGGCCATTGGGCGAGCCGGAGGTTTCCGAGTAAGCAGGGAGTAGTCTCGACGCGAGGATGAAGGTGTCGGTACTGTTTGGATCGTTGGGATCGCGCGGTATGCGGAAGAAATGGAGCAGTTCGGATGCGGAGGTTCCCACATACAGGTTACCGTCTGGGTTGGGCGCAAAGCAGGGTGTCAGTATGGCTGGGCGCATGGACAGCAGTTACAAGGTCGTAGGGGAGCTCACCCAGGTAGTCGACGCAGTTGATCTTGATGTCCTCGTCGTTGCCCTCAGCCGATAGAGGAACATCGTGGAGCAAGGGCCGCAAGACATATGGACCGGCTGCCATGGGCTTGGGGGATGCTGCGGGTGCGGGTGCCATTCCGGTGCAGCTTCGACAACATTGTTACCTGGGCATACCGGGTCGAGAAAGGCGGATTTGCGCAATGCGACTTGTACCACGTAGCTGTGTGTTGTTGTCCTTGAAGCTTTTCGCAAGTTGCAAGTCGAGAGGAAGATCGGATCGATGTCACCGGCTGCGGGATGGGAGCTGATGCGGGACACCTTCAGGCAGTTACGTAGTACCTACCTCTAGGTACCAGTGTACATAGTGAGGATCCCTGTACCTAAGTTCAGTGGGCTGTTGGTGGAGGTGACGACGCTGGGCTTTCCCTGTGCTGTTCCTGGCCTGGGGCTGTTGGTGCTGCGCCCTGTGCCCTGGGACAGTTCCAGGCGGGTCGATCTTGCCTCCCGTCGGCGGGGGCCTAGTAGGTGGCATGCCTGAAGCCCGGACCACGGCAACAGGAGCGGCATAGGAACACCTCAGTGACGGTCGGCTGGTGTTTGGTGTCCGATGTAAGCTGAACACTCCCTGCCACGCATGCATCACCGTTTGACATATTATCTCCCGACAATCATTTGCCCACATCGATACCACATCCCTCGAGAAGGTACAGTAGTCGACAGACAACAACCCAACACCGTTAATTGTATGCAATCCCAACCCTAGGCCGGCCTAGGTCTCGTAATAAGAACTTGAGCACTGCGCAAGCAGGCAAATACCGACACTATGGCGGATGTCATCAGCCCGGAGGCTCTAGGAGCAGGAGGAGGAGGAGGAGGAGGAGGAGGAGGAGGAGGAGGAGGAGGAGACGCCCCGAATGCGACAAACAAGTTCCAAAGTGCCATTTCACAATGGAGAAGTACGACGGTCTATACTCCCCAGTCTTGAAGCGCTTCTTCCAGCTGGTGTTTTCTGACTCTACCTTGTCTAGGTCTCGACTTCACTTCCTTAGTCTCGAATCTGGACAACACGGCGTCAGAAATCGTTACCTTCCAACGGGACTCGACCGTACAAAGAAAGGACCTCGCACAAAAGACCAAGGACTTTCGCAAGTTAGACGATGCGACCAAGCTGGGAGAGATCAAGGGGCTGCTTAAAGGTACGCAACATCTCACCCGAGAACAACGCCGGCTCCCAAAGTTAGTGGACTAACACAAACACCACAACAACGACAGCCTACCAGGGCTTTATCGACCTCCTGACGAACCACTCCAAGTCTGTCAACTCGGCCTTTCTCCACGCCTACACATCCTTATCCGAAGCGCCAGATCCGTACCCGCTACTCGAGGCATCGGTCGACTCGATGCTTGTCTCGGAAGACACGCTACCGAAGCTCACCGAGGAGAACAATCACTTGCAGAAAAACGTGGCCAAGCTCACATCACAGCTTGAAGAGACGGAATCTCGACTTCAGAAAGAGTCCGACGCCAGAAGACAGCTAGAGGAGAATTTGGAATCCAAGGTCAGGGAGGTCGAGTCTTCGTGGAATGCCGTGCTCGAGGAGAAGCAGGACAACTGGACGGCCAAGGAGAAGGCACTCGAGGAGAAGATTGAGAACCAGGACCGTCTACTCAGCGAGCTCAAGGCTAGCTACGAAGTCAACCAGAGACTGGGCAAATCTGATGATGCCGAGGAACAGACCGGTCACGTTACGAGCGCTGAGTTGGAGATGGTCCAGTCCGACTTGGAGCGCACAAGTACGAGACTTGCCGAGGTGGAAGCCCGCAACGAACAACTGCGCCTTGAGCTTGCGCAATCAAAGTCGCAGGTTTCCGCACAGCCGGCTACTTCTTTGGAGGACGACCCGGGATATCTGCGCGTGAGGTCGGAGAATTCGTCGCTGATCCGCAAGCTGGACGCGGCGCGAGTGGATAAAGAAGCACTGAAGAGAGAGCTGGACACCAAGCTCCGTGGGCTGGAGAGAGAGGTCGGCTTACTTAAGGAGGAACGGGACGCGCTGAAGGCCAAGGTTCAAAAGTGGTCAGACTATGACGATGTGAAGCAGGAGCTAGAAGTTCTCAAGAGCATCGAGTTTGCAACAGGTGATGACGACGACGCGGTACGAGCGGTTTCGGGCGATAATGCCGACGGAGACAACGAGGCGAGAGAAAAGGGGGATACGCTCGAGCAGCTTCTCCTCGCGCGGAACAAAAAGCTCAATGATGAGCTGACCATCCTGCGCGTCTCGCACCAGGACCTCCAGACTCGCCTTCAAGACTTGCAGGAAGAGCTATCTCGGACGAATGCCGAGCTTGAGAAGTCGCAAAACCTCAACGAGAAGCTTGAAGATGAGCTCTCGATCATCCAAGCTGAGGCGCCCAATGCTTTCCCTTCGGGAGCATCTGTCGCCCGCTATGCCCCCTCGATCGCACCCACACGGAAGTTGGGCGGTGGCAGGATATCCCCTACCTCTTCGATCGTGAGTGGCTTCAACCCCCGCGGTGCCGATCGCGACTCGCCCGATTTTGCTGGCGGCGGAGCTGGTGGCATTCTCCCCATGATCACCGCGCAGCGCGACCGGTTCAAGAAGCGCAATGCTCAGCTCGAGCAAGAGCTGTCCGAGACCCACAAGACGGTGTCCCAACTACGACAAGAAATCGCTGCTCTCCAGCGGGACAACCTGAACCTCTACGAGAAGACGCGTTACGTGTCCAGCTATAACCGCGCTGGAGGCGGCATGGCGTCGGCCACCTCGACAGCCTCCTTCTCATCGAACCCTAACCCATCCGCTGTCTCCTTCGGCGCAACAAGCGGCAGCGACGGGAACCACGGTGGCGGCGGCGTAGCACTGGACCGATACAGAAAGGCGTACGAGTCCAACATCTCGCCCTTTGCGGCATTCAGGGGCCGCGAGTCTGCTAGGGCGTACAAGCGGATGAGTCTGCCGGAGAGGGCGGTGTACTCGATCACGAGGATGGTGTTGGCTACGAGGACGAGCAGAAACCTATTTGCAGCGTACTGCGTGGCGCTACATGTGCTGGTATTCCTCTCACTGTATTGGATGGGCTCGGCGGATGCAGATCAGCATGTTGTGACTGCGGCAGTCGGTGCCGTGGGTTCGGCCGCGGGGGGTGCAGGAGCGAGTAGTGGTGGGGAGTGGAGTGAGGAAGGGTTTAGTCATCGGTAGGACCGATCGAAACACCATCCGCCCGAGAAGAATTGGCGGAAGGAAGAATGATGGGATGACGTTAAGGAACTGCATATCGAAGCGGTAAACATGATGATTGAGACGTACCAGTGGGCGCCTGGAACGGATAATTCGGCGTTGCGCCTATGTTTTTCTTGGATCGATAAGAGAGATTGCGCTCACATGCTGGTCTCGTTTCGAAACAACCATACCAACATCAAGCAAGTACATCATGTAGTAAAAAATGGATGATTGGAGCGGTAGTGCTATGGAAGGTGGTCGGAATTCGGATATGACAAGATGAAGAAGGAGGTCTTGGAGGGTCCTACGGGAAGGCCAAGATCTGAGCTACCGTGCCGTGAGCGCCTGCGGGAATACTAGGCCGGAGAAGTGACCCTGACATGCCTGGTTGGCCAAATCCGAGGGCTTCCTTCGGATCCATGTGGTGGCTTCGTTGTGGTCCATGAAGAGTGCTCCCTTATTGGGTTGGGTTTTGGTGCCAGCGAAGGCTTCAAGAGGGTGGTTGCGAAGCGAGTCGAGTGGTCAGTTAGGATAGATAACTTGTACTATTGTATAATACCTTCAGTTTTGGAAGATCTCCATGACCAAGTAGCGGTGATCGGTCAATTAAACAAGCAGAAAGTGCCATCCCGCGTGATACGACAACTGACTGCATAGGAACAAGATCTCGTCACTCCCGCCCGCTCAACCCACCCATGGAACGAAGCCAACTATCTCCCAAGCAACCACCTATTTTCATTTGTTCCTCAACTTCCATCCCATCTATCATCGTTACGCACCTACCTACCTACCTGTACACTCTCGCTGTACCACAACACACGTCCACCCAATGACGGTACAGCGCAAACCCATTTGGTTGGCCATTGAACAAAATAGACGCCGGCCGTCTACCGCGGCCGCCCTCCATGATTGCAGGTGTCCTGTCGTGGCACCGGTATTTCCGAAGTTCTAATGGGGAAAATCAAGATGACACCATGATTTGCGATTTCCCATAGGCGAGATCTTCATATGCATGGCAAGTTGGAGTCGGTAAGGTAGGGGTGGGCAATCTAATTTTCCTCGTGGTGATGGTAAGTAGGTATGACTTTTTTTTTGTTTTTTTACAAGTACCTACATAGTACGCTACTAGTTTGGTTTCGTTTGGGAAGATGGATGCCAAGGTGTTCTAAAATGTTCGTTGTCAGGCTGATGAAAATGTGTAGATGTAAGGGAGGTTTGGTGATGTGGGTGTTTAACTTGTTTAGGCTGTCGGTGAGCCGGTGTTTCTTCCAGCCGGAGTTACTCTTCAACAGTGATGAACAACACTCAGTAATTCTCCTCGCTCTCAACTTTCGCCCTAGCAAGAGCATGACTTCGGTAAGTAGGCAATTTAGACAATATTCTCCTTCAACAACAAGGTAACATCTGGTCTCATCCTTTTCCAGACATCTCTAGGACACGTCTCGCAAGCATTGACTCGACATTCTGGTGTCTGAACTTGTAAGATCGCAAGTAACCTTCCACCACAGCCGAACGGACGGGCAACACGGCATCCGTACTTGGTTTGTCATGGCGACACTGATCTGTGTTCCAATGACAGCTCTCCTTCCAAGCTTCATGAAGACATGAACAGGCTGGACTAACTTCCCCTCTTTCGTCGGTCGTCGTCCTTCCTCGATATGTAGGTATTCGATTTCGATGCCACCTCCCATCTATGAGCAACCTAATTTGCCCTATTGGAAAGAACCGAATACTCGCTACATAGAGACTGGTCTAGATCCTAATATTTGCCCAACTATCACTTCGCCTATTTCTGCATACAACGAACCATACCGTTCCCGGAAAGAAGAAAAAAAGGACAAGGTTGGGAGAAGCAACCAAGCAAGGAGGAAAGCAAATCTATTTTTGCCCGCATTGCGACTTCTCATCTGACGTTACATCAATCAGCGCGGACGGTCGGCCGTTCGGCTTACACGACGACAGGTCGATGGCAAGTCGGACTAATTCGTCCCACTTGGACTAGTGTCTTGCAGAACTTACAACATGTGTAGCCGCCCATCCTACACTACACTATTAGCCCACATTCTCAAAACATGGGTCTCTGTGGTCCAATGACACCAGTAAACAGGGGTCCTCGAACACAACACCGGGCATGTCTGCTGTGGGAGGATTGACAAGGGGGAAGACCTGCAGACGGGAGATCGGCTTTGAGACATTCCATGTTTCTTGATTCTTGTTTTTTTTTTGTTTTTTTTTTTTTTCGTTGGAAGGGGGGGCAGCGGAGGGGAAGGGAAGAGAGAACCCGTAGACCGTATACTGTTGCGGATGAATAGCAACATGTTTTGTGTGGTAGAGGAATGAAGTTGGCTGAGAGGAAGGAAGGAGCAGGAAGGATCAAGAGAAACACTTGTCGAATCAAGTAAATTACTGACCATCGGTGCGGCCCCGACTTCTTTGCCCACATTCGACATGATATGAATCAGATAAAGCTGGTGGTAGATCCTCTTACACTTCAAAACCCCTCATGGGTGTGTCGTCTTGGATGATTATTCTCTGTCTTACCTAGCTTAACGAGACTGACACTCACAGAATACACCCTACTTTTCGTTGCTAAAAAGGCCACCGGCACTTGTCGGCCGATCAGTCACCGGACGGCCATGCTGCCATGCTGCCACGATGCCGATCCCCGGACCCGTCGATGCCATGACGCCCGTGGACGGGATACGATGGTTGGAACACTGGATGCGGTGCTAACGATAAATAGAGAAAGATCTTCAGTGCTCAGACGTTCCAGATTCTGCGCGGTCGAAACAATGGTAGACGTGGTGGATGGTGGTGATGGTGGATGAAATGTGCTTGCTCAACTCGACAATTCGTTCACATGCTGTTTCCCATCTTTCCGTCTCTCGCTCGATTCTTGATCCAAATATCTTCAGTATTAGCTATCGATGACGGTTTATTCGACATCATTTCGGACATCCTGCCAAGCAAAGAGATTACGATACACTACACTACACTACATAACAGCCACTGTGAAAGGCTGGGAATCTTGACTGTCTGACTGTCAACTCGACTCCTAGTGTACCTGGTGCGCATGGAACCTGTGAGGAGAGGATGGATGATGACGACGGGAGGACAGACAAGGGACCACAAAATAAAGTGGTACGCTAACACAGCGAGCCCCTACTAGCGCACGGTTCCGGCGCTTGCAGTGGATCAGACGGGGATCTGACAGACAGGGACTCGTGTGGGTTCATCCAATCAACCTCTAACCTTCCAATTCTGGGGGACACGGGGACAAGGGGACAAGGGGACAGGGGACGGACTTGGGCCTTGCGGTCTTCTCTTGACGGTCTCTTGTCTTTCGTCCTCCAGACCACGCTCTTCTTTTTCGACGGGAGCACCGGCGGCTGCCCAGCGAACCACTGAACATGCAGTGTTTCCTCTCAAGTGTCCTCACCAGGGGCATCCACGGTCATCCAGGATGCCTTGAACGTCAGGGATAGTAGTGTAGTACCGCGTAGCGCTACCATACCCTCCATGGTCTCTACCATACTTTTTGAGTACGTACTCCCCAAGCGAAGTGTGTGAGTGAGTGCGTGTAAACATGGGTGAGTGTATGTCCCTGTGCCGCCGTCCCGGAAGAGCGTTGCGTCTCTCTGGTCCAGTCAAACGTGTCGATGGGACTGCTTAATCTATTTAGCCCTCCAAAGCCGCCGCTTCTGGGAAGATGATGGAGGGTCAAGATCGACATCCTCTCCTTCCATACCGATTCTCATATATCTGCCATCTGGAGCCTCCTCCTCGTCCTCCTCCTTCTTCTACCGACCTCTTATTTGATCTCACTAGCATATTCACTGGTTGGATTATTTCTTTGAGGGTCGTCTTTCAGTTGTTTTCTTTTTGGGTTCTCTTATATCACGGTTTTCCTGGGTTCTTTTCGTCTCTTAACGGGTTTCGACGATTTCCTATTCATCATCATCATCACGATACCCAATCTCAGCAGCAAAAAGAACCACTGGTGGTTATTGGTTTTCTCAGAAAGGCGGCTTTCACTATTGGGCAACGACAAAAAGCAACAATTTAGTTCATCATCTTGCTCAATCCCACTACACAACAACAAACACAACACCACAATGCGTGCCTCACTATTCCTCTCGGCGCTCAGCGTCTCCTCCGTTATGGCCGCCCCACTACTTCCCGAGATCAACGCCCACTCAGCTCCCGCCGACTCCCTCAAGAAGATATCAGAGTACTTCAACCTCCTCGCGGTCAAGGTCCAACAAAGCAAATTCGAGAGCGCCGTACCAACATGTGACCTCTCCAAAGTGGTCATGCCCCAAGGTAAGCTTTTCAACGCGTCCCCTCTCATCCACCTGAGCTCATGCTAACCAAAACCTCACCCTCTCTCCAGCTCCCTCCCCGCTTCCACCCCCTTCCTTCGGCCTAACCCTCCGCCACGTCGCCCTCGGCCGTGGCACCCAAAACTACACCTGCGACCCTTCCACCCCCACCGCGGCTCCCGTCGCCAATGGCGCCGTCGCCTCTCTTTTCAACGCCTCCTGCATCGTCTCCGCTTACCCCGACATCGGCGCCATGTTGTCGACTGTCTCCCTGAACTTCAACCTCTCCGACCTAGCCTCCATCGCTTCCTCCGTCGCTTCCGCCCTTCCTTTCCCTCCTTCTTTTCTCAAACAGACCCTCGCGCCCACCTCCGGCATGGCCGTCTCAGGCGCACATTACTTCACCAACGCATCCACGCCCTTTTTCAACATGGATGCCTCGCAGTGGAAGATTGGTGAGGCGCCGTGTGCCAAGAACAGCAGTACGCCTGCTCCAGAAGCGGCGCCGAGGGGCCAACAAGGTGAAAAGGCGGTTGCTTGGTTGAAGTTGATCACACGCCCGGGAGCGACGGGCGGACTGCAGGAAGTGTATAGGGTAGAGACGGCGGGAGGAAGCGCGCCCGAGACGTGTCAGGGGATGCCGGAGCATTTCGAAGTGCAGTATGCTGCTCAGTAAGTTTTTATCCCTTCAAAACACCTCATGAAAACTTTGTAAACAAAGACGGGACGGATGGTGGCTAACATTGTTGGAAAATAGGTACTGGTTTTATGGCAACTAAAAACTTTTCTGGGATGTCCCTCAGTGACTGACCATTGGATTGGATGTGGAAAATCAAACCAAAAACAAGCACCACAAAAAAAAAAAAAGACAACATGTATTTTATGGAGGAGACATCTTCTTCTTCTTTTTGTTTCTTTTCTCTCCTTTGTCTTTATTTCTCAACAATTTTCTTGTGCAATCACTTGCATATTTATACCTACCTACACCACAAAGAGGGCGTTAATGGCGGCGCCAAACAGGCACATTGTGTTGGATAAATGACAGATGGATAGCACGAGCTATGGATATAAAACTCTTGTTAGTAATACCGGGCTGACTGCCTGATCATCAACCATGGTCGGACGAGGAGAGGGTGAGGAACTGCTGGACTTGAGTAGTGGGAGATGAACAAATAAAACCAAATGTCAACTGAGGATTGGTGCTAAAAGTGATACGCGCAATGACCGAGTGCTTACGGAGATTCACAGCCTTTTGGAGAAGAGAAGGGGATAGTCACTTGAAATACGCATGTTTAAGCCTTCGGCACATTGCGAAAGAATGGTAGTAACGATTTACGCCTTGGCAATAACCGGCTGCTTAGTAGTTTTGGTTTCCTCTCTATACCTTGTCCTGCTTCTTGCCGGTACTCTGCGGTCTACCCTGTAATCAAAGGGTATGTGACTTGACCATTCAATAGCTAATACGTTAACATTACGATCACTCTTTCTTCTCTCTCCCCTCTCACCCTTGCTGCCCCCTCCATAAATCGTCCTTCCCCATCGTCCATTCAAGAGGGCTCCGTCCAGTTGACCAGATCCAATACCTGTCCCGCCGTAGGGTGTGTATATCCTATCTTGAGACGTAGACGCAAAGCCTGTGCACAAAACTGGTTAGCAACTTTATCGAAATATGGGAAAAGGACACAAACTGAATTAAACTTACCCCAGTGCAACCCGCGACTCTCATCATTTGCGTCGCCTCCGCCCCCGGCGCAATATCCGTCGACGAAATATTGAGCAGCTGTAGCTTCTGAGACTTGGGCACCGCCGCCTGCAACCCGACAGCCGAAAGCGGACCGCCAGGGAACGAGTTGCGGAAGCGAGCCGTAGCCTGGATCATGCCCTCGGCATTTCGCTGTATCTGGATGGTGACGTTCAGTCCGTTGTTGTCGTAGCAAGCATGGCCAGCCGCAGCAGCGGGCTTGGGCGCCGCTTGAGGGGCCGGAGCCGAAGCGGCGGCCGGAGCGGTGTTGAAAAGATCAAGGACTGCTGATGGAGCAGCCGCTGGTGCAGGTGCGGGAGACGGAGTGGAGGTAGGTCCCTGCGAAAAGAGATCCATGATCGAGGCAACGTTTGACTGTGCGGGAGCCGGCGAGGCTGAGGTCGGAGGCGAAGTGGTGCCGCCGAGAATATCGGCAAGGAGGTCGGCATTGTTCGTCCCGCCGTTGGGAACAGAAGGAGACGGGAGATTGGTGTCTCCCATGAGGTCGAATAAGAGATCCTCTTCCTTGGGCTTGGCAGCCTTGTTAGTCTTCTTGCCCGCCGCCTTGGTGGTCTTCTTGGCAGCTTCACCAAGTACTCGGGAGGACTCCTTGATTTGGGGAGGAGGCATCTTCTCGAGCACACCACGGCGGATCAGATCAAAAGAAAACAAGTTGCCGTATTCCACTGCACGCTGTTGAACTTCAACATCCAGACTTGTCTGGTGGTACTGAAGCAGACGGCGAACTCTCTCGATTTGGGCTGTGTCTTGCAGCCTAGTGGTGAGCTTGATGAGCGCCGTGATGATGTACTCGGTGGTGACTTGGGTAGCGTAGTTGCTGTTCAAGATGGTTGTGAACAAGTCGATAAGTTCATGCTCCTTGACCTCCTGTACGAGCTCCTCCTCCTCATACTGACCACCCCTGAGAAGAGCATCGCCATATTCACCGATGCACCACGCGCCGGCCTGCGTCAGACTTTCTTGGGTGATATCCTTCTTCAAGTTGGTGTAAAGCTTTTGCACGGCGTACGTTTGTAGCTCGGGAGTTGTAGCGATAAGGCGAATGAACGAGGACAGGATGGGCTCCTTGACGTAGTTACCGGCCAACGTCAAGACACGGAGCATCGTATCGACATGCCACCTCTTGTTCGGGGCGTATCTATCAGCGGCGATACCGATCTGGCTAGTCATATTAGGCTTAAACTCATTATCCGCCACTTCCAGGAAAGCCAACAATTCTCGGATAAGGACGCGGACGTTGCTCTCGTTGATTAGGGTGAAACTCAGATCGAGAGCTCTCCTCCTGATACTGATGTCGGGGTCCCTAAGGCACTCCAAAATGGTGTTCCGGTGTCTTTGTACAGCGTTGGTGTCGATGGCCACCACCTTGACCAGCGTGTTTAGCGCAACATAACGGATATTGTTGTCCTTGTTAGCCAAGAACTTGCCGAGGATATTGACTCCCAGCACGCGCAAGCCGGCATCGGCCTCGATATCGAGAATCGTCAGTACGGCCTCGTAAAGGATCGAGTTGCCAACGTTCTTGGTAGCGTCGGTGTTGGTCGCAACCTGAGCGAGGATATCGTTGATCTGCTCCGTAGTCTGAGCATCGCCACGGGCTAGGACTCGGAGAAGGCGCAAAATCTTGACCTGCAAGAACGGGTCGGTAATGCCCGTAACGTCGTGCTCCGGCGCATAACCGGAAGAAGCCAGTCCTTTGAGAGTCCTCACGAGTACCGGCACGAACTGCCTGAACTTCTCAATGATGCCCTCCTCCCCACCCTCAGCCTCGTCAGCTTCGCAAAGGCTGGTCACCAATGTCAAGCCGCAAAGCAACACGCCGTGGTTGCGATCTGATAGTAATTGCGCCGCCTTCTCGACAAAGTGTTCTTGGAGATCCGGAACCTTTTTGCATATGCGCATCGCACACAGAGCTGCCTTCCGCCGGATGTATGGGTTTGTCGTCGATATAAGTGTTTCGATTTGGGGAAACAGGTCTCTAGACATCTCGACCGATGCGATGTTTCCGAGGGTGCAGAGGGCGAGGCCCACCACATACTGATTCGGATGGTTAAGATCACTGTCGAGCCGCGCGTCAGCATCACGTTGCGCACCCATAATCGTCTTCCTGGACACCATACTTTTGCAGCGAGTTAGTAACCAGAGTAAGCACTTCCTGGTTCTCGTCGAGCAGCAAACTTGTCGCGAGATGGCCCAGACGCTTGTCGGCGAAGCGCGGAGAGGCCAGGAGCTTTAAACACTCGATCTGACCAAAGTGAGTGCGCTCACCGAGGGTGAAGAGGTATAATAGCTTGGCCACATTGTTGCGCCTGCAATGACACAGTTGATCAGCAAACCGAGGTCCCGGGGAAGCTTGGGTGTTGGCAGCTCAGATGCACCTGACGCTGTGATCGTGGCTCTCCTCCCTGAAGCTGGCTCTAATGGCGGCGCTCTCTTTCTGGATTACGGCTCTCTCGTCGGCGATGGTCTTTGCGGCTCGGACATTGCGAATAAACTGCTTGACTATTTGCCGATTACAAGCGTCAGTTGTGGCCTCGTCCTGGTCGCTCGAGGCTTGGGACCATGGCGATGCCGCTGGCTCACTTACGGGAACTCATGGCGATGCAATCATTAGGGGCCCGCAAGGGGGCCTGTCTAGGGGATCTGGACCAGAGTGGAAGTGGTAGCGGATGCTTGAGCTCTCGAGATGGCGGGGGAGCTGCGGAACGGAGAGCGGATGGCGGTTCTTTGGAATTTCAAGCAAGGGGTATCCGAAGAAAGTAGAGGCACGCAATGGACAAAGTTAGTACGATACGGTAAAGCAGCGGTACGTAGACATTCATGAGAGAGGATCATCTTTTTGGGAACCCGGCCGAAACACGACAAGTGGAAGCCCAGCACACAATGGGCGGGCGTGCGATGTGGCCATGGAATGCGCTTATTGGAGCTCCTCTTGACCGTGTGTGTCCACCCCCCACCTTGACCTCTCCCAGTCCGGCCGCTCCCAGCCCCAGGCAGACGGTGACGGTCAGCACGGCAGCAGTAGAGGTACTAAGATACCTACACTAGGTACCTCTAGTGTACTGTACTGGACTCGTGGCCTCAGGCAGGCACCTCTTCGCTGCAAAGCTTCCCGGCAACGACACGACGGCAGGCGCCAAACTCTCTGAAAAGCATGGACCTCAGGGACCCTGGACAGGTCGGGTGCTGTTCCTCAGCTGCGATGCAACAACTTGGTACGGCGGGAAGGTGGGGCCTAGACCGTCTTGTCAGGCACCCTGACGGCCTCGCCGGAAAAGGGATAATCAGGGTTAGGGTCAAAATGATGAATAGTCCTGTCCGAGACCAGCCACAGCATCAGACATTGCTCTTTTCGATACCTAGGGCGGCTTATCTTGTCACTGCTTAGATCTGTGAGAATGATGGTATAGGATATTGGATATTGGGATGAAATATGCTGATTAAGATGAATAAGAGCACGAGGTCCGTCAAGATTTGCACAAAACGACGGCGAATTGTTGAAGATGGAAGGTCAAACACATGTAAAGCTTATTGAGATCCTGAACCAAAGTTGATAAGCTATTCATCATCACCGTCAGTGCTGATTCTGTTTGGACCAGTCCCGAACAAATCGAGTATGAGGGCGGCAGCAATGCTTAACTATCTGCTTTTCAACAGGATAGCAATGAGCGTTTGTCAACTGACAAGCTCGGCCATATGACAATTGACTGTGTGAATACTGTATCATAGAGCTTTTGGGGAGCATGCGGTTCATCTATGGTCACAACACTGATGAACTTGATGAGGGCATCACAAGCAGCAAACAGCCTCACCGCACCCTACAGCCATCACTGACCGACAAATGACCTAATCCTCCATACATCAACGGTGATCGGGAGATGAGTTTATTCTCTCGATGCTGTGCCGTACGGATGTGTACGATACGGAAATCCCTATAGGGCTGATGATATCCACATATCCGGCCTGGGCTTGATGGTTGATGTCGCTAGGCAACACTGCCACAATCATCCTGCAGGTCATCCCCACTCGTTGACAGGTCTCCGGTCTTGCTGGTGGTCCCTGATGACATGAACTCGGCAGCTGTGCATTTGAAAAGTTTATGTAGCAAACAGTAGGGTTTCATCTGAACCTCCGGACAGAAGTGCTCCTTTGCTCATGTGGTACAGCTTCCACTTGGCGAGACAACACCGTAGGTAATGGCTCTTCACTAGCAAAGGCGGAGTAAGATTTGACTGATAACTGCTTTGGAGACGAACCGCCACAGACTCAAAGTCAAACGGAGAGAAACTTGAGTTGCTAGCGTCAATTTATGTCAACTTTACCCCATTGCTTCCCGAGCTCGGTGGTTTGAGGCAGGAGGAGAGATAACAGTCCAGCATAATGCGCAACCACGAGAACACAGGTGATCCTTGCACAACATACCAAGCGTGGGAAACAAAGCTATCCCTTCACATCCGAATGGAGGCATATCAACTAATAGTGGTATTCAAAGAGAACGCTAAAACCTGTCTTCGTAGAGAGTTGGAATATAGGAGAAAGCCGTTTACTTCTGCATCATGAGCTGGACGAACTCGTTGTCTGTTTGGAAACAATGTGTTAATAAGCTATACCCAGGCTGAATCGCAAGAATTGAATACGTACAGTCGATACGCCCATCGCCGTCCTGGTCGGCCTCGCGGATCATCTCATCAACCTCGTCATCAGTGAGCTTCTCGCCGATGGAGGTCATGACGTGACGAAGCTCAGCAGCGGAGATGAAGCCGTTGTTGTCGCGATCGAACACCTTGAAGGCCTCACGGATCTCCTCCTCGGAGTCGGTATCCTTCATCTTTCTGGCCATCATGGTAAGGAACTCTGCAGGCTATTGTCAGCGGCGAGCTGGCAAGTCCAAAGTCCGTGATGTTGATATCATACCAGGGAAGTCAATGGTGCCGTTGTTGTCGGCATCGACCTCGTTGATCATGTCCTGAAGCTCAGACTCGGAGGGGTTCTGGCCCAGCGAGCGCATGACGGTACCGAGCTCCTTGGTGGTGATTTGGCCTAGCTGCTGTTCAGTATGCGTGCATTACGGTACGGCTCGTATTCACATCGCAACTCGATTCAGGGGCGGGCGGTGAGAGGTGTTGGGCGCGTCGCAACTACTATGATCCAATGCGCTTGCCGCTAACTTGGTGGTGGATGGATTCGGATATCTGGAGGGTAGGGTTTCGGAAGACTAACCATCACCGTCCTTGTCCTGTGTCACGTTGTATCGGGTCAGTCATCAGGCTCGCACGATTTGCGCCAAACAGCGACACAAGGGGATTGAGCATAGGCGACAAGGAAGCTCGGCGCAAGAATAACAACTTACAAAGAGGGAGAAGGCCTCCTTGAACTCAGAGACCTGCTCTTCAGTAAGGGAGTCCGCCTGTTGTTGATAGCCTGGTCAGCCACCCGTCTCCTTTCCAGCCATCATCGTATGTTCGCAGCCCGGCCGCAGCCCCTCGAGCTAACCCGCGGGGTTCTTGTTGCGCTCAAACAGCTTCGACCGGGAGGCGCCAAGATAAGGAATGAGCATACCATCTTGATATAGTATTAAGGGGTGGATAGAGGGTCTGGGGAGAGCGAGCGTGTGAGATAGTTGGATGTGTTCGGAGGAGGATTTCGAAGGTGTTCTGGTTTGGAAGTGGTAGATATGGAAGTCCCCCAGTAGAAACGAGACCCGTTGGCTACTACTACCTACCTACCAGGTAGGTCCAAGTCCCCGTTCTCCTAGTTCGACGTTCCTTAAATGAGCAGCTGGGGCCGCCGATTGCGAAGCATGGAGTGGAGGGAGGCGGGGCGGGGTCCCTCCCTACCTCTACCTAACTGTAACACACTCGCTAAAATGAGACTAAAAAGATGCCCTGGAGCCCATCCCGGCGTCTCGCAGGTGCTGCAACCTGGAACCTCTACATGGGATACCTACATCACCACTGTAGGTCGTCAGCCCCAGCCCAGGACAGACGGGCCAGACTGTTAACAGTGGAGGCTGAAAGCTCCCGTCCCCCAGGCTGCCAGCTGACCGACTCTTTGAGACACTGACAAACGCTACCCCTTATTGGCGGGCCCAAGTGCCTGACAGGTGACATGCATCCCATGTCATTCATGCCCCCATCCCTGGGAACTGGCCAGCATTCAGTGTTTCTGAACCGCCGCGTCAGCGTCATTGTCAGTGGTACCTAGCAGCTGCCCAGTGCTACTGGCCCTGTTGCTGTTATTACATAGGTGTAGTGAAAGAGAGAGGCCTAGAAACATTTCCCCCCGGGAAGATCGACCTAGGAAGGAGACATTGGAACTCAACCTCGACCACATACCACACAGCCGTGTCCATGCGATGCGATGTGATGCCATACCAATTCCAATCCGCCTCTGGACCGCCATCACCACTAACTACCATCAATTGAATCCTACCTCTGACCGAGACGACGACTAGCCTTCGGCGTGCAACCGAGGCGAAGGGAGCCTTTCGCCCTTCCGGCGTCCGCCATGTGGCGCGACCGCACTAATCTGTACGGGGAACTCTCCTAAACCCCAATGATGAGATTCGTCCGTTAACATCCATGTGACTATCACAGCTATATCTCGTACCGGCAGTCCTACGCCCACCACCCGACCCAGCGCAACCGATATGCCCCTCAGAACCCAGGCGACCGCTTCGGCGGGACTTCCGGCGGGGCTGGCAGCAGCACGGGCGTCCTCTTCTCTGCCGACGATGACCGGCGCGGCCTCTTATCCGCGGGGGCCTACGATGTCGACGACGGCGATGCGGTGATCGAGATGGACCTGCTTCCGCCTCGGTGGGCGGATTCGTCGGACGAAGTGGCGGAGCTGCTGGCCGACATCGCCCGCAAGAGCCAGAAGCTGGAGCGGTTGCATCAGAAGCACGTACTGCCGGGGTTTGACGACGACGAGGCTAAGAGGGACCAGGAACGTGAGATAGAGCAGCTCACGCAGTCCATCACCAAGGGGTTCCACGACTGCCACCGCGTCATCCAGCGCATCGAGCAGATGGTGCGCGAGGGCAAACACAATGGCCAGATGAGTCGCGCCGACGAGGTCATGGCCAAGAACATACAAATCAACCTGGCCACGAGAGTCCAGGAGGCCAGCGCCAACTTTCGAAAAAAGCAGAGCGCATATCTAAAGAGTGAGCCCCCCTACTTTCCTTACCACTCGACTCCGACTTCAAACAATCATGCTGACATCACACTCCCTGTTCAGAGCTAAGAGGCATGAGCGGCCTTGCCAGTCCAACCCTCGACCGAGTCTCAACCACCTCTTCTTTCCTGGGCCCAAGCGGCCTCCCGCCCGGCAACAGCTCCAACAGCGCCTCCATTCTCGAATCCGACGCCGACCGGGTCTTCTCCCAGTCGACTCTACAAGCGTCAACGCATCAGAAGCTGCTTCACAGCAACGACCAGGCGATTTCGCAGCGCGAGCGCGAAATTGACGAAATTGCCCAGGGCATCATCGACCTGTCCGATCTGTTCAGGGATCTGCAGACCATGGTCATTGACCAGGGTACGATGCTGGACCGGATCGATTACAACGTGGAGCGGATGGCGACGGACGTGAAGGAGGCGGCCAAGGAGTTGACGGTTGCGTCCGGGTACCAGAAGAAGACGACCAAGAGGAAGATTATACTTCTGTTGTTGATTTTGATAGCGGGTATGATTATTTTGCTGGTTATCAAGCCGAAGAAACATGGAGGTTGAAGAGAGTGGGGAGAGACATAAAAGGGACGAACTTCAAGATGTTATGTGTGGGACGATCGAGTTGATGGGCGGACGGGTAACCAAGACCACTACACGGTACAGCGAAAGGGGTGGGTGAGCCGCGGAGAGACGGAAACAGCAAGTAGTAATGTAATAAAAATGGGGGAGAGCGTCAAGAAGGGATTCCAGGAACCTATTTGTACGACAACTATATAAATGTCAACATTCGGGGTTATGGGGACTGACGTATGAGGACCACTGCCCCTTCATCTCAAATAGGTTTGTTATGGCTTCATCTTGTGATACTGTTTGCATTGTGTGTAATGGCCACGCTTGGAAAAAAACAAAAGTAAACCTTTTCACGCTTGGTCAAATCTACTCTTAAGACAAGGCTCCGGTACTTCCAAGTTCGATGGGTGATCATCATGTGTAGTTTTTGTCTATGGCGCTATATTAACCCTTTTCGTTAACCTCCCTGCCATGCTCTATATAAATGCCATGTAAATAAAAAAGAAAAAAGAAATCTTCGCTAGATGTTGCCCAGATGGTATACGGGTTCCATCCGACAACCGCTCGTCTATTCAACTTCTTCTTCTTTCTTCACTCCTCCCCCGTGGGTTTTACCCCGTCTTCTCTTCTCTTTCTCCCAAACCGTCTAACTCTCTCACGTCTAACTCACCACAAGATTAAGGACAGAGACGTCTAAACCGACACAGAGTCCACTCTGTTACACCCTCAGCAGTAGGCTGCCCCTTTACTCCAGGAAGGTGAACAAGTTGGTATGCAAGATATTCATAGCCCGCTCGGCGTCCCTAGCGTCGATAACGCACGAAATGTTGATCTCGCTGGCACCTATTGACCCACAATTGTTAGCCATCCATACTCTCTCTCTCTCTCTCTCACACACACACAAAAACACGATCAAGAACCCAACTTACCCTGAGAAATCATCTCAATATTGATTCTGTGATCACCCAACGTCGAAAACATCTTTCCCGAAATACCAATCATGTTCTTCATCTCGGCGCCCACCAGACTGAGGATGGCCAGACCATGGAGGACGCTCACATCGCCGCAGTCGCCTAGGTCCTTGACGGCCGCGTCAAAGTTGGTCATCTCGGCGTTGCCCATGTGCACGGCCACGGAGACGTGCACCTCGCTGGTGGAGATGAGGTCAACGGACACGCGGTGCTTGTTGAGGATGGCGAATAACCTCGCCAAGAAGGTGTGCGCGATCGACCGCTTGTTGGAGTGGATGTTGATGATGGAGATCTTGTCCTTGATGGTCACGGCCGTGGGGCGCTTGGGTTTGTTGCTCTTTTGGCCGGTGCCGTTGGTCTTGGTGCCGTTGCAAGTGCCGTTTTGCTGGTGTCGCTGGAGCGTCTGGTCGGGGGCCAGCAAGGGGTCGGGCTTGACGATGGTTCCCTCGCCGCGCGGGTTCTTGACGTTCTTGATGCGAATGGGGATGGGCGGAGTGGCTTTGATGACCTGGTCCATGGTCAGGTGATGGATGACTTCGGAGCCGTAGAAGGTCAACTCGGCAGCCTCAGAGGGCGTGATGGAGGGCACCAGGCGCGCCGTCGGCACCTTGGACGGGTCCGCCGTGAAGATGCCGTCGACTTCCTTCCAGATCTGCAGCTCGTCGGCTTTCAGGCCTACGGCCGCGAGAGACGCACATAGGTCCGTATAGCCGCGGCCGACGTCGCCGTCGAGCAGGCCGCCCGGCACGTTGCCAAAGAAGCCGGTGACAACTGGTACGCGGTTCTCACAGGCGAGGATCTTCTTGGCGATAACCTCGGCCGCTTCGCGGTAAAAGGTGGCGTCGAGCCGCTCGATGCTGGCGTCAAGGTGCAAGACGTCGGCCAGGTCGACGTACTCGGCGTCGACTCCCCGGTCTTTGAGCATGCAGGCCATGAAGCGACAGCTGAGCTTCTCGCCAAAGCTGATGACTCGGTCCTTTGCCCGCGAGTTTACCTCGAGGTGGAACCGCTTGGCGGCTTCCAGGTATTCGATCAGTAGCTGGCACTCTTTTACCGTCTCCTCCTTCACGATGGCTGCAAGCTCGGCATCCTGGATGAACTTGTCGGCCGCGGCGGTGTGGTCGCTGCAGATGTCCTGCATAACTCGCTTGGCGTCCTTGAGCAGGGCATTTTGTTTATGCTCGTCACTTGCATATGCGGCAATGGCTTTGAGATTCTTGAATACCTCCAGTAGCCTGCGTAGCTGAGTTAGCTTTCTGGTCTTGGTCACGGACGGAAGGGGTTGAATTGAGTGATGAGTGAGGGTCATAATGAGATGCACTACTCACCGACTGGTGGTTCCAGTAACCTTCTTGCCCGTACTCCTTGCTGAGCAGACGACTACTAGCCTATGGTCCTTCACATACGCTCTGTTTTCAAAGTAAGGTCAGTCACAGGGCCCTTGTTAAGCATTCATGAGCGGTGTGACACCACACCCAGATTCCCCCATTATCCATACCTGATGATATCCTCTGCGATTCTGTCGGGGAACTTGCCCACGCTTGTGCCACCGAATTTCTGCACGATCCAGCCATTGGGGCTGTCGTTCTGTAGTAGTTGGGACCCGGCCATTCTTTGTTTTTAGGTAATGTATGAAAGGGTATATATGGGGTATCTCAGGGATGAGTGAGTGAGCGAGCGAGGATTATTTCCGATGTTTAAAGAGAGAGAGAGTGTTTGGTCGTGAGCCCTCCTGCCCACTGTTGTGGTGCTCAAGTGACTCAGCCAGCGCAGAACGAATGTTCCGTTGTCCCTGGTCGTTGCGAAGTCGGCGCTCTGCAAAGGGGAGCCAATGATGCTTTGTCCAGGTTGCAGTGTTCCAATGGAAGGGTCGCAGCACAGGATCGTTCTCGAAACCTTAAATTTAGCGGCCCGAAGAGTGGAATTGGCCGCGCCAATGGGTGTATCCGAGGTCGCTGCAGGGTACGAGTGCCGCTGAAGTCAAGCGAGGGTATTATCAACAAAGATTGACTGAACTGAGGCGAGGCTGTGTGAGAGAAAATGGGTTGAGATAAAAACAAAACTCGATGTCTTGGAAGCCAAGAGCCAAGAAAAAAGAAGAGTTGCTGTTCTCTTGTTCCCTGTCGGACCCCTTGTCCGGAGCTGAGTCGGGCATTGCGGGGGTGGGGTCTGTTGTCGGCCAGGCTCTTGGTTGTTTCTGTTCTCCCGTGTTGAGTACATCATAGAGGCAAGATAATCATCCAGTACAACGACAACAGAATACCTAGGTATGTAGTGTAATGACCATTCAAGAGGGGGATGGCCTTGTAAGATGCGTCTCACACTATTTCCTGGAGCAAATTAGTCCAAGTTCTGTGTAGAAAGAAGACAGTACCTCCAAGCAATCTGAGCATAGGTATCTAGATCGAGTAAGGAAAGCGAGCAGAGAAGCGCAGGCCCCGGCCGAGCTTCACATGAAACACAGTCACCGCATTTCACTAACAACCATATTCCAGAACTCAACCGGGGGCCCTTCATCGATCATTCCCCACACCATAATCATTTTACGAAAACGAACAAGAGGATGGTAACAACATGACCGGCTGTTCTCCAAGGGGCTTCTCGTTCCTGACAAGAGGCAGGGCTCCCTCCGCAACATTCGATATCCAAACAAAGTACATTTGTGTTAACTCTTGACGACAAGATGCACCAAAACAGCTCCTTGGCTTGCAGCGTTGTATCGCAGTGACAACCTTTGAGGTGAGTGGGGATGTTTTTGCCTCGACGGGACTGGACCTGGATGCTGCAGTGCGGCGATTCTCCTGGTGGGTCGTTCAAAACATTGGTCGCACTCGCCACCACCACCACCACGATGATGCTGACGACATGGGAGGCTCCGGAGGACTCGGGCTACGCTAGTGAAAAGGAGACGACAACCCGATTCTGGGGTTTGTCAATTAGAGTCTATAGTTAGTGTCCCATACAAACACTTCTGCTGAACCTTTCTACGGAAACTGCGGAAATTGACATATGACATTTGAGGATCCGGCAATGGAGATCAAAGGAACAATTGAATAGCAGGAATTTGGAAGAGCCTCTGTTTTCGCCTTGTGTTATTTTATATGGTACAGTATGTTGTGTTTTAGTCCCACTGACCACTACACTCATTCATGCTCGACAACCCGTGGAGCATTTATTTTGAGTGTATATATAGAAAGTAACTAGTCCCTGATAAAATTGTTGAGACTTTCGCTTATACCTTGGGTATACTCTGACTACACATTCAAGCGTCTTCAGTACTCCTTTGAACTCGATATTTAGGCCGTTCTTGGATAAACATACCCCAAAGGAACTTTAGTCTAGCCGATGTGTTTTCGAATTATCATAAATCCCATTATAATTTTGCAACGGCCTTTTTTGACTACAATGAGCGGTATGGGACTGGTTTCTTCGACCAGTTGTTTGATCGCCCACTGAAGCAAAGGTGTCATTAATTCTGTCATGGACGAGACGATATAATTGCCAGATGTTCCTTATTTGTTTTTATCTATTCCTTTTACTACTCCAAATCGGCTCTCCCCTAACCTCCCCAGCAGTGCCGTTCTCCTTCGCTCTCCAGCATCCGATCTATCGTACATCATACATATAGCTATCCTAACCAGCCATCCATGATCGGGTCTAGAGTGGAGAAAGAGAGTGCCCTAGAAAGGAGATCTGAAGATAATAATAACAAACATAGCAAGTAAAATACGTGACATGTACACAGTAAAAAAGGTGACGATGCCCTCCTCCTCTGAGGCGAGCATCGCGTGAAGCATGGACCTGACTTTCGGCCACTTGCTCGGCGGGGTATATGGTGGAAGTTGCGGGAGATTCATGCCTGGGTTCGGGCCTGTGAGGGATAAGATATCTCTCTGTGTCAGCGGCCCGACCGGGGAGCTCGTCCCACGTGAGTAAGTGGCTGACAATGCCTCAAACTCATTACCATCTGCTGTAGACTGAGGTGTGGGAGTGTGACGGATTGCTGGAAAACTCATGCCGCCATCACACTTACTCCCTCACTGGCTCCTTACGCGGCTTCACATCCTTCTCCACCGCGTCATCAATGTCATTCTCCGCCTCCGCAAGTTCCTCCTCAATCTCCTCAACCTCACTGATATGAGGATCTCCAGAGGGGGGGCGGTGGTCCGGGGAGACATCACTACCGCTCATCTGCCACTCCATCAGCTTACTGAAGTGGCTGTCCTTGTTGGCGCTCAGCTCTGTGTAGCTGCCAATCTCAGCCACGGTGCCCTCGCTCGAGAGCACAATGATCTTGTCAGATCGCTTAATGGTGGACAGTCTGTGAGCAATCGAAATGGTGGTGCTGCGGCCCTTGAGGAGTTCCGCAAGGGCAGAATTGACCAAGGTCTCGGATTCGGCGTCCAAGGCGGAGGTGGCCTCATCCAAGATGAGAATATCGGGGTCCTTGAGGAGGGCGCGAGCAATGGCGATGCGCTGCTTCTGGCCACCGGAGAGCTGGGCGCCACGGGCGCCGACCTGGGTCTCGAGGCCTTCGGGGAAGTCGCTGATGAAACCGCAGTTGGCCTTCTGGGCAGCCGCAATGATCTCGGTGCGCGGAGCCCGGGGACGGCCGTAAGCAATGTTTTCGGCAATAGTACCCGAAAAGAGGACTGGCTCCTGTGAGACCATGCCGATGCGGCGGCGGAGAGACTTGGCGTTCATCTTGGAAATGTCGATGCCGTTGATGGTGATGCTACCGGATGTGGGGTTATAGAAGCGCAAGAGTAAGGAGGCCACGGTGCTTTTACCTCCGCCTGAAGGGCCTACAATGCACACGTTTGTGCCCGAGGGGATCTCAAAGTCGAGGCCATTGAATATCGTAACTGCAGGTCTGGTAGGGTAGGCGAACGTTACATTCGAGAACTTGATGGGACCCTGCGCAGATTCAACCTTCAAACCAACGGTCTGGGGGATGGCCGGCTTGCGATCCTCGAGCTCGAACAGACGACTCGCTGCGCCGACACCCTTCATCAGTTCCGAGTAGAAGCCGCTAACACCGAAGAGACTTGAGCCAGCAAAGACAGTATACATCATAAACGAGGTCAAATCGCCGAGAGACATGGCCCCTGAGCGCACAAGGTTTCCGCCGACAATCAAGAGAGCCAAGATCGCCAGATTTCCTGTATACGACGTACTGCTGAAAAAGACACCCGAAACAATGGCCTCCTTCCGGCCCAGGGCGAAAATCTTTCTGACCTGCTTGTTGTAGCGACCCACCTCTTGCACTTCAGCGGCAAAGGCCTGGCTGGTCTTGATGTTACCCAACCGTTCCTCGGCGATCTTCATCAGTGAGCCGACGTTCTTCTGAATCTGCCTGCTCAAGTTGCGGATCGAGCGACCATAAAGAACCGCTCCAAGACCGATAGGGGGAACCATGATGAGGATGATGGATGTCAGCTTGGGGCTGAGCCAGAACATGGCCGCGAAACCCGCCGCACCGCTAACCATGGAACGAAGACCATCAGACACGTTCTGAGTAATGCTCTTGCCCACGACAACCGTATCGGAGTTCAGTCGCGAGATCAGATCACCGACCCTGTTGGCATCGAAGAACTCGGCATCCTGGACGTAGGTGCGGCGGTAGAGATTCGTGCGCAACCGAGCCACGACGCGCTCGCCGACGATACGGAGAATGATGATTCTGCCAAAGTTGGCCGTCGCACCAAGAGTGAGAAGACCAGCGAGGCCACCGAAGAACTGATAGAGGGTAAGACCGAAGAGCCGAACCTCGTCGGCGGGACCCTGGGTGGAAAGATCCAGAATCCTGCCGATCGAGAAGGGGATGGACATGGTAACCGCGGACGAGATGAGAAGCAGGACGAATGCGACACTCATCGCCTTAACCTCGGGGCGCGCAATCTTGATCAGACGCCAGACCTCGGCGAAGCCGGGCTTGGTGCCTGATTGGGATTTGCCATCCTTGGAAAGACGAGCGCTCATGTTGATATGGGCAGCCTTATGCGCCCTCTCGCTTTTCGTAAAACCGTGTACCTTGAGGTGTTCTTCAGATGTATATTCCTTGACCTTTTCAACGTCCTTTGCCGCCTCTTCTGCTGTCTCTGCCGCAGCTTCCTTGGCCGACTGCTCCCGTAGGCGAGTTTGTGAGGTCGATAGCTGGCGGAGAAGGCCGAAGGGGGAAGTCCAACGTTGGGATTGTACGCATGGTTGTGATCCGAGATGGGAGGATGAGAAAGGAACCGAAACGATGGCGAAAGATGTCGTCGAGGACCGCTGAACTGACGAGAACGGACGGCGGAATTTCGCGGACAGAATCGACGAAGTCATAGTGGGCGATTGTTGGAACGGCAGCAAAGCCGCGAGCCCGGCGCCGCTACCGCCGCATTGGGGGAGCAGCACGGCGCGGCGCACCGCTACCCCCGTAACCATGGCTTGAAGTATATGTATCTTGGGTAGGTCGAGTGTGTAGGTGACTACTAGGCTCGTTGTATCGTCGTAGAGTTTCGGTGTCGAGTTTCTATCATATCATGTCGGTGTTGTGCAGTGGGCTATATTACTAACTGCCTGATGCGAGACCGCTAGCGCGCATGCGCGCCTGTTTCTGCGCTTGTCAATGCCCGGTTCCCTTGAGTCCCTGCACTGCGTGCGAATGGGTGAGTTTGGTGATGTGGAATGTGGTTAAGGAACTGAAGGAAACGTGGAGAAAGAAGTGGTGGAAAGGTTCCGAGGTCGAGGGACGGGACGGACGGCGGGGGGGATGATGGAATGAAGTCGGGATGACACCCAGGCAGTTCGGTCGGCTCGGCCGTCGGTGCAAAAACCCTTGCTTGTCCCGGCGGACGGGATCTCAACTTCAGTGGTCAATCGCCGGTTTGGCGCTGCAGCAACTGCGATTGATTCGCCGCTCAAGCTCTGGGGACCACGACGGCGGGAGGGCGGCTTCGATTCCCTTGTTCAATTGTCCCTCTCCCCCCCAAACAGGGCAAAGCGCGCATCTTTTACCTGTAGTCGGACATTTCGTCATTCAGCAGCGAAGAGCAAGCCACCACCCGACGACGATGCCGGCGGCATCCACTGTCTATTCCGGAATGCGTTCAACGATGTCGGCACCTTCTATAAGTGGCCCGTGCTCAAGCTTGGCCCATTCCACTCATGCCACTTATTTGTACCTCGGGGGTATTGGAGCTGTGCGGACGTCATCAACTTCAATGGTCATCATGGTAAGGAAAAAGGACGAAAAAGACAATTGCTTTTTAGAATGCCTATGATTTTAATTACGATATCTCTACAGCTAACCGAATGGCGCTTTGCCCGTCAAGGATAAAGCATGCAAATAATCCTTAGTCCTGTCCTTCTGTATCTCCACACACTTGCTCCAGAGAAGGTTTCAGGCCCGCGCCAAAATGCCACATAAATGATGATTCTCGCCATACAGCCATTATCGTTCCCCTAGACCAGCAATAACGGCAACAACTCCAGAGTGTTGGGCCATATGCACTAAAACTGATACAAAGGTAGAAAGAATTCGGTCAAGTTTTGGCTTCCCAAAATCTTCTTCCCGTCCTTGTTCTAAATCGTGCTTTCCTTCTGGATCATCTCGGCGACATCGGCATCTATGCCTACGTCAGGAATGTCGGCAGTCTCGTCGATCTTGCGCTTTTTGGCCTGTCGAGTCGGAACAGACTCATATTGAGAAGCGAGGGCGGACAACATCTCAATGCCAGGAGCGGATCCAGTTGGGTGACTATGACCGTTCTGCGGCTGTTGTTGCTCAGACGGGCGATGATCGTACAAATCATCGTGATCTTGGACGTGGGGCGGCGTGAGTGCTTCGACCTGAGGACGGGCGATGTCGTGGCCGTCCGAGCTAGATGGGGCGCGCTCCTCACCGGTAGCCGGCTCTTGCGCATTGTGAGGCAAACCGCCAATGATGCTGAGCTCAATTGCTTGCTTCTTCTCCTCAACTGCCGTCTTGCGGGTGCCTAGATCCCTGAGCTGTGATTGCTCGGCCTCCAAGGCCTGCCGGTTGGAGCTCAACATCTTCTCCAAGGCGCTGATAAGCTCCTCGCGGGTCTTGATGCATTCCGTCACGGCTCCCTCAGCATTGGCAAGGTTCTTAAGCAGCCCGTTGAGTCGCGCGGCATACACTGGCGCCTGAGGAGGAGCGTGGGCCGGATCCATCAGCTTGCTGTAGTCCGAATTGGCGGTAGTAAGGCTTGTCTTCAACGCCTGGGCACTCTTGATAACTGCCTGCTGTGAGGTAACCAAGGGTGCCAACTCTGGAGGCACCGCTGCAGCTGGCGACGATAACGATGTGGAACCGAACATTGTTCCACCGGAGCGGGCTGAGTCAAGCTCTGGATTGAACAAGTCAGTATCTTGTCTGAGGAAGGGCTGAGGCCACGGCTTACCTCTTAGTCGAGAGTCAATAGCATCCTGGACTTCCATGGGGAATATCTTGCGTTCTCTCCAAACGTCAACAACCCTTCGGAGCTTGTTCTGAATGTCTGACGAGGCGCCCTTATAAGACAACGCGGTTGCATCTGCGATGAATGGAGAGAAAGCCTGAAGGAAGTCATCCTTGTTGCGAGCTTTGGATTGCTGCGTCACCTCTATGAGAAAGACGAATAAAGTCAGCATTCAGTCCCAAACGAGAAGAAAGAAACCCAGAACGAACGCCGGGGGATGCACATAACATGCGGCCTATGTGGGAGAGCCTAGAAAATGCACGCACCGTTTGCAAGATAAATCATGTTGAGCCTCTTGGGGCTGGGGAGGTCCTTCAGCTTGGTCAACCAAAGATGGACAGTCTGGGCAGCATGTCGCCTAAGATACATCAACTGTCAGTTCGGCGGTTGAGACATCAAACAGAAGGTGAATGCGGTCGTCGGTCGTGGGCAGCGGGAGCTTACCGATGGAACATGATCCACTGAGCGGTGGTTGCAATGCTCTCGTGAGTCTCAGTGAGTGCAGAGAGCTTAGAGAGCACAGCATCCTCGTTATACGCCATGGTGAAGCTTTAGGCGAAATTTGGTGGAAAGTGTTGGAAAAAGTGGTTGTTGGTGGTTGGTTGGTGTGATGGACGGGGCAGATGTTCAAGATATGCGGTGTCGGGTTTATTCCGAACTCATCTACAGCAGTACGAAAAGGTATCCGTGATGTTTGCGTGTAGCAGGGACTCCAGACGCGGCCGAGTGGTGATCTAGAATATGGATCGAAAGCCCTTGGGAACAACCTCAAATGGCAGAAGCGTGGACTATCAACACAACACACTAGATGACGACAAGAGAGAAGTGCTCAGCATGAACTAAGCACCTAGTCAAGCTCTGTGGTCCAACTACACCGGAGTCGTTTCCCTGCTATTATCAATGCTGTCACCAGGAAGAGTTTGCAGTGCAAAGCGCAAAAGAGCGTGATCTGGATGCTCTGTGACAAACAACTGAAACCACAGCGAGGTGAGTGCTGAATGTTGTTGATGAAAAGGAAGAAGAAGAAAAAGAAGAAGAAGGAAGAAAGAAGTTGTCGACGGGAGGTGGTGGGACGGAACGAAGCAGACGTTGGAGCTTCCTCCATCCGTCCAATGCGAGGGCAGGCAGGACAAGAGGGACAACGGAACGCCTGCCGCACGCAGACAAGTTGCCTGCCGGTACCTAACTGTTACTACGGCTTCCCCTGGCCAAAGAGGCCCAAGAGGGTCGCTGTGGACAAGTGCCAAAGTGCCCCAGTGGCCGCTGTGAGTGGCGTCCCGTCGCAACCTGGAACCTGGCGCGATCAGGAGCGCTGGGGGGGCTGCAACTCGGACTCCCGCAGTGCAACACCAACACCAAACCTAAGACTGGACACTTCCATCAAACAACGAAACACCTTACCTGTTTCGCAGCTTTCTTCGATCCTCCTACCCAATATTTTCATTTTGCAGTCCACTTCTCCAGCCTCCAGTCTTGCCCGTTCGCGCCGATCTACCAAAAGTCAAATCACACCACCCACATCATGGCTGACAGATTCCCCTCGCTGGAGGAGTTCGACTCCGGCGGTAAGCTTGGCGTTGTTTGGAGATCCCCTTACCTTGCTGTCACTGCCTGCTAACATTTAAACCCCCCCAAAAGCCCAGACCGAGATCAAGGAGGGCTCTGGAAGCCCCTCGGCCACCAACTTCCTCGAGCGTGAGAAGGCGCTTCTCGGCGACGATGCCAACCAATTTGCGACAGTTGAGGATGCTGGTTTCGACGATGACAACGACCTCCTAGGGGGTGGCCTTGACTCCTCCGCTGGCGCCGGCGCTGGCCTTGAGACCAGCGCCGCTTTCGAGAGCCAGTTCCCCGACCTTTCCGCAGGCAACGAGGTACGACTAAACAATGATGATACCAAAGCTGTCGACACAGCACGTAATCATGGTCTTGGGTTCTAACATGGGGCATCTTCACTTTAGTCTGTTGCGCCAGGCGGTACCATCACTGGCGCCGGTCCTTCCGTCAGCTACAACTCTGGATATGCGCCATACGCCCAGGAGGAGCAAGAGCCCGAGGTGATCAGAGAGTGGCGCGAGAAGCGTGATGCGAAGCTTGCCAAGCGGGCGGAACAGTTCGCCGCCCAGAGAGCCGAGACCATTGCGGAGGCGCAGAAGAACATTGACGAATTCTACGAGAACTACAACAACAAGAAGGAGAAGGCCATTGGGCAGACCCGCAAGGAGGCCGAGGAGTTCCTTGCCAGCCGCGAGGACACCACATCGGGAGGCACGAGCTGGGAGCGCATTGCCAAGCTGGTTGACGTTAGCGGCAAGGGAGCTAAGGGCGGTGCTGCTGGTTCCGGCAAGGAGCGTTTCCGTGAGCTCCTGATAAGCCTAAAGAAGGACGAAAAGGCCCCCGGTGCCTCGGGAATTTAAAGCGCTTACTTGACCTGGCCCCATGACAAAGGGAACGCCTGGTTACCACTATTCACACGTTTCACACCTCCATGGCCACTACTGCCCCATGGCCAAAAAGCCATAATTTTGTAATGATAGAAAAGACTTGACAGCTGCAGCCATCAGTATTTGGAGCTTGGTAATCGAAGCGCCGAGACTCAATGGATCACGATTTCCACGGTTACAGTAGCTCTCCCAAAGGTGGTCGGTGGAATCCATGGTGCAAATAGGGAATATCGGCGTGGCGGCCTACTTCTTGGAGGTATCACCCAAAACGGCCTTCCCTCTGCCGCCATCTATGCTGCTCTTTGCGACTATACACATATTCAAAGGGATTCTCGTGCTTCTATCATGACCAGTAGCACCGCCTTCGTTGACTATCGTGGTAGGACGGCTAATTTAATCCTCCGAGAACCAGGTGTTGTAGCCGAGAACCTTGCGGGTCATGGCGTACATGGAAGCTGATGTACAGTTAGCGGAAGGAGCAAGGACGAAGCGATAAGCTATCAATGAAGGTATACGCACCGCCGAAGGTACCCCACATGGCAATGTTGAAGGTGGTCATGATGATGCCGCTGCGAGGGCCCTGTTCGCGATTTTATCATCAGCCCTTATCCCGACAAAACCTCCCTCTCCGTCTCTCCCTCTCCTCCTTCCCATCTGTTGATTCCCCAACCATCCTCAAGTGTCGACTTCAACTCACAATCTTCCAGAGGCGGGTGTGGTTCTTGAAAGCCTGCTGGTAGTAGCGCTGCTTCTCGGGGACGTGGTTGGGAGCGTTGACGAGGCCGCTGCAGTCGGGGAAGAGAGAGAGGTGTTAGCCTGGGATTCCGAAATCGTACGACGGACAATAGTGCGTCATGACGACAGGTAATTGAACTTGGGGCGGCGTCCGCAATGCGCGCAGTCGCTGGAGGGTCGTCGGATCGTCGAGGAGCTCGCAGCCGGAGGGGAGAAGCTTACGGCATCTTGAAATTGTTGTCGGGGGTCGTTGGGTGGAAGATTCCGGGGGGGTGATGCGAGGGGTTGGTGTGATGATGTCGAATGCGTGGAAAGGACGGAGAGTTAGCTTTGAACCTCTCACTGCTTCAGGTTTCTCGGCTCGGGGCTTCCTGTGGTGCACGGACTTGTGGATGGTGGAGACTGCAGACCCGACGGCGGAAGCTCTGCCTGCCTGCCTGCCAGGTGTAAGGTTTGGTCAGTGCTCACAGCTTTCAGCTGCTGCTGATGCCTCGACATTGACCTTCAGACTGAGCAGCTCAGCAGACTCACTGCCTGCCGGGAAGGATGGGGGGATTGAAACACATGATCGTAGGATGACTAAGAAGCAAGTTATGTAGGGAGCTCCCCGGCCACACCTGCAAGGTCCCCTCCACTTTTGTGTCCCCTCCACTCCAGAACGTCAAAGCTTCCAGCCCGAGGAGTTTCCACATCCCCTCACAACCCCATCCGTGGGACCGCCCGCGATACCCCAGAACTCGAGTCAGTCAACGAAGCCCCAGGTACCTCGCGATCTATACGATCGATACGAACAACGACGCCAAATAACCCAGCGGCAACCTCGAAGCGAAAAAAGAAATGGACATGGTCGCATCAGACAGCCGCTAAGAAGAGTCCCCGCCGCTCATATGCCCAATTCTCTGTGTCGAGCGGCCACAATTCCATTATGCGAGTCGTGCCTCCTGTGCTGCGACATGTAGCTCGCTCGCGCCGCTCCACCATATCGCACTTATACACGGACGCTGTGCACTTACAGGCATCTGGACTACCATCATGCGTCAACTTTTCAACAAGCGCGCGCTGGTCGAGGTCGTTGACGGCATACGCACTTTCGGAGACTTTGGCGGCGGAAGAGGACCACGGTGTTCGGAATACACAGAAGGCTCGGGGCTCGGCAGTGCAGGCGCTACCAGGCCAAGCGTCTACCACATACGACCTGTCAGCATGGTCGGGCTTTCGGTCATCCCGCATCGCCAACCATCCCTTCAACCGTGATGATTGGGATATTTTGACGGCCACCGAGGAAGACTTGCGCTTCCAGTGTGATATCCTCGCAGATTCGCCCGAGGATGGAAAGCCGCGACTGGTTGACTGGCCACAGTATGCGAACGACATCACCCTTTGGTCGTGCATACTTGAGCACTGCCAACGCACCGAAGGAGATGCCGGAGTCGCAGCAGTTCTCGAGGGCCTGCAAAAACGGCGAACCTTGACGGAAGTGGAAGGCTCAACTGCCGAGAAATTCTGGCAAGCAATACTAGACGTGGCCGTTCACGATCAAGCAACACTGCACAGTGCTTGGTCCTATGCTGAGTGGCTCCACAGTCACCGCGGAGTCCTTTGGCCAAACCTCTACGCAGGTGTTGTATCTTTCTTCATAGCACAACAGGATACACAGTCAACGCTGCTTTGGCACTTACGCCTAAGCTCGTCGTTTTGCTCCGACTCAGAACCCCTTACCCAAGTGCTGAAGCAGTTCATCACTAATTCAGACGCAAAGGTTCGAGAAATCCTACAAGCACTTTACATGACGAGTGTCCGCCAAAACCTCTACGACGAGATGATTCCTTACCTCTTCGCTCAAGGCGAGGAAGGTATTGCCCGTGATTGGCGTCGGCTGTTTATTTCTCACAACGACTTGCCAACAACCGAAGCTTCGCGGCCATTCTTACAGTTCTTGGTCGGCTTTCATCCGAAAATCCAGTTGACCGACAAAGAACAATCCTTCCTTATACCGCCGAGTAAAGCTGCGCTTCCAAGTAGTGCAGACCTGAACAGCCTGTTAAGGGACGACAAGTCGCAAGTTGGTATCAACTTCAACTACCAAATCTCCAAAGGTCTGGGTAATGTGTTCGGCATCAAAGAACAAACAGATAATGACAGCTTGGGCGCTAGATGGTTTGCGACCCTCGACTTCTCCATCGAAACCATCATTGGCACAATCTCGACTCTCGGCTTTTCTGAAATCGGGCCACTCTCGTTACAGTCTATAGCCCGGCGCGAACCCTCCCCTGGCCGACTCCTTCATCACATTGCACAGCTGCAAGAGTCTGGAATCGGAATTGGTAACTCGAGCTATTCGAAAACACTACAGCACTTTGCTACAGTTGGCGACGAGGAACTGTTTGAGGGTCTTGTTAATACAACCATGCATCCGGAAGAATTCGACAACTTCACCAAGCACCCTTCATTCCTGAGTTTTGCTGCTGCGGAGGGAGACTTTCTTCTCTGTCGGCTCCTTGTGGAAGCTAGCCATCTCAGAACAAGGCAGGTTCTGAAGGACTCAACGAACGAAGCATTGTTAGTCTGCTTGAAAGCTAACAGCGCTTCAAATATGGTTGGCTTCTTGAATATTATGACCGATGGAAATATCGAAATGATGCACTCTACGGCCGATGCTATATCAAAACATGTATGCGAAGAAATAGTACCACGGCCTGCGAAAGATGGCGTGGACATTTCCTCCTATGCCACCATGTATAGACGGCTTCTACGATTCGGATATCCTCTCACGTCCAAGGCTTCTCAGATCATTCTTTTCAGACTCGGACGCGAAGGACTGCATGACGAGCGCGATGATCTTGCATTGGACATTGTTAGTTTCTATGAGGGTACTCTGGGACCCGAGGGGGGCTTTTTCCGAGTTCACAAGCTCGATCTACCCGACGCAGTCGCTCAGCAATTGCCCAAGTCAGAAAGGTTTATGAGCCTTCCATCCGGAATGAGCACAACGAGTCCCTACCATCCACTGCATTTGGTTTTTGGTAGGGAGCTCCTGGGGTCAATCATCCGCTGGGGTTTTCGCAGTTCCCGCGGCATGCCTCGGGATGCAACAGAATTTTCGAAGCCAGAACACTTCTTCTTCGCCCGAGGCATCAAGCTCGTAGCAATGCTCAAGGAGAAGGGAGTGCGGGCCGATGACTCTTGGGCGCGCTCGGTAATTGTCCCGGCTCTCACCGTACTTTTGGTTTCAGGCGAGATCAAGCGCTTTCACCGGCCCCCAAAACACGGGCATCACTATGTTACCCCGAAAGTGAGGGAGACGCTATCGCTCAAAGAAGCCATCAGGTTGTGTAATTATGCCTGGGGTTCCTACGTCCTGGAACGTTTGCCCGAGTTGGTTCACCACTCAATGAAGGAGTGGAAGCTCAAGCTGAAACAGTCCCAACCAGAACTGTTCATACCTCATAAACGCGAATATGCGGTGGGGAGCAAGCTGTGGGTGAAGTATGGCCCCGGCGGTAGGCCACCGTTCGCCACAAAACTTAAACATCAACATCGACAGCAACAAGAGGAAGCAGACGCCAATCTAGTCCCAGATGCGCAAAGCTCAAGCGTTTGGAAAAGCTCAAAAGCCAAGACGGAAGACGATTTTTTCCAGGATTTTGAGGGCTTCGATCGCTTCCTCAAGTAACAGTAAGAAGCAGTCAAGCTGCTGCGGGATACACAGTACCGACCTAACTACCCATCATTTATTTCATAATTTGTCCTCCGACTTTCGATATGTGACCGCATTTTGCATACCTTGCGGTCATGTATTTGTACAAATACGCAGAGGGACCTATAGACGATAGAAAGCACGGATTTCCCAAGATCATGGTTTACAGGACATGACGAGAGCAAGGAAGGGAGAGCACGAGCTTCCGCGAGGAGGAACAACAGAACAGAACAATTTTGCTTGGGTCTGAAACAGACAGACGCTTTGCACGAAATGCACATACTGGGGAATTGTTTACATATCTGATTTTCGTTTCAACCGTACACACACGACAATTTAGCCTAGTACATATATTCAGGTAGCAAGAAAGATGCTCACACGAGACAGCCACTTCCGTCATTGGAGGAAGGGTATCCACCATTAACGCTCTACCTTCACTAACCAGATACTACATACCCTCTTGAGCAATGTTTGCTCAACCTCATGCCATCCAACCGCCGGCGCTGACTTCCATGACTGGTTCAACGAGGACCAGTCGCCAACAGTACCCGGAGTTCCATGTCATGTCCCTTTTCCCTCATTTCTGGGGAGAGCACATTTCCCTTTTCCACTCACTCACCTAAAACGCCGCACAGTCCAGCTAGGTAGGCAGTCAGTATTGCATAAGCCAGTGAGTGAACAAGTGACGTCCGGGTCTGGCTTGGCTGGCTGGCTGGCTGACTGGCTGATAGACCGATGGGCTGACGCAAGCAAGGCGCTTAGCTGTCTTCCTCCATCAGTCCTGCACGCATTTACTCGCTTTGACTGGTCTATCGTTTAGTCATCTAGTCATTTACAAGCGGGGTCGGAGGAGAGGTATTGTAACGGCTAGTGAAAGGGACTACACTACACTAGTAGGTAAAGCAAACCATTCAACGTGTCATAAACTGCCGGTGTAGAAAGTGGAAGGATGAAGGATTCGAGGGGGAGTGGAAAAAAAGGAGGGGGTATTTAGATCCTCAGGACGCTTATAGGCTGAGTAAACGCCCAGTGTTGAAGAAGAAAAGGATGAGTGTGAACTCTTAGTCAAAGTCAGATATGACTTGTTATCGGAGGTGGAGTGAATTGAGAAACAGCTACATACTGCATTTTGACGCCAGGGTTTTGAAAAGCAGCATTGAAGGACGATGGGACACTCTTCAATAGAACCACTCGGATCCACCCAGCAGAAGCCATTTCTCTGGGAGTTACTGATGGTGATGGCGGCGAAGCTACAACACAGCTCAAACCAACTTCGGCATGTTATCTCGAGGCGAGAGTGACATCCAATGCTATTTGCAAAGATGAACTTCATGACTGGGCAGGAAGAAAAGTACATAGTGTAGATGGGCACAGCCCAATCATGCTTTCTAGTTTGAAGATGAAGAGCGCAGAATGTGTCCTATACCAGGCGGCCACATTCCCCTACCTACCCCAAGATCTTGGTCTTTGTCTTGCTAGCTTTGGAGCTTTTGAGCGAGGCTAACCTGGCTTGCCTGGCTAGCTTGGAGCTGGGGAAGCGCCCTACGCCCCAGGCAGATGGCGGGACGGGACACGGGAAAACAAGGTACATGGGAGTATGTTTCTCTGCCTTCTTTTAGTGTACACTGTACGCTCATGAGGTGGGTTAGGTACACTAGAATGGTGACGATAACGGAAAGCCTTGAAGGGGGGGGGACCACGATCGACTCATCGAGTCATATCCTCATCCCCATTCGATCAAGCTGAATTAGTAGGCAGGCATGGTATGGTATGGCATAGAAAGAGTGGGAATGAATGACTGAAGATAGGGGTTGCCTAGTCATCAAGAGGAGACAGGTTTAAGAAAATCATATAACACTACATAGGTAGGTACCGAACGAAGAAAGGCAAGGTAAGCTTGGAGTGTTGGGAAGGCAGTCTAAACGTGATGGATGTTCAGCTAGCTTGACGAAGAGCTGATGATGGAAGAAGAAAATGGGAGGAGTGAATGTTCTGGCAACTCCCCGATTATTTCCTAATTGTGACCTCCGTCGGATAACTCAGGCCTAGGCATACGTTGTAGTATAGTGTAGTTACTAGGCAAGGTGTCTCTGTCTCTCTCTCTCTCTTTTTTCTCTTTTTCTTCTTCTTTTTTTTTTCCTCTCGGGTTTATGAAACGCAATGGCCACCAAGAACAGGTCTTAATTTCGTCTTTCAGTAATCCCCGAATGACGTATAGGTAATCCAGCAACAAGGCAGCAACCCACGCAACAATATGTCGTCTATCTACACCTTGTACCCACTCAGAGCCGCAAAAACGATGACTCAAAAAACTTCACACCACTTGATGATCACGTTACCAGATACTGAACCATCCGAGACCCTCCAGAGGAACCAGAAGCTCTACCAGTAGACAGAAGAGGACTCTCTCCGAAACAGGACAATATGAGCACATGTTCCCCATATCCTATCCCAGGCGCTTGGTGTTCAACTATTCGACTTGTTCGATGGTTGTCTAGGACGTTGTCGGTGGCCAATAAAATCTGCAAGAGCCCCTGTTGCGGCGAGCTTTTGGGTACCTAGCTTCTACACTAGGTAGCTTGGCGTAGATACGACAGGGGTCTTTTGGTGGTACCTCTACGCCTCACGATGCTTTCACGGGATTGACACTAATAGCGGGTGATACTACCATCCATGGTTCGTTCGTTGCAATTCTTTCGATTTTTCCAGCTTTCGAGGTGGATTCCAGCAGAGAAAGACACTGACTCGAAATTCAACAGGGCGGAGGACTCCATCATCATCGCCCTTGTAACTCGTGTGATGTTGTGGGCAAGCAAAGCTGAAGAGTTGATGAGTTGTACAAAACTCGGGGCAAATAAGCGGTTGATGCGGTTTTGTAGCGACCGCAACTGAAAAGTGCCACGTCACTAGCCTCACCCTCACTTTCCCTCGCAAAACCTACCACAACAATATTTCACTTTGAGTATGGCGAAGCAATAACGCGAGAAGTTGGTTGGTCCAGTCATCTTCGTTTCTTCGCTTTTTTGAGTTTACTCGCCACACCCATGGACCCGACCGGCCGGCCACGGCCTAAGGGGGCACGCAGCCACAGTGCAGTGTCTCCAGCAGTTCGGGTTCGATTTTCTTGAGAAGGATTCGGAACGAGGCGTATCTGGAACCGAGGCCCAGTGGCCCAAAAGCCGACAGCATAGATCAGACCCAATTCAATTTTTCTTCTTTTCTTTTTTTATCGAAGGAAGCCCTGTAGCGCATGCGATGCGAACTGGATGATTGGTGTTATTACGTAGGTACCTCTAGGTTAGGTCGCTGGCGTTGGTTTCTGGTGGAGACTTTCCGGCGAAGATAACCGATGCCCCCCTGGGCGATGGAGGCTCACCTCGTAGCAGTGGCATCGAATTCGAACATTTCTCTGATCATCGACAAACTTGTCAATGAGGGATTGGATGTCCAATTTGTTTCTTGGGAAAATTGAAGGACATTGGTATGCAGAATTCAGCTTGCTTGGTCCACCATCCTACAAGTATGCACAGTAGATGACTGACTATGTAAATTCAAAGTTCCTCATGATACCCCCTTGTGGTTGCTGATGCACAACCGTTGGCCTCAAGCAAGGTACCGTATGTAGTGTACGATCGTGAACCCACACCCCGTGTATGTAGTTCGCTCTGTTGTGATGTGATGGGCGAAAGAAAAAAAAAAAAAACCCTGACGTTTATCACGTGGAGTTCGGTTTTCTCCAACATCCGCACCGGAATTTCTGCAACAGGCCATATAGTGTAGAATAACACTCCGTGCTCCTGAGATTTGAAGTCAGCAAGATCACAGAAGATCCGGCCTGACCTACCCTTTTCAGTAGGCGTGAAGTCCAGAAGGGTGTTTGGTCACTGTGATTGGAAAATGAAGACCCCTCCAAATGCTCCAACTCCTCCAAAACTTCGCGACACCCACTGGCAGCAAGCCAAAGTGATTGGTTACAATTCCTCCTCATTTTCCGTCCAATGAGACTGACCTTGTGCGCCGCATCAGGACATTGAACAAGGGATGGATCGACGAATGGTAGCGTGGATTTGGGCGGCTGTCGAAACGATGGCTTTTTCGACGATGCCCACTGGGCGGTTTACGGCAGGCGAACAAATCCCCGACTTGCAGAATCCATTGGCTTCCGAGATGCTGGGGTTCATGTACCTACCGGTGAGCTATCATTCCTGTGTCTTTAAACAAGGAGCGAAGTCTGTTCCAGTGAGACACAGCAGGGCAACCACACGATGTCTTCAATGGTCGAATGCCCCAGTGGTCCCCATCAGTGATCCATCCACCCCTGACTAAAGAATGTCGTGCTTCCCCAGAACAACGTGGGTGACATGGCCCCGATAGCTTACGGACGGACGCTTGCTTGCAATGAACTGATGGATCAGCAACCCGTCCGTCGTGCTTTGCTCGTCACGACAATGACTTGTAGCGATGACGAATGAATGAGCCTCGACAGACCGGTTCCACGGGAGCGAACGCCGCAGGTTAGATCTGGGACACCCCGCGAGTCTGCTACCCTTTGCGTACAAGGACTCACTCGGTGCGAGGGGACAATCGGCTCGCTTGTGGTGTCCTTCAATCTCTCTATCCCGTCTTGCACGGACAGGATTGACACTTGATTGACACGACACACAGGTCGCTACGGGCGTTGTGCGATGTGCGCAGACCAGACTGGGGACCTGGAGCTGGACGGGATGTAGACGGATGACGAGATGGGCGATACATTGACGATGGACCGCGGGGTGGGAGATTTTGTGTTATCTGTGCCATGGTCTCGGTATTGGGGTGATGGTACTGACGCCGCCATTATACCTGAAATTATACCTCGGACAGGACCCGTCCCCCCTCGTTTCCTTTCTTTTGCCGGCGAGTTCATTTAGCACCTCCGGGGGATCAACGACATGGATCCTGTCATTTTGAAGAGCGTAGGGTGTTGTTGATGACATTTTGCTCGAAATCCTTAACGGCCTCAGGGGTTCTTGTGATCGGATCAAAGGTCGAAAAACATACATAGTTGAGCCCATCACGGACGCACTAGTTTTCTCATTCCCGATGGCTGGCCCGGCGTGTGAGAGAACTTGATGGGGTTGAGGACGTCAGAGATTCCAACTTTTCCTTAGGTCTGGGTGGGTATATGACGAAGATATCACACCAAGACATGGTGTTCTCGCGAACCCCTGAACTCGTGGTTCGTAGATGACCCTGAGATGAGGGCGCAAGAACCCCGCGATAACCATCCATGGAACCTTGCCGTCCATCAAATTCCCGTGCCGCTTTGAGCCGATTGACTTGTCTATTCTGATGCCGAAAGCCAGGGACATCCATGGCTATGAGATATCTGGACAGTTGGAGAGCGCAGATGGCCAGATAAACGGGCCGGGGTCACTGCTCTTCATATCCCCAGTCGGCCTAGATGGTCGGCCAAGGGGGGCGCGGGGGCTCATCACCATCACGCAAATTTCTTCTGACAAGGTACTAAGCAGCGATCTCCAGGCTTTGAATGGAGGCTCTGGGGATGTCCAGGAAGGGTCTACATAGTACTACACAGCAAAGGAGTAAGAGGATCGAATGCGACCAGAGATTGAGGAGAGGGGGGAGGGTAGCATCGAACAAAATCCCGTTGTTAACTCGCGCCCAATGGCACACTTGACATTGACTTCTAGGTGCTCATAGGGCAACTCCACATGCATATTCCAGGGCTGTCTTTGCCTGTCTTTGGTTGTCGTTTTGAGCATGAGGCGGCACAGCCGCTTAAGGACACGCACTCTTTGCATTCGACATTGTGAAAGTTCAATGAGATGTTCCTTTCATGTTCGCGTGATGCAACCGAGGTCGGTGTTGATTCAGTTGGTAGGTACCCAACTTTTCTGTAGCGTCAGGTACCATACCGCAGTACAGCCTATAGCGTAGGGACAGGCAGGGCAGACAAGTGGAAGCCAACAGGGAAAGACACAGCGACAGATTTGACGCTCCAGGTATCTCCACTCTTCCCGCTGCAGGTGGACTGAATGCTATTGACACCATGCAGCCAGCCCAACCAACAGCAACGACGCTTTTGCCTTTTGACAGCTTCTTCTTTCCTCTTCTCAAGCCACAAGAGGTCGCCAACTTGGACGCAGATTGGACACGCCACGGCTCTCCACCGCGTCTTCGCCCCTCTTCTCTCTCCCAACTTTCAAGGATGACTCTTCACTCAGTTCCCTCACTCCTCCCGCCCTCCCTCCCTCTTTTCTTCGGGCATCTTCCAGGTTGTCGTCGAAAGATCGTCAAAAATGCCATGTGCACAACGCATCATGTCAGTTTTTGTAAGCACTTCCAGCCGACGTCTTTCTCCGTCTCGTCACGTCGCTCATGCTGAACATGGTCAAGAGTCAGGTGTTGTTGTTGTTGATGACTTGACAACACTTTATCCTGTCTACGCCACCCCGAGTGTCAAAAGATAGCAACACGGGGCTGCCTACATCGGCACTAGCATCCGTCTCTGCCATGATGGAATTAAGGTACTGCCCTGTATGAGTGGAATTACACCACGATTGAGGCCCTCCAGACTATGGCCCATTGAGGTTCCCAAGTTAACTGTTCCCACCGATGGACTGGCCATTGTACCAACCCTGGTCCTTGTACCCTTCCACCCATACATGTCCGCATGGTCGGGTGTACTTTGGATGAACATGGTCGACATTTCCCAAGCACATTGTCGCCGACCTTGTCCATCTCATTGGCGGCAGATCCTTACTCTACGCGGCAAGTCGGGAACATGGGCTCTTTTTGCCGCGCTATTGATATCTCGACTTTAGGTACATACCTTACACTACTGCCACTCTACAGTACCTACCTACCTCTACCTCATGAGCTCTTGTCTTGCCTTCACTACCCAACTAAATGAATCTTCCCACTACCTTGTCATCTCACCCTCTCTTCCCTTTTCTTTTCTCGAGGTAGTACCTCTCCCGCTTGGCTGCCGTCACACTCCCTCATTACTACCTCTACCACTTCAAACCAGCTTGACTGTACCACAGGGCTTCCACGTTGTAACTGAATTGAGACTACTATCCAGTTCCGACAAGTTCTCTAAACTACCTAGGTAAGTGTATCTACTCTGTCTGCCTGGGCTCACACGATGTTCCCTTTCTTTTCTGTTCTGTTTTATAGATGCTACATCCGACGACGCCTTCCCTGATGCGTATCCGTATTTTTCCCACATTACTACACATCACTATGTGCTGTGATACCCTCCATCTCTTCAACTTCACCTAACCCCCACCAACCATACACCCTCCATCCCGTCTTGCATCGTTTCCCAATACCACTACAACACATACACGAACAAAAACACCTGAACCACCCCCTGGCCCCAAGAAAATATTCGTGGCCCACCATCACATTTCACCCATACTCAACCACTTACACACCAGCCCCGATGCGGGGCCCATGGTTCCCACGAATTGAAAGACTAACTAGTAGTAGAGCATCCATCCAGGGACTACTGAACCATCATTCCTTTTTCTCAGCCTCTTTCTTCCAAATTCTTCCGTCCGTTTGTGCTTCCGGTCATCATGGACATTGCTTAATCTACACGCTACTGTCAAAAAATTGTCGGGTACCTTAGCTCCCGGTGGAATACTGATACGGGATCAACACTTAATTGCCACGGGCAGGATCGAGCACCGGTGTTCCGCTATACGACTAGGCTTCTCCCGCTGCGCTGGTCACAGCCTCCCGTCCCTGAACACATACTCCCAGCGCGGTAGACTTTGGTTGTGTTACTCCTGCACAGCATTCATGTCGTGGACCACGGAGCAAGAGTCTTAGTATGGTCAAATTAGCCGGCCTTCCTCTGTGGAATATAGGATCACAATGGCTTCCGAAAGACCAGGACTTAGTCTTTCAGGCTTGCCAGCTGATAGCAGGCTCAAGAATCCCGGTACTATAGCGCCACCCGGTTCCTTATTGTTGAAGAAGAGAGGAGGAGAGCCAAGCACCGAACGTGCCAGGACACTACCACAGCCCAAGATGCCTAGTAGGCTACCGCAATCTTTGCCGCAACGGCGACCCTCCGATACCCAACCGGAACCCATTCAGCCTCGGGTTACAGCTGGAATCAAAAATTCAAAGGCTTTGGGCAACACCACGTTGATTACATCAGCAGCATCCAGCCGACTACCCGCGCCGACCATGAAACCTCGAAATGTGCTGAGGAGGAAGAACTCAGGGCTATCACAAGAAGTAGTGAACAGCATCCGCAAAGGCTCCCGAGACGAGACTGGAAACCATGCCAAAACAAGGCCGTCCTCATCGTCTTCCAACCCCCGGTCTCAGACCTCAATCGACTCCTCAGCCAGTTCGCGCTCCGAACTCAACCCAACAATGAACACGATGGAAATCCAAGCAACTCACCAAGTCGAAGTTGCGGCAGGCGCGCCGCAAGCACCAACATTATACCCAGAGCTGGACAGATATCGCGACGTCAAAGCGCCAGCCTGCAATGGAAGCCTCAGCATTGAGGTGCCGTACCTGCTAACAACTCACGATCTCCCTCCCCCTACGCCCTTGTTCTCCGGATCTAGCAGTCAGATGAGTGGCTTCAGCAGTAGTCCATGTACAAGATTCTCCGAGTCACCAGGACCTGGTCCGTATAGTCGAGACACCACGCCTACGTCCATGTCCTCTCAGTCCCCTGGTATGGTGGCGCCTTTACGATTCCCCGGAGCTGGCGTCAGGATGAGACAGGTTGACTCGACCCAAACAAGACCGCCTGTCAGCAGAAGAAGAGGAGGAAGCATATCGAATGAGTTGGATCTTGTCAGCGCTGACCCTCAGGGTTTACCATCAGTCAGGGAATCCTTGACCTCGTCGTCATCCAACTCGACAGTCCGTGAGCTTGAGAGGAAGGATTCCAAGAAGAAGAAGCAGTTATCACCCCTTGCGCCTAGCCCACCACTACGTATTTCGTCACACAAGTTTACGAAAAGCCACGATGGAAGTTTATCCGCACTAAGGCCCTGGCGTGCGCCACCGACCCAGCCAACGGCACCAGCAGCGGCAGCAGCAGCGCAACTTTTGCCAAAGCCAGCCTCTTTCTCTCGACCTCGTCCCGCCCAAGCTGCCCAGCAGGCTGCGCCGCCTAGAGGGCAGCCTCCTCGCCGCCCGAGCAGAGATGGAACTCCGGACCTTCACTCTCAACTAGGTCTGCCCGTGCCCGTTATTCAGAGTAACTTGACATCTGCGCCATCTGAAAAGAGATCAAGCCGACTTCTGGCACCAACAACCATCGCCAGGCCTGGCTTGCTCTCATCAACTTCCGACACGCACATCCATCTCCTAAGGCCATCCATAACCAGAGAGGCAACACCAGCCCCAAAAATGTCCAGGATGGGGGCAGATGCAACTACCATCAAGGCCGAATCAGGAAGAACTACTCGTACGCCAAGTCCTGGTGTATCGACCTTAAGACGCTTCCCCCTTTTCGGACGACGGACAAGGACAACCCAAGAGGTTCCTCAACAGAAGGATGAGAAAAAGCCGCCCAGGAAGGGCCCTGCCGCGGGAACTGGCCACGAAGGCTATGGGCGCGTCGGGCCAGCACGCCGTAGGAGTAACAGCCTTGCAAACACCGGCCTAGCGATCCCTGGGACGATGAGCTCGCAAGAGAGTATCGGGACTAACGATTCCTTCTTGTTGGAAAGGATGGCACCTGTCGTTATTGCAGGCGGCGAAATCATTGAAAACAGGAATGTTGGTTCGGAAATGAGCCGGACGGAAAGCAGCCAAAGTATCACGCGCGAACGACCCAGCGTGGAACCGCAGAACGGCTCGCAAGTCTCTCTTAACTCTATCCCTCGGAACACACTATGGCCGTCTGCATTCCCTCGCGCTGGTCAACATACCCAGAGCTCGTCTATCAGCAGCTGCAGACCCTCTGAAAGTAGTGAGTCTGAGGCCCCAGTCCTCAAATCGACGTTGGCTTTGCGGAGATCTATACAAAGGTTGAAGTCTGGAGAGAAGGAACCCCCGAGGATTCCGGCTCCTATCGTCACTCAACCCCATGTTACGTCTCCCTCGATTACTAGTATTGACGCCAGTGTCCTCGTGACGGACGACTCCATGCTGGCCCCGTCGATCGACGCCGCCCAGGGCATCAAGGCATCAGAAGGATCCAAGAACCTTTCTGGACCCAAGCGTCTGATGAAGCGAGCTCGTTCTCCGCGAAAATGGAACTTCTTTGGAAGGAATCACAGTCAACCTGCTCCGGAGACGAAGAAGGTGGACATTCCAGAGAATGCAGCTCCGGTGGCTGCTGTGGCGGCTACAGTCAAGGTCGTCCAAAACAAGCCGTTAGCATTCTATACTATGATGGACTCATCTGAGCAGGAAGATACCGATATCCCGGACTTGGAGGAAGTTCTTCGCGAAGCGAAGAGCTCGGATTCTCCAACTCACAAGCAAATCCCTGACTTGCGGAACAAGGAAGTGGAGGAGCGCCGACCTTCCGTGACGCAAGAGAATGCGCATTCAAGCTTTTTAACTTCAGAAGCCAGCGCCCAGGTTCCATCGGTCGTCGAGTTCGAACACATGTCACCGGTTAAGTTTTCTAAGCTTCCAACGCCTTCGTCGAGGCCTTCATCTGTTGCAACGCAGGCCGGAATCACCACCAGTCCTGTACAGGGCCGCCCGAGCCGACTTGCTCAGGTCGGTCGGATTCCAAAAGTCGTCAGTGCTCGTGCCGAACAAATATCACCCAAGAGTTTCTCTCGGCCGTTCCACAGACTTAGTACTCAAGTCACGCCGTCTAAGATGGACCTTCGGGATGCATATTCCGTAGCCAAGGGACCTAGTCCGCCCAGGCCATCGACGCCTGTCCGTGTGGAGCCAGCGACGACCGCTGAAATGGAGACCCCGACGCTAACTCGAATTTCGGGATCGATGCTTCCAACTTACCCCAGCGAAATTAGACAAGAGTTTCTCTCATTTTCACCAAGGAAGGGTTCACTGTGTACCACCAATACCACAACTTCTAGCAGCTCCGGAGGATTCAACTTTGCCGAGGCTACTGCAATCATTCCCGAGCCTGGTGCACCATTGGCCGAGGACGAGATTTGGGATGAGTATGATGACTTGTTTGGGGACGAAAGGTTGAGGCAGCCTCCATCCACACGATCGTCTTTCGGGAACCAATTTCACTTGGAGAAGTATACGGCGACCCCAACTCGACGCATCGAACCACCCCTGGAATCCCCAACTCTTCGCTCTCAATTCCAAGAACAACAGGTACAAAGTCTTACCCAAATTATGCACTCGCAAAGAATACCCGTCAGTTCTAGCGTCTATAGTTCCGATATGGCTGAGAAGGTGAAGCAACTCCTGGCCGATCATCCCAGCCCGAGGTGCTCGTTGGAACCTGACGTGTTCAGAGAGTCAGAGATGCAGCGGCAGGGTGAGGCTGTGTGCAAGCAGTCGGAACTAGAAAAAGAGGTTGAGACTGAAAAGCAAACCAACAGCCTTCCTGTTGATGATTCACGTCGATCCGACTCGAGTCGTTGCAGTCAAAGTTCGGAGGATGGCTCGCCGCTTGCCTTGGTCAATCTACGCGTCGGGTCCATGACGGTCAGCAAGTGGCTTACCTTTGGGCATGTGCTCTTCAGTCCGGTCCGAGATGAGCTGCTCAACGACGTAGGCTCACTGAAGCGTCCTTCCATCCTCGTTATTGACGGTCTTGGCAACGACGACTGGTCTTTCTATGCAGCCGAGACGTATCCAGCAGCAACGTTCTTCAACCTTTCGCCTCGTCCGCCTCGTCCAGCTGCTCGTAATGGCTCAACTGGTCTCCCTCTCAGTCCTCCGAACCACTACCAGGCACAGTACATGTCACACACTGGCAAGTTTCCTTTCGGCGCAGAGAGTTTTACGGCTGTAGTATTTCGCTTCCCGGTTGCGGCCCCCGAGGCACATTATCGGAATATCATCTCAGAGGCTCGGCGTGTCCTCAAGCCTGGCGGCTACATTGAGCTTTCGATCCTGGATGTTGATCTGAACAATATGGGCAACCACGGGCGTAAGGCTGTCCGCCGCCTGAAGGAACGCATCCATGCCAAATCCCCTGATGTCAGTCTTGGGTCGACCTCGGATCTCATCCTCCGACTACTTGGCAGAAAGGGCTTTGCCGATCTCAAGACTTGCCGTGTTGGCGTCCCGGTCGTTAGTGTCATTCCACAAACGCCTGCAAGCGAGAACGGTAAAAGAAGCAAGGCCGCTACCAAGGGCAAGTCCATGAAGGATGAACGCAGCCTTCCCGAGATGATCAGCGACGGAAGCCCTGTAGCAGATGAAAGCATCACCAAGATGGTGGCGAAGGTGGGACAATGGTGGTACAGCCAGTGCTATGAGAGCGCTGCTAGTACCGACATTGGCCCAGGAACCGTCGGAAGCATGTGGAGAGACAAAGCACTCCTCGCCGAGTGTGAGGAATGGGGCACGAGTCTCAAGCTCATGGTCTGCCACGCCCGAGCTCCTGATGGGAGACCTCGCCTTGCAAGCATCTGATTTTCTTTGTCATTCTCCCCACCTCACTTACGCTTCTACCCGGCATGTCTTTCATTACTCGATACTCATGATAGAAGGAGAAGATTGAAAAGACAGAAAAGATGAAAGAGGGCGCGAGCCCAGCTGTGCAACAACACTGCATCATACACCACGAAAGAAGTCGTTCATTCGGCATATCACGACACATATTACATTTTCTTTCTGGGGGAGGGGGGGGTTCCAAAGCTGTTGGCATACAGGACAATAACTTTGACTCCACTTCCGTTGTCCTTATTTTCTCTTGTCATTTCCTCAGTCGACTGGTACGAATGGATGGAACGTTTTCCTGGTTTTCAGAGAGGTCGCCTTGACGGCTACTTTCTTATCAAGCTGTTTGGGTAGTTGGGATATAATGGTGATGAAAGGGGGAGGAAGAAAAGCCATTGACTGGTATTTGATGATATGGCGCAGGCACGTCGTTCTATTTTTCCCTTCTTTTTTTTTTCCCCTCTCGTTTGTTTTACTTTTCTTTCTTTCTTGTAACGACGTAATGTGCGGGTTTCATGACGACGGACAGGAAAAAAAAGGCAAGAGAGAGATCAGGAAAGATTCTGAGATCTGTCATCACTGACTGGCAAGCAAACTGGCGTTAAAAGGCAGCGTTTGATTTTGGAGTTTTGTCACTTTTTGTTGTCGAGTTCAAAGCATGATACCTGATGTATGAGAAGGAGGAGATGAGACAGAATAGAAGATTAAGATGAGATGGAGTGTGGAAAGGATCATCAGTTTATACCCGTAGTATTTTGTATGTCAGAGGAGGAAGGGGCATATGTTTACATAGGTAGCGAAGCAGGCAGGCAGAAAGGCATCGTGAGATGTTGACAATGAAATGGGAATACATTGGATACAGCAACTCGCGGATTGGACTTCTAGTAATGACAACAACCACGATTGGGATGTCGGATTCAGTCAACATGATAAAGTGAAGCTTTTGATGAAATCAGCTTGTTGGTTCTCGCCAAGTCCCCGACCCCCCTTTCTACCCAGCTCCGATATAGATAAAAAAAAAAAAGGGGGGGGGGGGGTCTGACACCTCACTGTAAGTTACAGACGCCCTATGGATAGCAGCTAGGTTACCCCAGAAGAACTCCGGTTAGGGTGTTGGTACTTTTTACGGGCGAGTCTTGTAGTGACCTCTACGCACTATGTACCTATCTGTTAGCGCCCGGATTGCCTTTCGTGCCGATATAAGATCAGTACCTCCAGACCCAACAGTTGAATTTCCGCCTCTGTTACCTCTAGTACACTCTGATAAGCCCGTAATCCGACCCATGCACCGGTAAAACCTCGAGAAATCTTACATTCCAGTTCTCGCGAATATGCCCCCTTACCACCCTTTTCCACACATCTACACATCCACATCCACTTACACTACTATTCACTATACCGCGAGGTGAGACTACCTCTATTCATATGTCCGCTCTCGCGCGCGGTAGGGCTGGTCCTACTCTCCGAGGGCGAATAGGCCGTACACGTAGGCCAGCAAATAAATTCGTCTACATATGTGTGCCGGTTGGTGTATGGACCCTGTATACGGGCTACTCTATAAATCTTACACCCAAAGGAAGGGCAGAGGCAATGCCGCCCCAAACACTCGTTTCTTATCAACTGGCATCACATAGGTATGCATTGCGATACCTCGAGCACGCAGGGTTGCGCATATGCATCTTGATTTTTTTGTTTAGTAAAAATAGGTTTGAATGGACATCAATTCACCGAGGTTTCCGTATCCTTTGTACCTCTAGTGTAAAAAGAAGCATCGCAGAATGGGCAACGGGGGCTCCGCGATAGGGGAAGGTTTCACTCGAGATTCGAGAACATTTCTTTAGGTCGCTGCTGTTAGTGATTGCACCTGAATCTAGTGCATGCTCTAACAATAGCCGTTGAGTTGATCTCGTTCAGGCCCCGTGCGAGGTCCCTTGGCGGGGCTCGGCCGACCCTGCCGACGTGGGTGAACCTTGTTGGGTAAATTTCCCCAGATTCCACTTCTTGCAGAGGCCGCGGGCAGGCATCTTGACCAAATGCCCGATCAATGGGGGGCGCCCGAAGAAGCTGACTTTCCCAGTTCCCTCGGGAGGGAGACTTTTGCTACACTACTACCTCATCGCTTCGCTCAGTCGCAGTGTCAGTGGCGACCTGGTCCCTGGCGAACCAACTTGTTTCTCTTTTGGATATATACAACTTGACGAGTTTCCTGTGCTGCATCCGACTCCCTACCTAAACCTCACCGAACGAGTCCCGTCGACCCTGTCAGCACCGCCCATCACCAACATCGAAACTCGAGTACCGCCTCCGTACCGGACAGTTGACAAACCCCACGCACACGGACGCACACATCCTTCGCGAATCGAGATTAACATACTGGGATAGCTAGCTTCTCGACTTTACAACCAAGCCTTGGCAAGGGATATCTCGAACTTCGACGAGTGGTTCGACAGACCGACCGTTCCGACATGCTCTAAGATGGGCATAGAGCCGCAGCAGGGCCACCTCCTTTCGTTCAGTAGCAGTAGTAGTTGTAGCCGGGACGCCAAAGCCCTTGATCACACTCGACAACGAACGAGGTAGTAGACGTTGGCTGTTAAAAAAGAAACTCCAGCAGGTCCAGAGAGGCCACAGATACATAATACCAAAGTCTTATTCAAGATGACGCGACGAATTGTAGGTCATCTCTACTTCCATTTCTCTCGACTCTCTTTGCAAATGCTGTAGCAGTAGCTACGAAGAAGGTTGTGAAGCTGTCTTTAATATCAGCAAACCAACCAGGCTAACTGACCCTTTTTCCCTAAACCAGGTCCGCAACATCATCCAAATCTCCACCGCCGCCGTCATCACCTTCATCCTCATCTTCTTCCTCGACCGCAACTTCCGCGTCCTCCCCAACGCCATCCACGAATACCTGCCCACCCATCACGCCGGCCTCGTCATCACCGACATCACCGTCACCACCTGCACCAGTTACAACCCCTTTTCCAGCTGCGACCTCGACACCTCGGTCTGGCACCGCGTCGACAAGGACCTCCACCTCGGCAAGACCCTTTTTTCTCATGCCTACCTCCATGTTAGCCGCAAGCGCGAGGAGGAGCTGAAGGAGGGCGATAAAGTAGTCGTGGACGTGACCGTCGGCCGATTGGACCCTAGCGTGGCCGACGCGGAAAAGGCCGCGGCCAAGGGCCTGGATATCAAGAATGAGAAGTGGGAGTCTAGGCCGGCGGGCCTGTGGGTGAAGCGGTCGTCCAAGAGAGGGGCAAGTGATTCCAAGAACGCGGTGACCGGGATTGACGTGCTGTTTGGCGACGATGCGGTGGAAGCTAGGGATGCGTGGAGCATGACGGGCACGCCGTTGTTGCTGGATGTTGGGCGCAGCGTGCCCTCTGCCCATCTGACGGTACGGAGGGGAGTGGAACACCCGCCTGTGAAGCCGGTGTTGAGGATTCGGGATAATGGCAAGTTCAAGATTGTACAGTTGGCGGATCTGCACTTGAGCACGGGCGTGGGAGCGTGTCGTGATGCGCTGCCGGAGGGGCAGAAGTGCGAGGCGGATCCCAGGACGCTGGACTTTGTGACGAAGATTTTGGAGGAGGAGAAGCCGGATTTGGTGGTGTTGAGCGGGGATCAGGTCAACGGCGAGACTGCGCCGGATACGCAGACGGTAAGGGATTCCGTCGTATCCTGATATCTGGAAAACGCCCGCGGCTAATACTCATTCTTTCTAGGCCATCTTCAAGTACGCCCAAATCCTCATCAAGCACAAGATCCCGTACGTCTCCATCTTCGGTAACCACGACGATGAAGGCTCCATGTCGCGGGCCGCCCAGATGGACCTGATCGAGACCTTTCCCTATTCCCTGTCTCGCGCTGGGCCCGAGAGCATCGACGGTGTTGGTAATTACTTCATCGAGGTGCTGGGGCGCGGCTCGTCTAGCCACTCGGCGCTGACGGTATACCTGCTCGACACACACGCCTACTCACCCAACGAGCGCAAGTACCCGGGCTACGACTGGATCAAGCCCAACCAGATTGAGTGGTTCCGGCAGACGGCGCAGGGACTCAAGAAGAAGCATCGCGAGTACACGCACGTGCACATGGATGTCGCGTTCATCCATATCCCCTTGCCGGAGTACCAGAATGGAAGGAATTTGACGCTGGTGACGTCGTGGAAGGAGCCGACTACGGCGCCAACGTTTAACTCTGGCTTTCACGATGCGTTGGTGGAGGAGGGAGTTGTGATGGTGTCTTGTGGACAGTGAGTCTCCCTGTCAAGCTTCATTTTTTTTTTTTTTTTCCTCTCCTGTCAAATCCAGAAGCACGCTAACATTCCCCCCTCCCCACAGCGACCATGTAAACGAATACTGCGCCGTAGACTTCAAAGAGGACGGCAAGCCCGCCCTCTGGATGTGCTACGCCGGCGCGGCCGGTTTCGGCGGTTATGCCGGCTACGGAGGATTCCACCGCAAGATCCGCGTCTTTGACTTTGATATGAATGAGGGCCGCATCAACACGTGGAAGCGAGTCGAGTACGGCGAGGACGTCGACAAGAAGATTGAGGAGGTCATGATTGTCGATGGTGGACATCCGGTTATGCCTATGCAGGACTAGGATGAAGACTATAAACAAGAGTTGGAAAGGGTAAAAAAAAAAAAAGAGAGTTTGTCTGTGGTATTTACAACCGCTTCGCCGTCACCATGTCACCTCACTGTCTCAACATCTCAAAAGTAAAAACGCCACGCCGTCAACGCCGTAACCCGACTCCGAGCCTCGAATAACGACTTCACCAGCTCCATTAACCCCTCGCGCCCTTTCCGCCCCAAAACAAACATGTGACATGTGCAAAAACACCCGCGATGCAGGGAGGGTTCGACAGGGTTGACACGAGCCGGCACAAGTCATCACAAATGCCCTTTGAGCACAGATCTTACGACTAAAGCAAAGACGGTAGTTCAATGCATGAGGACTGTCAGGGGAAACAAGAAAGAGCACCAGGTGGTTACCACAGCAATGTTTGTATCACCTAGTCAACGAGTGCGTATGCAAACCCTATCTTACCAAGGCTTTGGGTACATACTGGTTTTTACTAGTAGCGCTGGCCTGGTAAGGAGATGGCTTCCTTTATTTGGTTGTTAAGGATCATGAGATAGGGACTGGGATAACATCGTTGGGTTTGGCTCGTTGGGAAGAATCACGAAAGACAGAAAATTATCATTAACGGACGGATATCGATTGGGTTAGTTATCCGAGGAATGTAAATGGCATGAACTAGGAAGCCTGTTCAAGTAATACAATGAATCCCATGCTGTGCTACAGTACTCATCAGTGCCGTGACTTTTTGCAGACGGGCAAACCATTATTTAGCAGGGAAAGAGGATAGGGGGGAGAGAGGGGGGAAACGGCATCGTTGGGAGCTACAGAATCCTGACTCTTTGAAATGGGTGTACGTTAACACAGTTCATATTCACTCGACTGGACAGGATGGCGAGTCACGACTTCTTCAAGGGTAAATTTCTTTAAAGAACTTCTTTTATCCGGGGACTACGTCTTACTGTGTTCAGTTCTCAAGTATCCAAGGGGCTTTCTTGGTCTACCCCACGAACAACATGATTTTCATTTTCATTTTCTCTTTTTTTCTTTAACGTTATAATCAAGGAAACCTAGGATCTTGATCTAGCACCTTCTTTGTGTACAGTTAGTTCGTGCTGTCTCTAACAGCAACTTGAAAGAAAAACACCTGCAAACCCTGCGCAACCATATGGTTAAGTTAATTCATGCTAGCGCGTTCTGACATCGTTTGAGTGAAACCTTGTTAATCAAGTGAATACCCTGTCAGTCAGTACACCATTCCATTTCAACTTGTCCGACCCAGCATGCATCTGGTTAGTTGTTACTCAGTGCCCTTCAAGCACCGGGAGGGGGAGGCGGAGGGAGATCCATGGGAGGCGGAGGAGGCGCTTCAGCTGCCGGAGGGGGCGGGGGAGGAGCTGCGTTGGCATATTGCTGGATAAGAGCGTTAAGCGGTCCGGACAGGCCGGGAGGAGCTCCGGGAGGCGGAGGAGGCAATCCAGGAGGCGGGGCAGCGCCCATACCGGGAGGAGCACCATAGCCAGGATAACCACCATAAGCACCAGGATACGCCGGAGCCGTGGGGATCGCCGGGGCAGAAGGAGCGCCCGGGGGAGGCTGGTGCCAAGGGGCCGGGCCGCCACCACCCGAGGAGCCTCTGCCGTAGTCGTCATGCCTGCGATCGCCGCCATAGTAGCTGTCTCCTCTGTCGCGATCATCGTGCCTGCGCTCGTTACGATCACGAGCCCAGGGAGCCGGGCCACCAGAGGGTCCGCTGGGAGGGCCACCGGGGCCACCGGGACCACCTTCGTGATCACGATCCATGTTGCGAGTACGCCAGGGAGCAGGGCCGCCAGTGGGTCCCCGTTGCCAGGGCTTAGCATCGCCGTTGCCACCGCTGGGACCATTGCTGAAAGAGCCGGGGCCAGCTTCGATACGGGCAGGAGCAGCGCCGGTACCACCGAGTTCTTGCATGAGTTGCTGGTACATGTCAGTATATTGCTCGCAAGAAAAAAAAAGAGAAAATCAGAAAGGGGTTGAACAAACCTCGTACTCGCGGTCCACGGCATCGCCGCCACCACTGCTACCGATACGACCAGCAGTCCGGCCAGCACCGGGACCATCGTTCCTCCAGCTTGCACCCCTCTGCCTGTCAGGACAATCCCTAGCCATATGGCCGGCATTACCGCAGACACGGCAGATAATGTTGGCAGTGTAGTTCTGCTTCTCAGGGCAATCATATTTACGATGACCGATCTGGCCGCAGTTCTGGCATGCTTGGTTTTCGTCGTCACGCAAAGTACCGTTGAGGGCAGCAAGCTCACGCAACTGGTTGCGCTTGAGCTCGTTCTGGCCTTCAGGGATCGAAGCAGCCTGTAATAACAGTTAGCGGGTGCATCAACGCAAAAGGCGGGGAGAGGGGGGGGGGGGGAGGGAAACGTACTGTCTCAATAATATTGTGAATCAGCTTCTTGGCTTTGTTCACCTTCTCTTCGGTATCTGCCATAATGAGACAGTGCAGGTCCTCTTCCTGGTTGCTGGAGTGGGCGGCGTCAGAACGGCCCTTGCCCTCCTTTACGGAGCCCTTTCCACGAATGGCAATCTTGGCGCCAGATTCTGTTTCCATCTTCTTGAGTGTATTGCCACGAGGACCGATAAGCAAACCAACTTGAACAAGGAAGAGCTAAGTGTTAGTATTGTTATCATGGAAGTCATTTGTTTTTCGGGTTAGAACGTTTCAACATAAGCAACTTGCAAGGCACAAACGGCAACCGTTTCTAGAAGCGCTGGGTTCATGCCTGGCAAAATACCAATGAGGGCGAGGGGAGGTTAGGAGTCAATAGGGAGTTTGGAGGGTTAGTTATCATACTGAAGTTAATCTCTGGGTAGTCGTTAACCGGGACGTAGACCTTCTCCTGGGTCTTTGTAGGTCTACGGTAGTCCGAGGGCGGGTGATAGTTAGGGATCGTCTTCATGGCCTTCTCGATGAGCTTGTGGCGCTCATCCTCGAGCTTCTTGCGGTAACGGTATTCGCGAGTGTTGACACGGCGACCATGGTTGTCGTACTGGGGAGCAGGAGAGGGTGATCTGGACAAACACGACGGGTTAGTCAAGAGTTTCCGAGACGGCAAAAGTGAACATGTGCAGCATACCTGTCTCCATCAGCAGGAACGACATCGTCGATCTTGAGTTTTTGGGTGATTTCCTCGATGCGCAGGTGCAGGGTGTAGGCCTCCAATTGTTCGCTCGTCATATTAGCGACGATGGCGGTAGGGAGGCCCATCAAGCCGGCGGCCTTGTTTTCGGTCGCTTCACCCCAGCGGTTGCGCTTCTTGCGGCGCTTGGGACCATCCTCAGATCGTTCGGGGCTGCGGCCGCGCTTGACGTCGCGATCATTGCTGTAGACGGGCCCGTCTCTGTCTCTGTCTCTGTCTCCGTTGGTGACGGATGATGGGGCGGATGGTGTTACGCTGCGAGCGCCATCCTCTTCCTCTCCGTCGCCAGCAAAGCGGCGCCTGCTTCCCAACGGTATGTTGTTGGAACCCGTGATTCCTTGGTTCCTCCACGACATTGTGATGGTTGATGAGGTCGTTCTATGTCGGGGGATCCAAATAAACAGACGACCAGAAATTGGTTGACAATGTGATGTGGTTTCGGTTGGGTGCAAAAGAAAGAGGTGGTTGGCTGGTTGCAGTGAAGGACGACGCGCTAACGGGAGGCAAAGTACAAAAGACAAGTGGGGCGGGATCCCGCATTTGCCTTAGGTAAGCGAGCAGGTGCAAACACGCGCTGGACTTGGTGATGTTCCAGGCCTTCACCACAGCAGTGCCCGCTGTTATTGGCCGCACGTGACCGCTACAATTGAACTTGGTTGCTTTCGTCTGAACTTCCAACAGTCTTCATCTTGGGACAGAATTTCAAGTAAACATTGCCTGAGCTTCGGGCTATTTTATGTAACGGAAGTTACTGACTGGCTAATCCAAATATGGGTTGGCAAGCGCGCATTGGTTTCCATCCCGACGGTCACATCTCAGGCTAGTCCATATCACCAAACATCATCGTGGACTATGGAGAAGGCCTGGCTGAGCCTCGTGAGTGCCACGAGCCATGTTACCACTACCTCCTTGTTCGAACTCGTCATATCAAGTCTAAACCTTGGACCGAAACCTTTTTTTACAGAAATTTCTCGTCAGTTTCGATGTTCATTATCTGTCTCGCTACCTGACAGCGCTGCATCACAAGCAACAACAGTGCTCATGGCTCTAGCTCATAGCTCGTTCCCCACCGTTTGCCTTACTTCTTCGCATCCTCAGCCATGCCCTTCTGCACCCACGCCCTGGAAGAGACCGCCTTGGCTTCCAGCTCCTCCTCGCTCAACTTGTTGAGCTCCAGCGCCGTGTGCTTGCTGGGCACATGCCTGCCCTTCTCGAGGCCGGGGCGCTCGAGGAGTCTGTTGAGCCAGGCGTTGAGGTGGGGAAATTGAGCCTCGAAGTTCTTGATGCCGCACCAGCCTGCACGTAGGGGTCCATCTGTCAGCAACTGTGACACGTGGTACACATCCAGAAGACATTTCAAAGAAAAAGGAAGAGCTTACCGTGAGCAGCAACCCACCCCCAGCACGAGAAGTCCGCAATAGTAGGCCTATCTCCCACCAAGTACTCGTTCTTCGCCAACTGCGCATCCATAACCCTGTACAATCTCCTCGTCTCGTTCTGGTATCTGTTGATTCCATACTCGATCTTCTCGGGCGCGTACCGCGTAAAGTGGTTAGCCTGCCCTTGCATGGGGCCCAGACCGCCCATCTGCCAGAAGAGCCAGCTCTGGGTCTGGTAGTACTCCTTGCTGCCCTGCGGGTACGAGACCTTGTGGTCTTTATCGTAGCGCTCGACAAGGTACTGCATGATGGCGCCAGACTCGAACAGCGCGATGGGCGTGCCGTCCTCGAGCTTGTCGGTCAGAGCCGGGATGCGGCCGTTGGGGTTGATCTCAAGGAACCATGGCTCCTTTTGGACATCTTTGGAGATGTCGATTGCGGTTACCTGAAGGAGGTTAGTTTATGTTTGAGCAGCAGTGAATGAAGAGGGACGTGAAGAGAAGAGTCAAAGAGAGTGGTGAACTGTAATGGTATGCATTGGTTTACAAGCAAATAGGAACGTCAGCTCGTGGTAAATACCTTGTAAGGCACACCAAGCTCCTCAAGGAGAATGGAGACCTTGATGCCATTGGGAGTCTGGGCAGTGTAGAGGTGGATGTCTGAGTTCTGGGACGCCATTGTGTCTGATGTCGAGTGTCTTTAATGCTTGGTTGACTATAGTTTGTGATAAGTTTCGAGAAGTGAAGCTTTCAAGATTGTGTAGTATGAAGCACCGTGGGGTTCATATGTCTTTTTTCGAAGAGGGGGCCGAGCTGTTTCGCTGTATGCTTAGAAATACAGCACCTGCGGTCGTCGATATTACCGTATCGGTGATTGATGTACACCGCGGCTTCGGCAATTTCGGAAAGTGACCCTGTTAGTGCAGTAACAGCCAATTGCTAAGAGATGCAGCGTCCTCCAATACATTGCTAGTGCGGGGTACGACCGAAGAAGAGACGTGGGGTGGTGTGTCGCATCATACAGCCGGAATGACGGCATCAGCCAAAAGTGTTCCTTTCAGTTCTTTTGGAAGCTTCTTTCTATGACAATTGTCCCAAAAACACAACCACGGTTTGGGTGAACGTTACCTGGTTTCATCCACAGCGATTCCTACACAATTCCATGTGACACTTTAGTCGGATTGTGAGTGTTACCGCATCGATTGGGATTATTAATCACCAGACCTTTTACAAATCTGTGACAGAAAAGCTCTAAAGGGAACAATACACAGTCGGAGCATGAAGATTCACACAAGAGACCGGTTCTTACATCAAGGCGTGTATTCGAAAGTGTCTTCTCAAAACTATGTACAAGAAACTGACATATGGACATGACGTGTTCGTTATAGCTAGCATGCGCACCATGCATAGTGTAGGTAACGAAGCCGAATAGCTTCCCTTCTCAACAACCGTCAACCCTTTACAAAACCTCACGACGTTGTTTTCTTCCCCTCACCACCTCCGATCGCTTACCCAGAAACGAGCAGGATAATACAAGCCATATACACACGATTAGTACGTAAATAAAAAGGAATGGGAAATGAAAGATCAAGGGATCAGGTTCTAATAAACGTAACCAACGCTAATAACAGCAAAGATCGAACCGCTCAGCAACCAATAACACTCTGCATGCTTGCTATATTCAAGAAGACTTGCACATGCGACCATCATTGGAAACAGTCCAGGCCTCGCTACCGACAGCGGCAGTGGCGTAAAAGAGGTTGCTGGGGTCGTACTTCTTCTTGATGCACACAAGGTTGTTATAGTTGCTGCCGAAGAACTGGTGCTGGAAGTCGGGCTGCTGGAAGTTGGCCTCGTTCATGTAGGCGCCGGAGCCGGGGGTGGCATCCTCAATGGCGGGCATGATGACGTCGGTCATGAGGTGCTGGTTCTCGATCATCTTATCCCAGTCCTCAGGCGCGAACGACCACGGGGTGGTGAGGGTGGCGTGGACGAGGGCCTTGCGCCAGGCGGGGAGGACGGCGTTCTGGTTGTTCTGGCCGAAGGCGGAGACATCAGTGCCAACACCGATGAAAGTGACGCCGCTCTCGGCGATGAAGCGGGCGGTCTTGGCGAAGGCAGTGGCGTTGTTCTTGACGGTGTCGACGGGGATGAGACGGCCACCGTACTGAGCAATGCCGACCTGGATGTTGCCGGTAGGGAGAGGGCCGAAGTACTTGTCGTAGTGGTCATAGTAGTTCTCGGTCTCGCTGTAGCCGGCAGTGTAGGTGACGCCCATGGTGTCAAGAGTCTTGAGGTAGGGGGCCATGATCTGCTTGACTTCATCCTCGGACTTGCCGTAGGCAGTCATGGGCGAGATCATGAAGAAGTCCGAGGTGAAGTAGTAGACAACCATGGTGCCGGCGGCGACCATGTCGGGAAGGGCAGAGTGGAAAGCATCGATGGCGGCGTAGAACGTGTCGGTGGGCATCGCAGTAGAGTAGAAGGCGAGGGTCGCGCCACCAACCTTGGCATCGGGGAAAGTCTTGACAGTCATGCTGAGAACGACACCATAGTTGCCGCCGCCGCCACCGGAGAGAGCCCAGTAGAGGTCAGAGTTCTGGGTGCGAGAAGCCGTGAGGAGACGGCCATCAGCAGTGACAACCTCCCACTCGAGGGTGTTGTCAGCAGACAGACCGAAGCTGGTGCTCAAAGCCGAGTGACCACCACCCTGAGTGTAACCACCAGAGATACCGACAGTAGGGCACTCGCCGCCAACGACAACCTGACCCTGGGCCTTGCCGGCAGCCATAATCTCATAACCCTGGATACCGGCACCAAGCTTGACGGCGGGACCGGAGTAGTACTTGTCATTCCAGGTCTTGAACTCGATATCCTTCAGGTTGTGGGTCCAGACGGAGAGGGCACCGGCACCAGTGGAACGACCAAGGTAGTCATGGCCGGTGTTGCGGATGACGAAGCGGATGTTGTGGTCGCGGGCAAAGTTGACGGCCGCGGTCACATCGGCTGCGGTTTGAACATCAACGGCGTACCTAACGTAGTTGCCGAGGGTGCAAGGCTTGTCCCTAGAAGTGAAGGGGTCGCAGCTCTGGTTGGCAAAAAACGGGGCCATGACAGAGGCCGAGTCAACCATGCTGTGTGGGGGCCATGGTTGTTAGTGATCGACATTACATACGTGATGATCACCACCAAAAGAAGATGGCAGTTGACCACAAGAGGGAAAGCTAATAAGACAAGTGAACAAGAGAAAAAAAAAATAACTCACTGAGTATCGGGGGTCTGCCACGAAGACTGGAGGCTCGAGCACTTTGCGCTGTCGTACTGGTCGCCATGGCATACCTCAGCAAGGGGCACGGTAGCGATGAGTCTGCCACCGACGGTCTGGTTGAGCTGGTTCCAATCCTGTGTTGAAGGCCAGCAGGCATCGCCGGGGAAGCATTTGCAGGTCGAGCCAACGGCGGCGCCCAGCGCACCGACGGAGAAAAGGCCGGAGGAGAGAAGAGTCGAAACCTTCATGGTGATGGTTTCTCTGAAGACGTTGAAAAGGAATGCGAAGCGAGGCTCGAAAGTGAGCGCCGGTCTGAATGCTTCTGCTGGAGAGAGAGGTTGACGATCTCCGAGAAGGACTATCTTGGCGATGATGTATTCATGGTGGCAGACGACAATGCTCTGTTTAAGTATAATTCCATGCCCCGGCGCTGGCGTGGTCTGCCACGCAAAGATTGCCCTCCAAAATCCACCAGGGAGAGGCGGGAAAACACAGGCGAGACCGTTCAGGGACTGGTAGGGTCCCCTGGTTATGCGGCTAGTGTAGACGGCCCCAAATTGAAAACCCTCGGGCTGGGACCATAGCCATGGCACGATTCTCCCACGGCACGTGTATGTAGTGTAGAAAAGGTCACAGTATCCGAATCCGTGGGGAGCTTGAAAGCCTGTGAGTGGACGGATGGCCGTCAGTTCCAGGAACAATCTCCGTCCGGGTTCCACCTCACCCATGGCCAAGGCGAAATGCTTTCTTCTTTGGTGCCGAGTGCCTTACAACTCCATGTCTGGACGGATTTTAGGTTATCGTGCCAGCCACGCGCGACATGGTTCACCTCGTGAGGAGTGGCTATAGTTGCGGGCACGGCCGAGAGAGATGCAGACCGGCTGGTGGAGTTTGTGTCCTTGGGTCGTTCTTTTTTTGACTTATCAAGCCTATCAAGATGCCCATCAAGGTGTCTTATCTTGGGCAAGTCAGAGTTTTCCCAGGCTGGCACGTTGTGCATGGCAAAACCTGGGGATATGATCATCAGAAGGGAATCGCCAGCAACCATCACTCGGGACGATGCTCATCCTCATCTGTAGGGACGGTGGTCAGTGGTATGTAACCGGCTGTTGAAAATCGGTTATTCGGATGAGTGGTGGCATCCGTGTGCCGATATCCATATCCAATATCATCTGCTAAGACAGCGGTGGCAGAGTCGGGTCGAGGATAATCGAGATGAACTACATACCTACGCAGGAGCTGACCAAGGATGGCGGTATCTGGGTAGCACGTGTAGTACCATAGTAGTGTAAACTACACCGGGGTTGGGCCTGATGGAAGATTGCAGACGGCTTCACATTGAGCTAGAAAAGTCTCCGAAGCAGTGGGTAATAGGGCAACACAGACCGCCTGGGCGGGAATAGGTAGGAAGGGAAACCTTGGCTGGTGACATTTCGGTCCAGCGCCGGATCGCGATGCCCGACGACCTGTGCGGTTGAGGTTTCCATGATGCTACAGTATGTAGTCGGTTGTTGTAGTGAATAGTGTAGCGTTACACTACTTGGAAGTATTTTTGGCTTCTGGGACGTTGTGTAGACGGGAACAGTACCATGGGTGGGTGGGACGGCAATGAGGTTTGACGATGGTGTCAACAACTGTGAGAACTCGGAATGAGTTGGCCCTTGTCCGCCCGGTAGCTAGCCGACAGGTCTGATCTTCCACGTGCTGTGTGTGGCACGCGGCGGGCGGCTTCACGTGGCGTAATCTCCAAGATGGGTTCAGCTTGATGCGGAAGATGAGCCAGCCGACATGACGGGGTTTGTCATCCGAATGGATTCAGTCCGAAGGGTGGTCCGGGAAATTCATGTTCCTGCAGCACCGCGATGTTAGTACCTGCAGCTACCATCCATCCATTGCGCCTCTTGGGTACCCCACGGGCATGCTCGCTTTTACGCAGTGACCTCCAAATGTTCTGTTATGCAGGTCAAAAAGACACGACTTTTGTGTTTGTACTTCCTGGTGGTGTTCCGTCCGAAATTACTTTTTTTTCATCCAATCGATACGCGATCCATGACTACTAATTCGCAGACAACACAGTGTTTTGACAAAAAAGAAACAAAGTGATTTTCCTTTGTTCAGCGTAAAGCCCTGTTAACCCCGCGCTCTGCTCCGCGCTTTCTTTCCACTTCGCCACTGCAGCCACAGGTGCGCTCGGTCGATGGAAGTTAAGCGAGAGCAAAAATCACTGCGTGATCAGATAGATGTTGGTTGCTGGAGCCAATGGCTGCCCGAACATTCCCGGCCGGGCATGGCAAGCGGCAACCGAACAGCCATCCGATTTCATTTTCATTGCTTTTCCAGCTCGTCCAAGCGCCAAACCTCGGTAAATCAATGTTACCTGAACCGCAAGCCTCTTGGAGTGAGCCACGGTGCGTGCCGATGAACAACTGCCGCTGAGCCTCAACCCCTCAATTGCAACGACATGTCGACAACTATATTTTCGACCAAGGCAAGATACTAGTGTAGTGGCACAACCTCACCCTACATTACCTACTACACTACGCCGTACACGTGCAAAGCTGTCGCCCTCAGGGGCTGCGTCCGCAAAATGCCCGCAGGAATTATCAGGCACATCCATCTACACTACAGAAGCCCTTTTGAAGCCCGACTTTCCCCCGCCCCCCCACGGTTTCCCCTGCCGGCCAGACCTCGCCGAGCCAGCTACCTAGCCTCCACAAAAGCCCCATTGCGGAACCATTGCGGAAGATGCCGGTCCACAGGTTCGCGCTCTGTCACCGCTGATAGGGGAGATTGCCCATCGCTTTCAGTAGTGTGTCATAATGGAGCATCGTGGTTTTTCACTGCTAGCTGTTTTGAGCCAAGGCCGAGCAGGACGAAAGACCGAGGTTGCCGAACACAGAAGGCATCTTGCAAATCGCTGGACGAGAAGGGAGACAGAGCAAGTCAACGCCGACGATCTCGACCACAACAGGATCAACGACAAGAGTCACCAGCTTCTGCGCTCGGATGCTGCCGATAGGTTGCCATCTTCAGAAAATCATGGACGCAGCCTCGCTCTCATCTTCCCAACCGATACAGCACAAGAGAGGAGCTTGAAACTGGGCCGAAACCGCTCGGTCTCCGGAGCACAGACGATCCGACACGGCACCGGACGACCTTTTCGTCTTGCCGCCGCCGACGACGAGAGCTTCCCAGCGACCCCATCAGCACTTGGGGGAGGCTGGCTTCGAGGACCTCTACGGCTGCCACTCTGCTCGTGGTGCCACCCCTTCTACTGCCCCTGAGCAGCGTTGCATTGCAGTGTCACGCTATCACCCTATCATGTACGTAGCGATATCCGAAAGTGCCCACGTGTCTCACGGCATATTCCTTTGACGCTCTTGGTCTTTCGGTCCTTCTGGTGTAGGTAGTGTAGGCCATAGCTTAGACTATTGGCAGCTTCCAGTCCGCCCAGGGTCGCCGATTGAGACATACATACTTTGCGACTTATCCCCGTGTCCTCCTTTTTCTTTTCTCTCTTTTCCTATCCTTCTTCACCACCTCCTCTTCATCCTCGGCTCGACCTCTTGAAAAAGGTCTAGCTCATGGCGTGGACCCCGAATGGCAGACTTTCCGTGAAGACTTTTTTTTTTTTTTTTTTTTTTTTTTTTCTCTTGTTTTTTTCCAGTATTCACCCATCACAACATGACCTAGCCGAATCCGTTAGGTCCTTCACTTCGCATTGGCCTGCGTCACTTAATATCCCCTTGTGTGGGTCACTGCATAATCTTGGGTCTTGGTCAGGAAAATCGCTACGCCATTCTATCACAGGCCTCGACAAGGGACTGTTCCAGCTCTCTACACCACATCATGGAATAGCCTCGGCTGCTGCTCGACCCTTTTTCCCAATTTCAAACTCATCATTCTCCTGGCTTCATCACCAGTCATGAAGTGTCTGTCGGAATGGCGAGGGATGTCATGTGCTATGGCCTTCCAACCTATACTACCGTCTCAGTGACTTCGGGGATTCTTCCTCTTTGGTGCCTCTCTGTTTAGCGTGGTTTAATTTTTCAAATCTTTTCTCCCTCTCTCTTACAACCTGTGTGTTTTCCGCTTTGATTTCTGCACTTACAGCAATCGTATGGCTGTCAAGCTTAGAAAACACGGACGTTTACGTCTTATTTTCAGCTCAACAGGATCGAAAGTGAAATGGAAACACACAAATGACTCGGTGATTGAGCTCGTATTGTACTGCAAAATTCGTTCCAACTTGGTCGGAGCCGACTTGGCCGTGGTAGTCTGCATCCCAACAAGGAAGATCCACGTCAAAAGCGCAAATATCAAGATATTTTGCACTTCATCGACTTCGCCGGAGTTTCTGGCCAAAGGAACCCGTGCTTGGCTGCGTATCATGATGGATCCCGACGGTCCCCGTGGCATCACATATGCTATATAATAGGCTATGATAGGACAGTGACTATGACCGAAGGCCGCCGTTCTAGGCCATATCGGGCACTGATTTGGAACCATCTCACGCTAGAACTCTCCTTGGGGCCGCTGCTCCTTCTTCACCACTGTCTTGTCTCGCCCGAGCCTACAGATGAACACCGGCGGGAGCGGAGCGCAGGCGCACAAGTTGTCATTCATACCAGCAATTTCTCATCATCACCAACCCACCACCAAGCCCATCTCGTGTGGTGTACACTACACTACAACACGCACGTGCAGCCCGCAAGTATTACGCCATACGGAAGGTCAATCTTCTGCTAGACTCTTCTGTCCATCTCCGCCGCACCTAGCCAAGTTGATGCCAGGTCCGGCACAGCAGCCTGAGAACAGACCTCCCGTACGGGTCTCAACCTTAGCCATCATCATCCTGTGTAAGCCAACGCAACGCACTGATACAAGGCTAGTTCTCCCCGCGCGCTGTTCTTTCGCTTCATGCTGGAGTTGCTGCGTGTGATGTTACATGTAGACCCTCTTTGATGATTTACGTCGGCCCAGAATACTCTTCCCCCCCTTCGCTCATCTTGTTAGCAATTAACACCTGCTTCTTCTGGAACTGTTGGAGGACCGACCCCTGGCCTGCCCTCGGTGGATTAGGGCAGCGGAGACTGGGAACACTGAGCTTCAAGAGATCTCGGTCGTGGCTTGGCGATGAACGCCAAATTCCTTATGTAGTGACACTGCCCACTTACATGATCAACCATGTTAACCTTCTGAGAAAAGCCATCCAGAATTGTATATTCACGGCCGGGCCCTTGATGAGGTTGATCCTCGCCCACCTCTCCGATCCTCATCATCAGTCTCAATTGGGAGGCGCAAAACCACGGTGATCGACATCAGATCTCGGTTGACGGGAGCGGCACCTTCTCCACCCTCACTAAAAAGTCTGGTTACGTGCATTCGACCACGCACACACAGAGCAGCATTCGATATATACTCCTGTTCTCCTCGCTTTCTGGTCCACATCTCACTCTCGGTTCCCGTGCGGCGTTGTCGTGAACCCGCCGTCGTTCCGCCAAGATGGCTTGGACCTACAACACCACAGATCCCGATGCGCCTACCATAGGCCACCAGATCACGGGCGTGGCCATCGCCCTTACGGTTCTCTCCTTCATCACTGTTTGTCTGCGAACCTACGTCCGAGCCTTGATTCTCAAGGCTATCGGGTTCGATGACTGGGTTATCATCATCACATGGGTCGCGGCGGCTGGTTTTGCGGTCGTGACAATCGTTCGTGAGTAACTTTGAAAACTACCAAGATTTATCCCTCTGGTTCTAACAAGTGAACACAGAGACAAGATGGGGCTTGGGATTGGTAGATATGGCAGATTTCCCATCGCAAAACATGTACAATTTCAATATCGTAAGTGCCTATCTTTGTTGACATCGGACGAAAGCCTGGTTGCTAACAATTTTGACTCGCAGCTTCAATATATCGGCGCCCCTTTGTTAGTTCTAACACATTTTTCCAACTTATACCTGATCTCCCAGAAGTGCTGACCCTCAACACAGTTATATCTCGAGTATATTCGGCTTCAAGCTCGCCTTGCTCACCTCATACCTTCGTTTTATTCCCAAGGGCGGTTACAGGTACCTGACTCTGGGCGTCATTGTCTCTTGCTTCCTCTTTCATCTGTCATTCTTGCTGGTGCAGCTGAATCTCTGCCAACCCGCCGCACGACAATGGGATTATAGCATCCCCGGCAAATGTCTCAAGGGAGTGCCTTTTTATACGAGCATGGCGTCGCTAACGATCATTTTCGATGTTACTGCGTAAGTGGAAATCCCGCAGCTATTTCTCATCGCACGCTAACCTGTCGGCGTTGCAGTATGCTCCTCCCATTTCCGGTTCTTCTCAAATCTCAAATTCAGACGCGGAAAAAGGTCGTTCTACTCGGAATGTTCGGACTCGGCCTCTTCATCACCATTATCCAGATTATCCGCATCCAGACGGTCAAGCGCCTCGTAAACCCCATCGACTCCGCTCCTTTGATTATGTGGTCGACAGTTGAAAACAACCTCGGCATCATCGTCACAAACGTCCCGACTCTTGCGCCCTTAATCAAGTACTTCAACGAGAGATCGCGAGCCGGCAATACCGGGAGCCGAACCCGTGGAACAGGATATCCGAAGGAGGTCGGATCGCGCTACGCCCTTCAGACGTGGAGGACGGGCAAGAGCAAGGGGTGCGAGAAGTTGGACAGCATAAACGACATGGAACTCGGAAGCGTTGAGGGCCATACGAGCAAGGACGCCAATAACAGCACCGAGTTTATTCTGGATGGCGGTATTACGAAGAGGACCGATGTGGTTATTTCGCGAGAATAAAACGATTGGGTTCTTTTCCGCGAATACGCCAACACCATAAATCACAAATTTCCGAGCAGCGAAAACGATACGACGACGATTTTTTTTTCATATGTTAATGTTCGAAAATGTGTATGTACACGTATTTGGGGGTTTCTGTATACCAACGAACGATGTTCAGGGAATTTGATGAGCATAAATGTTTGACATGATTAAGGGTGTGCGTTGGAGCAGCCAGTGATACCAATTTTCCTTCTGTTTTGTCAAGATAATCAACAATAACCATACATATTATCCATCTATCCATCACCCCACCATCGAGACTGGGCTCGCTATCCCTTGCGTCTATTTTGTATTAGGTTTTCGATGTCCCCAAGCTCTGTTTCGGCTTACCTCCACCGCCAGGACCTCTTCTCCCCCACCTTCTTTGTCTCAACAATACAATACCCATGATGGCCAACAGCTCAAACGTACGATTTTTGCATCCAACGTCTCAACTACGGATACGATACCCATGTGTGATGGTCCTCAACTCAACGAAAACGCGCCACCCACTTGGAATTTCGACTTCATTTAACGCAGGATCAATAGGACCCTGAAACCTTCCTACATCAACCCCATTTGCGTGTCAAGTATTCAAACGTACGAGTTATGCGACAAACGTCTTCAGCCCCCCCTTTGAACCCATTGCACATCTCCCACGGTACTTGAAATCTCGGCTTCATAATAAGGTAGAATTGGAAGGCTCAAAGAAATCTTCTTCAGCAACTCTAATGATGCTGGGGCCAAGTGTTCAAACGTACGATTTCTGCGTCAAACATTGCAATCACCCTCGCCAAGTTATCCAGTCTAACCTCATCCCAGCTCGTCGATAAGTCGATGCAAGATTGCTTAATGTAATGAGGAACCATGCCTTGGTACGAACCCAAGCCGAGCGAGAGATGTGGTCCCCTTACCCATGACCATTCTTCATTACCCATCACCCATCACTCATCCTGCTCGAGTTTCCCTGATCATCTCCGGCCAGATGCCTACAAAATTTCTTTAAGCTTGGTTCCCCAGTCTTCGTTCACCCACTCCATTCCGTCAGACGAATAAGAAATGTGACTCCTCGGTGCCCAATACCAGGATCCCACTTTCTACCCCGTAAACACTGCAACGCCGTAATTTTGTCTAGGGTCGACTTGCTGGAGCGGAAACGGGATCTCGCCAAGTTCTCAGCTAGGTGGATGTTACGGGGTCCATTACGGCCCCGCAGGGCGCTTACGGCGAAGCGTTCCGGCGTCGCTTGGTGGATCCGGATAGCCTCTGAATGGGGGCATTCCATGATTCCGTCACTGCACTACGCTGCCTAACCGGCGGGACAAGACATTTCAGTAACAAACATACGGAGCCTCAGTGGTGAAGTGGGTAACCAATTTCGGAGGTATGTAGTGCACTGACGGCGCAGGAACCTTTTGTTGCAGTGGAGCTGAACGTCAAAGAGCTCAAGTCGAAGAAAAACAGTTCTATAAAAAAAATAAAAAAATAAAAAAATAAAAAAAAAAAAAGGAAGAAGAATGAAAAAAAGGAGGTTGGGCGAGCTCTGGCCAGGGAGAGCCTTGAACGAAATGGCCAAAAAAAAAACAACCAGAATTCAGGTTGAGCGACATTCAATGAGAAAGTTGTCGTCTCACTTCCAGGACCCCAGAGAACTTTCATCGCCAACCCACAGCAGTCCATCGACTTGATCCACAGCATTTGGGGTTACACAAACAAACATCACATCGAGAAAAAAGAGATAGGGTACAACACTCCTGTTCGGCTACACTGTGTAAGCAGGAGACACGCGAGAGACAGGATCAAAAAGGATCAACAAAGTGCAACGGGAGAGCTGACGGGCAATGACAATCCCCCAGATTTCCCAGACTTGCAGATTTCGGTGGACCTTCGGACCTTCGGGCCCTTTAACATGTCCTTTGTGAGATTCCGAAGGTCGGATGTGATCGACTGTTGTTGTTGTTGTTGTTGTTGTTGTTGTTGTTGTTGTTGTTGTTGTTGTTGTTGTTGTTGTTGTTGTTGTTGTTGTTGTTGTTGTTGTTGTTGTTGTTGTTGTTGTTGTTGTTGTTGTTGTTGTTGTTGTTGTTGTTGTTGTTGTTGTTGTTGTTGTTGTTGTTGTTGTTGGTTGGTTACTGTGTTGAACACCATATCCTCGGATCTTGTATCAGATCTCGTAACGAAAGTTGAACGAGAACATGTCCACACAGTTCACTAAAACTCACATCGATTTGCAAGAAATGATGAACAGGTACAATAGGGCACAAAGATGGAAGGAAGGAATGGAGAACGAACCAACCGACAATGGCCGGAACAAATCCCATCTACAGCTAGCTCAGGTCCGGCACCACCATTGCCTAACAGCTAAACTGGAAACACGGAAGAAAAGAGAAGCGAAAGAAGATAAAAAGAAAAAGGAGGGAAGTACACTAGCAAAGATAACCTTCTCTACCTACAGTAGATACCCCTGTTTATGCAAGTAATTCCGGCACTATGGGGAACGGCTCGAGCTCTTAGCATGAAGGGGGGTTTTTGCATTAAGGGGTACCTTACTTACATACAAAATCGGGCATTAGGGCTCCGAAATCATTTGCAACTAATGGGTCAATTTGTATGTGTTTGCAGAAGGGGGGGCTTGCATAAACAGGGGTATCTACTGTACTTCTCAGCCTTCCCTTGGCACTTCACATGAATAGGTACCTACAGTAGCACCGGTCTCGGCCCATCGGGTCGATATCGGTCGCAGCGAAGTACCGAACCGCCGGCGTGCAATACGACACTACCTCATCCATCTTCTGTCTCATTCACTTTTTGCTCTCTCTCCCCCTCGTCTTCTAGAACACGGACCCAAGACACTCCTTCAGTCCAGGGTCTGAACTGATCCACCAGACCGCATGGGTTAGCGTCTCAAACCCATTAGATGAAGCGCCCGGCCGGTCACCACAACGAAAGTCAGGACACATAAAAAAACCGGCGAACCCCCTCCGCGGACTAAACTCCGTCTAGCCCTAAAACCGTAAACGTATTACTTGGGTGGAATTCGGTCCCCCCGTCCCCGACGACTTGCCTACATACACAAAGCGATGCACCAATGGAAGAACACGAACAACCGAAGGGAATCAGGAACCGAGCCCAGACCGAACAAGTGCCAGGGGCCCCGGGACATTTTCAATGGTTTGAATCGTGGAGAGGGGGCCTGAGAGTCGTTAGGTAGAGGGTAGGGGGTGTTGTTGTTGTAGGTGGATTACATAGTGGGCCAATCATATATCCGATGGAAGACAGCTAGCTAACTACGTTTGGTGGTGATGCTCCGAGATTTAGGTATCTATCCATTCTTCTTCAAATTTGTTGTGTCTGCATTGGATCGATCTCCTCCTCCTTCTCCTGTTTCTTTTTTGGGGGTATGTGCTTTACACACTTCGTGTGCTGTCTAGTTGTAATCAAGTGTCACGATCATTCTCCTCGGTATGTGATGAAGTTTCCAAGAAAGAGGAAAATGCTCTGGCGGAAAGAGATCGAGGCTTGTTCTTGTCATCTGTTGTTGGGATTTCATTTCCATCTTTCTTGTAAATGCGAGAAAGACAGAGAGGAAGGACGATGCTTGTCCGAGTCCATGTCAAGGCAGACTCCCCTTGATTTGCGAAATCAAGAAGATCTTGTTCCCGGTGCTTCTTCTGGTTTCAAAATTCCGAGTACACCTACTTACGCTTCTACCTCTGTCTCTACTTTTGTTCTAGTTGTACTTTTTTCTTTCCAGCCCCTTTTCATCCCTACACTCGTGAGTCGGTGGTTGAAGTGAACAATGACAGAATTCTCCTCCAATCAACCCAAGCTTGTTGACAAGGAATAGATTGGGAGTTGGTTTGAATTATCATCTATTCCGTAGATGGCTGTATTCGGCATGATCAAAGGGACTAGTGGGTCAACTGAACAACTTCTTCTGTAACAACAGATGATGACAGCCACTGAGGACTGTCTAGGTAGTATCCAGTGATTGATACATAAGATCAGCTTCCTTGCCCTGAGATCTAGCAACTCCGAGTTTCTTGGAAAGAACAATGCATGCTACACAAGCCCCCCTAGCAACCGTGATGGCTTTGTATTTTGAGATGTCGGAATATCAAGTCTTTTGAGAAGACATCGAGAGAGCAAAAGACATGAAAAGATAGATCCGCGGAGAAATTAAGCGCGAGGGCGTGAATGGATGGGGAGAAGCAGCTGCCACCCGCTTATCTCAGGTCTTGGGCAAATACTGTAGCCATGTGTACTGTGTAGTTGCTTCTTCCTGAAGAACAGCAACGAGCGTATCTGGAAGTCACACAGAATAAATCAGGGTGGCGGCACTTCAGTCGTGCCTTCTTTCAATAACCTGTTCACGGCATTCAAAAAAAAAAAAAAAAAAAATTCTCTAGAGGTGGCCTACTCCTAGGTAATGACTATCCCCAAACTACCTCACTTCTCATCCGACATGGCTTCTACCAACAACCAGCATTTTAACAGAGCGAGCCAATTCAATATCACTACTCCATTTTTGAATCCTCTGCATTCCACACACTCTTCGCCGATTTGGGTTTTCTGAACCCACCCATGATACCAACTTCCCAAACCTCAACCATTTTCCATGTCAATCCCGCCTGATCCCATATGCAGACTTTCGAACTTGCTTCACCCATGGATACACACACCAAGTTTTTTTCTTTTCCGCTTTTGTTTCGCTCCCATACAAAAACAGACTGCCACTTCGCCGTCTATACATACCCCATCCAATCAATCAATCAATCCACCCAGCCTGTATTATGATTTCTTTTGTCTGCTTTTCCTTCTTAAATTTTCATTGCTTTGCGAATCTTGTGTGTTCCGCCCGTTTCCCCCAATCTGTTTGTAATCAATATTAACCATTATATGTTTGTTATCTTGTTTCGACCCCATCAAGCACTGCTTCTTCCCTTCCCCGCATTCAGCCAGATTATCAAGTCCACTTGGAGAAATCAACCGACTCAATCAGTGCGTCCGCTCCGTGAGCCGGGAACATGACCTCCGTATCAGGCGTGGTAGTTGACAGCATCGACGACCGGTGTGACGTAGGGTCCGCCGTGCTGTTATTCGTAAAGAAGGTGGCCACGCTAGACCTGCGCAAGCTCGTAAAGCTATCCCTCACAGCGTTTACCGGTCTCGACGCGCCGATATCCTGCCCGAGCAATGACTGCTGCGCTATGCCACCTCCTTGACCACCCGAAGCCAGAGGGGAAGTCACCACAGACGAGCCCAGTCCGCCGCCGCCTCCGCCAAGCATGTTAGGCGGCGGGGACAGGTTTGGCTGCTGCTGAGCTGATTTTGTGCCGTAGCGCTCGCGCAGTCTGTTGATCTCCCGCAGTCGGTTGCGCCAAGGTGAGATGTGTTCACCAACCTCCCTGGTGGCCCAGATCTGCGAAAAGACTGACGCGTTAAGTGCGAGCAGGCGAACAAATGTTGGAAGTGCTGTGAGACTGACCACCTTGGGCTCGGCGGCCGGCGAGATCTCTGGGAAGCCTGGCTGGCTCATGACCTGCACCATATAGAAGGGCGTTGGGGCTTTCCTGCCCTCCTCCTCCCGTTGCTTTGCCATTAGTCTTGCCGAAGCAAACGAGTGGCGCGGAGTTGGCGTGATCACAATATACACGTAGTTGAACTGGGAAGGAAACGTGTCAAACTTGAACGGCAACCCGGAATCGTTGAAAACGATATTCACAAAGTCGTTCCCTATGTGTCGCTTTTTGGCTGTGCACCGGGGGTCGCGTTCTAGGTCTGTAGGCATCTGCGTAATCACATGGAATATGATCTCCGACACCCTGTCACGCCAGCAATACAAGTATTCGCCGTCCGTGCCGTATTCCCGGTCCAGTCCCTGGGTGTTGAAGTTCGCGCCCTTAAGCCGCGTCAAGACGCCAAGGCCATCGAGGAATTCGTGGTAATCAGGTCCGCCAATAGTATTCGCCAGTATCTCAACCTCATCTGTCTGCCCTTCACCGATGTAGATCACTCCAACCTTGTGTCCATCGACGGCCGAGTTTCTGTCAAACAAACGAATAGCCCGATCGACTGCCTCTTCGTCCGGCAAGGGAACTGGACGAGCTGCTGGATCAGACATCTGCGGCATAGGAGCCAAGAGCTGCAGGAAGACATGGCTGGGGAGCAAAGTTGTGCCCATTTGAAAACGTCCATCCCAAGCTGCGTCGTCGGAGCTCTCTGCAGTGCGCTGGGCTGTCATTGGTGTGAATTCAACCCGGACTGCATAGGACGACGTTCCTGAAGGGTATCGCCTTGTGATCTCGGCCCAGCCCGACTCCTTCGCTTGTTTGACTGTGACGATGCTGTTTCCAATAATCCATCGTTTTTGTTGAATCTCACCAAAGTTCTCCCTGTTGAACAAGGGATCATGCGCCGAATCGCTTGCATCTGAGAATGCCACACGCTGCATGAAGTCGAGAGTAATCTGAGCTTGCTCCTCGTTACTGGCACTGCCATCGACGTCGGTAAACAAGTTTTTGGCAATCCAGCTAATATGGCCAAGACGATCGGGCATCTTGACTGCCAAGAACCAGAACGTAATGACATGATACGCAAGCGCGTATACGTACTGAGGAAGGTCGTCCGTAATGGCCTGTTGGGCAAGAAAGTCCGAACTACCGGATACAATAATGTTGGGCGTTGAAGGCTCGCTCATGTGCGCCGTGCTACGAGCGTGATGCTTCTTGTCTCGGACGTATTGAAGATACCGAAAGCAAATGCCAAATACGACGCGATAGTCTTCATCTCGGAAGTTTGAATAGAGAGCAGGTAAACGACTTAGACAAGCCAGAAATTCGAGCAAATGCATCGCTACAAAAGGTTGGGTGATGACTTGAGACATCCTTGTGAGGATCATGTCAAGGGATTTGCTCACGGATAAGGGTAACTCGTAACAGCAGATTGATAAACCGTGTATACAAGTCTTTGCCGTCTTGTCGGCAATGCCATGTAAGAAGGCTCTCACGATTTCATCCTCATCAAGCTTCTGGAAGTGCTGATGGTAGCTGACGAGCATGATGAGCGAGTGGAACAGACAGTTGGCGACATCTGGACGTCGTAGACCTGACACAAGTGGTGGCTCTTGAAAACGGTTGGTCCGGATTACCTCACAGATGTGTCCTCGCAGTTCTTGTAGTTGGGGGATGGCATCCTGGAATATCGGGTGATCACTGAGCTGTGCCGGCAAATGTGCGAGAATAAAGCTATAAATCTCCCAATCGGATCCCTGGTGGAAGATATTAAGCACAATGTTCAACCAAGAACTCATCTTCAAAACCGCGTTTGAGGCCTTCGTCGATGCCTCACCATCCGCGCCTTCGGTATATGAAAAGAGGAGATGGCTTGGCGTACTCCGAGGAAGCTCCGGCAATGCCTCTGGATCGGGCAAGGACCACAATCGCTGTCCTTGGTATGGTATTTGCCTGGGATGCTGCAAAGGTCTGATAGGCCCGGACCTCTCCATTGTCTGTCCTGGCGCATATGATGCACCCCTTATCGGTGTTCGAGGGAACCCGGCTTGATCTAGCCTTCCAAGACGGGGTGGATGAGCTGCGTCTTCGGCTGCCTTACGCGCAAACGACGCATCGGTTCTGTAAATACTAGCAGCAATGCTTTCATTTTCGACATGAGGAGTGACGTAAACGCGATACTCAAAATCCGCTCTGAGGCGAAACAAGAGCTTCATCGCCGTTAAGCGAGCATCTGTTTCACAGGTGGTTGAGCCTGCGATATGGACGAGGGCATTGAACGTTTTGACCGCTTTCAATGCATCAACATCCATTGATTTCATGAATATCTGGACGTACCCTTTCGTCACAACGTTGGGTAACGATTGACCGCCGACCTCGGAAGGCTGATTGGAGATCTGTTGCGCACCGTTAAACTTTTGGACGCCTGTCGAGGGGGTTGGCTCATCCGCCTCTTTGCAGACTATATTTTTGAAAGTGTCCAATATGAAGTCAAACTGTTCTGCTCCAGCTATCTCGGCGACCCTCACCATGAACGTGACAGTTTCCTGGAGGACAACTGCATCAGTCTCCACGGACATGCCGGATAGCACTCGTTTGACGAGATCGAAGATACTCTCCTCTTCTACAAGATCCCGTACAAGGCAGAGGAAATCGTAAATTTCGATGACCATCGCAAGAGCCTGTATGCGAGTCGGCGCAGAGCGACCCCGATCAAGATAGATGCCTTCCAAGACAAGCTCAAGGTTCTTCTTCCAGTCGACTTCGGATGGATAGCAGCTGCGAAATTCTTTAAGATGATCAAGCAAAAGTGCCGCAGCAGAATCCGGCAGGACGTGGTGCACCTCGGCAAGGAATCTCATGCACTCCTCCCGCTGAAAGAAATCGGTTTTCTCTTCCGTCAGCAGCTTTTCGACGCGATTGATGAATGTTCTGAGCTGATAGTTGATGTTATCCCCACCCTCAGAATCGTCTTTCGGAGCGGATGATTGCGGGATCGACGGATCAACATCTTTCAGGGCCGCCGGGACGCTCTTAGCGGCACACTGAGCAGCCACGGAAAAGATTGGCGACCAGTGCTCTTCGGCAATCAGAGGATTGATGATTCCATCGCCATCGTCGAACAGAGAGTTGACCAGCCTCAGGATCTCAGTGGAGACCCTAGAGGAACTACTCGTGCAGACGTTGGCCAGTCCGTCAACTAGCAGCGCCAATGGAACACCTGGATAGCCCTTTTCGGCAGATTTTCCAAGGAGCTTCTTCAAGACGGTAAGCGCACCTCTGATATCCCGGATCACGTCCCTATCCCTTTCTTTGTCAGGAGCAGCCGGAGCGTTGCGCAATACGTCCAACAGAATCCTTACGGTGGATTGACCGTGATGCGACTTGCAAATATTAGAGAGCGTATGCCAAGCATCCTTTTGCCGACTGGGAACCAAACAATGGATGGAGCTCAGGACCTGAATGCAATCTCTCAGTTTCCCGTTGGGGACCGAGCCAAAGGTGACCATGGCATCAATGACGCTGATGCAAGCGGCCAGATCATCTTCTTGGCTTGTCCTGTTACATATTTCTAGCAGGTTGTCCATCAATCGACCAACGGCAGCGTCCGAGGCGTATTTGAAGTTGAACTTGACAACATCTCGGATGAGGGCGAATAAGCGCGAGAAACTTTGGTCCTCGACTGTCACTTGAGTCTTTCCCTTGGCCGATTTGTTGGCCCTCCTAGCAAGTCTGGCAGCATCGAAGGTATTGGCAAGCCACACAGTCAATAAGGGGAAAATGTCGTAGTAGAAGCCCGCAACGTTCCGGCCACGGTTGGTGAGATATTCTAATGCTTCCAGCTGCAGAGGGAAGTCGTCGGGGTGGGCGGTTTGTGCAGTCAGAGTCCGGAAATATTCTCTCCGTTCGAAATCCGTGGCAGACGTGTCTTTGACGCACTCGGTCAGCAGCCTCCATCCAGCAACCCGAGCGTTCTCTGGCTTGTCACCATCGATTAGGTCCTTTGCGGCACTCCATACCTCCATAATCTAGTCCTGTACATTAGCAACGGTGTTTACGCCACGAGCAAGTTGGGGCTTTGCTTACGGGATTCAAGGGGTAGTCGGTGATCGCATAGCGAAGGGCATTTGCTCCGGCAATGCGGTCGTTCAACTGCCCCGTCTTCAACCGCGCAAAATGCTCCATGTGCTCCTGGGGGAGGCCACGCAAGACGGGAGTGACGGGCAAGGCATCGAAGCGATCGCGAGAGGGTTGAGAAGCAACAGTCGTCATGGTGGCCATAGGCGGTTGGAGAGGGGGTGGTGACTTGGTTAGCTTTCCGCCAGCCAACCCCTTGAAGACGCTGGCAAGCCCTCCAGATGCACTCTTGGTCGTCTCCGGGTGGGAAACATCATCTCCAGGCGAGGGGGACATGGGCTCCTGGTCGTCGGGGGTCCCGCGGCCGTTGGTGTGCCTTACAGAAGCTAATCGGCGCAACATGTCAGCGATGGGTAGGACATGGAGGTTGTGGTTGAAGAAGGAGAGGGCAGCGAGCGATTCAGTGCAGTCCAGAGAAACAAACTAGATCTTATCTAGAAGCTGTTGGGAGACGCGCGCCAAGAACGGGGGACAAGTGGCAGCGGGTTTAGTGAGCGGTAGCCCTGCAGGAACTTGCAGGAGCCGCATGCAGGTCGAGCAGGTCAGGCAGGTCCGGGAGCGACAGGGTACGTGGCAAGGGGTGGAATCATGTACGGAGCGGTACCGACGTGAAGGGCTGAAGACTGATGGAGCGGAACAAGAGAAAGTCATGGGATGGATGGTGAGGTGTTGACCTGGTGACCGGTACGGCTGTGGTAGTGTAGAAGAGGGTGGACATCCCCAACAAGAAGCAGGAAAGGGGGGGGGAGTAGTATGTGGGATGTTGGGGAGAGACACATGGAGATGAGGTATAGTATGTAGGTGGTATGGGATTGATAATGTGCGATAGAAGGGAGATGATCAAGAGATGGAAGGGAATCTTGAAGGGAAAAAAAAGGAAGACCCCGGTCTTGTGTTGCGTGAGGTGACTCTTTTTTTTCCTTTTTGGCGGGATGTGGTTAGGTTGCCGGAGGAGGGGGGGTGAAGGATGGAGACACGAACGGGAGTGCCATGAGAGTTTCCTTACCAAGGTGTCGACTGCTACCTGTACATAAAGTGGTGCCAATCGCAGGATGGGACGAGACGGCAGGGCAGGCCGGGTACCTCAACGGCCAGCTACTAGGCAGCTAGGCAGATGGGAGGCCGGGGTGCGATTGATGGAGCGCAACCTAAGCCCTTGTTGACGATGGGCAAACTTGAACCGAATCGGGCGAGTCGGGCCAGTACCGTGTAGTCACGTAGTACCGTCGAGGGGCTCACGGTCGAGTTGCCTGTAGCTGGTTTGAGGGTTCGGACGATCGGGCAGTTGACGAGTCGGTTTGGGCGGTCGCGGTTGGTCGAAGCTTCGTGGCTGCAGTTCGTACCAGAGGCCAGAGTCGATGTGTACATGCGCCGGACGGACGATAACCTTGGGGTGCTTGACGATGATGACGACGATGATGGGCAGTTGTAGCTGGCTGACGGGACGTGATATGGATGACACTTGAAGCCCAACACCTGCACAATGTCTTGGTGGGCAACAACCTGAATGACCCAACAAGAGCGCGAGCTGGAGTCCCGCCTTTCTTAGCCTCTAGGTAGCTTCCACCTTGGCTGGTACTAGTAACTCTTGATGGTAGGAAACCAAGAGGTAAGGTACTAAGGTAATGGGTATTAACCACGGCCTGATGTTGGGTCGCTAGACTGCCGACGGGATTGCGTCTTTTTGTTCCAATCACCAGTCGGTGAGCAATCAAGAATGTTGAGTTGGATGGAATCTGAAGTGTTACCCAGATGAAACTGAACTGAAGTGACTGTACAAGTCAAAGTCAACGTCAAAAGAAAAAAAGAAGAAAAAAAGGAGAAGGAACCACAACCTACATCGTAGATTGAGCTGGGGCGGATTCCGGGGGGTTGCTTGCAATGAACGAAAGAAAGAAGAAAGTCTTTTTGCGCACGTTCAGTCATTGGCTGCCCCCACTGATACCTCTAGCGCGCATGGGAGGCTTCAACAGCTTCTGATCGGAAGCTTCCCCGTCTTTCGATCCAAGATAACGTCCACCGCGCCATAAGACCGGACGGTCCGTGCTGACGGTGTACACCACATAGGTACCTACTGCGTAGGTAGGTTACCCCTACAGATTGAGCTATGCAGCTGAGTACTTGTGGAGAAGTTAGCAGTTCAGGGAGCTTCTGCTTTCTGATGTCACAGTTTGAAATCACCCGTCTGTCTGCATTCACGGCATTTTTCAAGTTCAAGTTGTTTCGCGTACCTAGACTAGGTCGATGATGGCAGCTCCCAGTAGTGGTTTTTGAGAATGGCATCATGATAACTAACTGTCATGATCACCCGGATGTTCATCAAAATGTCACTGACTCTTTAAGCTCCAGATCATCATCTCTAACAACATTCAGTAGCGGGAGGTAGGTGCCAGAAGTACCTTTCCTCCCAATTCCAGAAAGTGCAATGGTTGCGATAAAAGCTTCAAAGTTTCATTGCAAAAGTGACGGGAATGTCAACGCGACCCCACCTCCATACGGCCGTCTAATTGGCCAAAGCTTAAAGCAAATCCGCTGATGTAGCAAGCGTGTCCCACCCTCCGGCGCAGGCAACCGGGACGAGCCCCACCTGCAAGACGTCGTGGGCTTCTTTTGAGTTCCAATCCCAGACGGAGAGGTCCAGTACCAGTTCTTCTTTGCCGGCACGCTTGTCAACTGAAGTGTCGTGGTCGTCGCGCTCCACGTTCAGTTTGTTTTCTGTACCTACTTACGTAGATTTCACCACTTCCGTCTCCCAAGTCAACAAACATCCAATCCTACCTAGTCACCTCAATCTCCTCCCCGGACGAAGTCGCCAACACAACCAAGACTTCCACAAACTCGAATCTTCACGCGACCGCCACAACTTGCTCTTGCTCTAGGCCGACGTCCACTCTCTGCATCTGCAAGCCGTTCCCGCGTCACGGTCCCTCCTCCATCTATCTCACTGTCTCTCCCTCCCTCGACACAAGATCATAACAACAACAACACCACCACCACCACCACAACGAACCACACACAGAGCGCTCGCCCGCCATGGCAGCCAATCTCGACCACCTCGCACAACTGCTTCAGGCAACTCTTGACGCGCGACACCATCGCAAAGGTAAGCAGCCAGCCTTACACACCCCGATTCGACTACAGTCACCGCAAAGCCCCCAGGGAAGCTCTAGATGCAGGGCTTCAAGGGCTCATTGATTGCTGATTTTTACCTCTTCACAGCCGAGACCGCCTTGAAGGAAGAGGCAAAGAAGCCCAAATACTCGTTATCCCTCCTTAGCATCGTGGCTAACGACGCTCAACCGAGCAACATTCGCCTTGCCGCCGCCCTCGCTTTCAAGAACTTCATCCGCCACAACTATGTCGACGAGGAGGGCAACTACAAGCTACCCCCGGATGAGGTCGCCACCATCAAGCAGGAGCTCGTCGGTCTCATGATTTCCTCCCCCCCTACGATACAGACCCAGCTCGGAGAAGCCATCAGCATCATTGCCGATTCCGATTTCTGGGAGCGCTGGGATACCTTGACCCAGGATCTTGTCAGCCGCCTGTCCACCACTGACCCCAAGGTTACAAACGGTGTCTTAGAAGTAGCACACTCCATCTTCGCCCGCTGGCGTCCGCTGTTTTCCTCAAACGCCCTCAACATCGAAGTCAACCATGTTGTCAATACCTTTGGCGACTCCTTTATCCAGATGCTGGGCGTTGCCGACCAACAAATTGAAGCAAACAAGACCAACGAGAAGGCACTGAAGGGCTGGCTTGAGACCATGAGTCTCTTGACAAGAATCTTCTTTGACCTTTCATGCCAGGATTTGCCCCCCATCATCGAGACGAACCTACAGCCCATTACCATGGTCCTTCACAAATACCTGAGCTACGCAAACCCCCTGTTTGACGATGAGGAGGACGAGGCGACACCGATCGAGATCCTCAAATCGGATATTTGCGACGCCCTGCACCTCTTTGTCACAAAATACGACGACGACTTCGGCGGCTACGTACAGGACTTCACAAGTAACGTGTGGAACGTCTTGTCGAGTGTTGGGCCCCAGAAGCGGTACGATGTTCTTGTCAGCAAGGCGCTCCACTTCCTTACTGCTGTCGCCTCCGTCCACCGCCATGCCCAAGTTTTTAACAACGAGGAGATCCTGGGTACCATTGTTGAGAAGGTTATTCTTCCCAACGTGACACTCAGGGAGTCTGACATTGAGCTTTTTGAAGACGAGCCTATCGAGTTCATCCGTCGTGATCTTGAGGGTTCAGATACCGATTCGCGAAGGAAGGCGGCTACTGACTTCCTGAGAAAGCTCCTTGACGACTTTGAGGCCCTTGTGACACAGGTCGTGTCCAAGTACATCAACCACTACTTGGAGATGGGCAAGACCGACTGGAAGGCCAAGGACACTGCTGTCTACCTCTTCTTGGCCATCGCCGCCAAGGGAGCTGTCACGGCGGCCCAGGGTGTCAAGACCGTCAACAGCTTTGTTAACGTTATTGATTTCTTCCAGCAGCACATTGCGGCCGACTTGGTTGCCACCGGCGGCGAGCCCATCCCCAAGGTCGACGCCATCAAATTTCTGTACAACTTCAGGAGTCAGCTTAGCAAGGAACAGTGGGGTGGCGCTATCAACCCTCTCATTCAGAACTTGGCTTCACCCAACTACGTCGTTTACACATACGCGGCCACCACCTTGGAGAGAGTCCTCTTCCTCACCGATGATCAGGGACAGCATATCTTGTCACGGGCCGACATTCAGCCGTACGCCAAGGACCTTCTACAGCATCTGTTTGCCTTGGTTGAGAAGGACACTTCAGCCGCCAAGCTACAGGAGAACGAGTTCCTCATGAGGTGCATCATGAGAGTTCTGATCGTGATCAAGGACGGTGTTTTGGAGTGCGACATCGATAACATTCTGGATCACCTCATTAACATCACCAATGTTATCAAGGAAAACCCCAGTAACCCTCGGTTCTACTACTTCCACTTCGAAGCTATTGGTGCAATTGTCAGGTATTGCAGCAACGCCCCTCAAGTTGACCTGCTTTCCCGCCTATGGGCGCCTTTCACCTACATCCTCAATGAGGATGTTACAGAATTCGTGCCCTATGTGTTCCAGATTTTCACTCAGCTTTTGGATCTCAACAAATCTGGCTCTATTCCTGGAGATTTCAAAGCGCTCATCGATGCTGTTCTCGCCCCCGGTCCCTGGGAGACTAGGGGTAACATTCCTCCCCTTGCTAAGTTTATCGCGGCTATCATCCCCAAGGCTACTGAGGAGATTGTCAAAGAGAACAAGCTCGAGCCCATTCTTTCCATCTTCCAAAGTCTTCTGAATGGAAAGAAGACGGATCAGAATGCTTTCGATATCCTCGAATCTGTCATTTGCTCGTTCCCTGCGTAAGTCACAACGTCCCCCGAACTCTCTCAAGGACCACGAGTAAGCTAACCATGGAAAAGATCGGTTCTGGAACCCTACTTCGGCACTATCCTTACTCTTATCTTCACAAAGTTGCAGAAGAACCCCTCGGACTCGTACAAGACTCGTGTTGCTAGCTTCTACCATCTGGTCTCGGCTCGCTCTGGAGAGGCTGGGCTGGGAACTGACTATTTCATCAAGCATGCCGAAACCATCCAGTCCGGCGTCTTCACGCCGTTCTATCTCCAAGTCGTGATTCCCACCACTCGCGAGTTCGCTCGTCCTAGCGACCGTAAGCTTGCCGTCATCTCCTACAGCAAGACACTGGTCGAGTCCAAGGCGTTTGCCGAGCGCTACATGAAGGGCTGGGGCTTCACCTGCAACGCCCTCCTCGAGCTTCTCAAGAACCCGCCCAAGGTTTCCGCTGGTGCTGGTGACGAGATCCTCAACGAGGCCGACGTGGATGATATCGGGTTTGGTATTGGATTCACCCCGCTCAGCACCTGCAAGCGACCTCCGAGGGACGAGTTCCCTGAGATCACCGATGTCCAGCAATGGGTTACAGGTTTCTTGAAGGCATCGGACAAGGCACACAATGGTTTGATCACCAAGTATGCCAGTGAGAGGCTGAACGATGAGGCCAAGGCGGTCTTGGCTCACTATCTGATGTAGGATAATCAAAAGGACGTCAAAACCGAGCCGGGCATCAAGATTGAGCGAGACTAGAAGTCCCAAGTCACACCCAAGAGGCGGGAATTGGTTGCCGCACTGTCTCCAAGAGGATGATTGTCCCAGCTGGGGAGACAGATGGGCGGGGTTGTTTGTCTTGAAGGGCTTGGTTAGGGCAATGTGCGGGACCTGAATGGTACTATTGTATGAAAAATACCTGTAAAATGGCGTTGGGGGAAGAAAGAGATTCACAAGACATATAGCATAGCACAAGTGTTGATAGTTATTACAGGGTAAGACGGTAGGTATTCAAAGCATTGGCAAGTCGGTTCAATCCACCCCACAAAAAGAACCAACATAGATCAGTCAGTTGGCTAGAAGTTCAGCCATCGACCAGACCCCAGCTGAGTTCTCCAAAGTCGTTTGATCTGCCTGTCCTTCAGCTGTCCACTTTTGCTGATATCCCGATCGCGAAGACAACACACAGACCCCCTTATACCTGCATCTGCGCTTTCTTCCCTAGGAACACTAGCAAGTAGAAGGTAGCATCGCCAACTGCTTTCCTATTCGATTGGTGACCAGCTCGCTGCGGACAAGTTCTGTTATTGGCAGCTTCGGGTGACAGTAGCGAGTCCGTCCGTTCCGTCAGGGTTCCTTTCGCTAAGACGCGTCACTCTATTTTGTGATTTTAACGAAAACGGCCAACAACATGGACTACCTAGTTGGGTACTGCAACGACAGAACGACATATGATCGCCCGTTATGTGATCCAAGACACATAGGCGCGGGCCGCAATTTAGCTTCATCTATCACCCACGGGCGAGGTGTCAATGTTGCAATTGAAGTGAAGGATGGAGGCGAAGAAGGGGAGTGTGGAAGTGCTAGTGGTGATTCATGCCGTGGTATCCGAATGGCAAGTAAGGTTTGGCGTCCTGACGGACGAACGAGGTGGAGGTCACTACCCCAACAAGCCTTTGCAAGCCACAAGCTGACTGGCAAGTTGCAACTGACTCTTTGTCGACAGCAAAACTACTACCTACCTACATGGAAACCACACTCAAGGAAGGATACACATCAATGACATCGATCCTTGCCCAGTATCTCAGAGCCTTAAGCTTTACCCGTGTGCTACACAGGGTTTATACGGTACATACGAGTCCACGCTAACCAAGAGAAGATCACAACCGGTTCGCTTCCATTGTGCTTACACCAGATTGGACTCGCTAATGTTTCACTTTTGCAAAAGACGGTCCGGCTCGTGAAGAGGAAAAGAAAGAAAGAAGAAAGACGGGAAGGATCTTGTCACGGTTCGCTTATTTAACTCCTTCAGGCGCTTTTCGGATTTTCTTTTTTGTTCTGTAGAAACTAAGCGAGCCTCTTAGGTTGAGGTCGCTTGATGTTTGGAAGGTCCAAGTTACCCCAGGGCCTGCCCCGGCCTGGGGTTCATATCGGCCCGGTATAAGGTAGATGATATATATGATCTTGTTCACGATACGATGTGCCAATGTGATTAGATATCTATCTATTCGCGGTTAAGAGTGGGATTCAAGATTGTAAGGTTGTTAAGCGCCGTGTCTTCAAAAGGAAAAAAGAAGAATGAAAAATGACAAAAGGTGAGGACCAGAAGGAAGGGGGTTGACAGAATGACAGGCTACCGATCGTCCACGTCTTTCGACTGTTTCTTTGATGGATGGTGATGACCTCGCTTCCTCACACCAAAGTCGAGGGCCAAAAAATGATGGATATCAATTCTTCTAATCTTGTGCGGCTGTCCAATAAAACTACCGAGGTCATACAACGTTTACACAAGCAACCAAACAGAGCCGCCTGATGCTGTCCCGTATCATGATTACTACTGGTTGATGCCCACCTTACCAGGCAATAACAGGAAACCGGTCAGCCTCCCTTTCTGAAAGAGAAACTCTATCCGCACGTGGATAAAACTCTATCCGCACGTGGAAAAAAAAAGCCAACTTCAATAATATTTTTCTAATACTCACAGTTTTAGTAGGGGGTCATAAACTATATCAGAATTTTTCTTATTTTTCCGTCTATTTGATACTACCTAGAACGTCAAGGTAGATGCCTTGAGAGTGGAGAAATCTTAGAAGATACGAGAGAGAAATAAAGAAAATAATAAAGATATTAAAATATTAAAAAGGGCCAAAAGTGGAATCTAGCCAATGCCTGGCCTAGTAATGGGGGTATGTATACCCAAAAATCCGCAAAAAATCAACAAATAATCCGGTACTACTTTTACTTCCATCCGACCTCTTCTAGCCAAGTTATACTTAGAAAACCAAAGTGGATCCACGTGCGAATAGAGTTTTATCCACGTGCGGATAGAGTTTCTCTTCTGAAATGTGTGATTTCTTCCTCAGGGCTTGCATAAGTATCGCCGCCATGTGCTGCCCAACGTGTCTGGGGCGGGTCACGCAGGTACACGACCGCGCACGTAACCCTTCCTTGTTTCGAATGTAGTGTATGTAGGTGTGTCCTTAGGTCATTTCTTCCTCCCTTCTCCATCCTCGGCTGCATCAATACTACTTTGGGTATCTCTACCTGAGGTTACCCTGCAGTCAGCCTTGACACTCGGCGGTTCTTCCTCGAAAGGCATGTAACATTCTATTGTAACCATGGATTTACGAAGGAAGGAATCATCGAAGACGAGGAAAAGGAGACGAAGTGCTGAATTGGGAAGAACACGACGGAAGACGAATGAAAGAAGGAAGGAAGAAACGAAGGAACAAAGGATTGATGTCCAGTATGGATGGATGAGTGGATACGTGCATATGCATGCAACGCCATGCAACGCAACGCACTTCTATGGCTTCATGCCAAGACATATTGACATCTGCATTCCAGAGACGGCCGAGATGCGTATCTGGGATTCTTGCGAGGGGGGGAGCTGAAGGATGAGAAGAGAGAACGAGTGGGTGGTCGATACAATGACGGAGTCATTCCGCTCAACAAACTAGGTAGGTAGGTACTTGATCTGAAGACGCTAACTAATTGATAAAGAGCCTGTCAGTCTACCTCTACTAGGTACATACGAATTTCAATACGCTTATAGGTTTGGTTTCTATTGCTGACATCCATCCGGAATCCCAGAAGGCAGAAAGGAAGCTGATGCCATTGTGCGCAACCGTTCCGTCAACGAATGAGTACCCAATCATCAAGGATCCATCCTTTTGAGCAACAACGAGTCGGTGTTAACGACTGGCCCATGCGACAGGTCAGACATATTGAATGAAGAGAGACATGCAAGGTGCTTGTTGACGTGAAGTGGATACGGTAAGCACATCGTAGAGAAAGTCTGATGAAGCAGTGCTGAAAGTGTCTACTGAGTTGAGAAACCCTCAGGTCGATAACAAAACAGGAACCAACCAACCATGTAAGTTCACTCATACCGGTCTCAACTCTCAGCTTTTATACATTATTCACTCACGGCGTGAGAGCTAGGAACTAAACAAGCAACACCAGGCGTATATACCGAACCCACAACCTCTTTCTTCGTTACACCAAACTCGATTGCGGAAAACTCGCTCGCTCGTCTCTTGCCTATCCTCACTCATATTATGTAGGCTCGCCTGGTCTCGCCTGTATGGTGGTTCAAATGCTCGAGATCAAAGTCGAAGAAACTACGGGCTCTCAGGGTCCAGGTCTCTCGCTTTATTTTCCCCAACCAAAATCTTTTCGCTCTGTCTTTCCAAAATAGGGATTGTCTCCGGCTCTTTCTCAACTTCTCTTTCTTACCCCACGTTTGTGTATGTCGTTTGCTTGGATGTTGCTTGTTGCTTGTCCTCTTTCTCTTGGGGGGTTCACGTTTGGAAGAGCTGGGGACAAGCTTGGCAAGCTTGGGGGAACCTGGGGGTGAGGGGGGGGGGGGCGCCGTTTGGGTGGGTTAGCTTCCGGTATCATGAGTTCATAAAGCCGAACGGGACCTTCGACAGTCTTTGATTGGTATCCTGATGGCTATTTGTTGAGGACAAACAATTCAGTTGGATGTGTATCTGTCATGAGAAGCTCTCAATAGCAAGAGCATAGGAAGCAAGAGTCAGTGTGAACCAGGCTCAGGCATTGTTCTTTTGGTAGGTACGTAGATCGTCGCACAGGCTGACGGGAAGTTTAGTTGAGGGGGCGTGTCCCAGATTGCGGATGTGGCGCATCCACCAGGTAATTTAGACAAACGAGGGATATATTGAAAACGCTCGAGAATGGGAAGGCGGCGGCGTGATGGTGGACGTGGTGGTTTGGGTTAGGCGAGGTCGGCGATAACATGGGTATACCAGCAGTTTGGAACTGAAGTTGGGGGAACCATGCCTTGCTCTTTACCCACACATCCACATTAGCCACAGTAGATATACACTATAGTGTACGAATCCTTAGGTCCTAACAGACGATGATGGGTAGGTGAGTGAGCTTCAGAGAGGCCTCCGAGATCTTGTGATGTCTCCTCCCTTGCGTGGAAGCTGGTTGAGAAAGAATTAGCACTCCCGGTTTTGCTTTCCTATTTCAGCCTGAATAGCTGTCTCAAGATTGCGAAATCGGTCAAGTGACTGGACTGCCGTGCAGCTAAGTCAAGAAGAGGTCGTCGGCGACCTAGCTGTCCGCGCCGTCGTGGCTGAATATTGAGATGCGGGGACAGTTGTGGGAACGCGGCTAGGCTACCATTGTAGAGGAACTTCATCGGATTCAGAGGAGCCACAAAAGCAAGCGAGGGATGAGAGATTCATCGGCGCCATCGATCTCACAAAAAAATTTCGAAATAACAGAAACAACATTAAAAAAAAAAAGAAAAAGAAAAAGAAAAAGAAAAAGAAAAAGAAGAAGAAGAAGAAGAAGAAGAAGAAGAAGAAGAAGAAGAAAAACAGGACAAATCCAGAAAAGAAAGAAATGACGAGCGCTAAGCTTCACTACTGCGTGGTCGTAGTCGGTGTTGGGGGGCGGGCACGAATCGTCGATCATAGATAGCAATTGCATTCTCTCCTGCAATCGACGACTAGCCCGTTGATATGGGTCCTAACCAAGCACAGTACACCACGAGAACATGGTCTGTTTGATAAGGCACTTGCGCGATGTATGTACCTACTTTCAACAACACAAAAAGGTGCACCTGAAAGCTAAGTGACCCCGAGGCTAGGCTAGGCCAAGCAAAGGGTCCTTTTCATCACCGCGGGCGGGATATGTAGTCTGTCCCTTTCTCATGAAGCCCTTCTTGGTGTTGTCTTTCTCGCTCGCCTTTTTGTTGTTGCTCTCCTTCTTTTTCAGGTTCTGGTTCCCCGACCAATTTTGTCAATTGGCCATCGGTAGGGAGCGGCGGCGGAGAAGAGAAAAGAAAGAATGGGCGAATGCAACATAAAGTCAAAACAAATGCTACTGTTACATCGTTTGGCCCTAGTCTTTCCCTCTGTCTTTTCCCAAGATTCCCAAATCAGTTTCACCTGCAGTAGCTTCGACTTCTAGCGGCCTATGCCATTGCGACGGTGCCTTGACAACGTGCTGCAGACAATCGGCTTTTTAGACAGACGTGGCAAACTTTAGTCTCTCGAGGGACTCGACAAGTTTGGGATTGGCCTGTTCTACCGCTGGGTGATGAAAAAGTGACAATGGCCGCAGTTTGGGTCTCGCCGCTCAGTCGTGCTCGTCACGGCTGTTCGGCTCCATTTCATTGGTTGTTGGTTGTCTTTTCACATCTTGGGGATTTTCATTTGGACAAGTCGTGACGAGTGACGGCCGAAGATAGGCTTAGCAGGAGATGGAAATGCAGCGTAAATTAGACCCCGAAATGTGGTCGCGATACACAAGATGGATCCGAGATCTGGCACACTTTATCAATCTGGAACGGGTACAGTAACGTCGGGTTACACGACAGTAGATTCGGCCTTTCTCTCCGAGCAATCCGGGGATAACGACGCTTCGTGATATGTAAGCTCCGGCGACAGATGAAGTTTCAAAGGAGGAAGGGAAAAAAAAAATAGTAATGATGATTAACACCCGAGCTCTCGAAACGAAGCACGTGGTGGAGAAAAACACATGGGCAATGAAAATAAAACATCAAACTTTGCGGCTTGTCCCGGACCCTGCCGTCTGGTCAGGGTACCCGAAGCGACGATTTTGTGTGTGAGAGTGAAGGGCCCTGTCATTCGGGTGCGGTCCATCTATTCGCCACAACGGCGGTGATGAGATTATCTCCAGACCGAGAGGTCTTGCCCGTGCTCTTGCCAGTCTCTAGTGTGTAGTGTGGTGTATCCGCTGTCGTATGGCACAACAACAACATCAACAAACAATTTTATATATATATAAGAAAAAAAAAGAAAAAAAAAGAAAAAAAAAGAAACCAATAGTGTGGTTTCTGTCGGACGCCCGAACATCACTCTATGGCACCATTTTCGGGTTCTCCGCCTGGCGCAGAGAGGATATTTTTGATGGAGAGAGATTTTTTTTGGGAGAGCGCAGCGATGTGGCCGTTTTTGTCAGTTCTGAAATGATGATGTGTTGCTTGCTTGCGAGGAGAGTCGGCGAAGGGGCAGGGTGAGGAGGGGTTGGGCGACCGAAGCGGCGCCGCGGCGACAGTGACACTGGCGAGCGGCTCCTCTTTACAAGAATAAAGGGATGTCTTGTCACCATTCGGGGACCCATCGGGGCCCCATCCGCGAAGAGCCGACTGCGGAGCCTCCGGCTCGCAGTCTTCCGGACCCCCTTTTGCGACGTGAACCGTTTGTTCTCGAGGTACACTACATTTACACGCCAACTGCCTGATGGCCCTGATGGGGAAAAAAAGACGTACCGATCGTCAATTTGTCCTACGTAAGACATCTTCGCACATATCCAGAAGGGGCTCCAGTTCAGCCATAGTCTAACTCCTTGATATTTCCGTTTGAAACCCGGATAGAATGAAATGGATTCAGTATGGAGGGCGTGAATGATCTTTCATTTTATCTCCCCAGTATCGTGACTGATCGTACGATCCAAGCTGTAGTATCCGCCGCATCGTTGACTCTCGAGTTCGCGCGGTTCGAGGCCAGTATGGAGTAGAATCAAAGAGGAAAAAGAACGCTTTTAGTGTAGAGAAGTCTCGTCAAGTACGGATGATGTGAGATGGATGGACCAAATGGATAGAAAGGAATAAAGTTGTGTAAACATTGGAGCGAAGAAACAGTGGATTCGAGATGAACGGCATAAACGACCCCTGACCCTTGTTAACAACGCCCTTCAGTGAGTGCAGTGCTGTTGTGGGCTCCGGCTCGTTGTGGCACAGTGCTGTGATGACGGGTCACCCATCATCACGACACGGTATGATGGCCAATGACACCACATGTCAGTCTTCATCTTTGGGTGCGAGAACGGACATGTCCAGATAGTTTTTACGAATCGGGCCTGGTGGTCATTCAGTCGATAATAAGCAAAAACACTAAAGCTGCAGCTGGCGTCAGACCTTGAAGTACTATAATGGGAACTCTCAGACTCTACGTAGTGCGGAAAGAAGATGTCTGCCAGTTGGGGAGAGATGCCAGCCCAGTCTTCGTCCTTCAAGCTGCAAGACTTGTATCACAATCAATTGCAGGTCACAAGACGACGAGTACCATGTTGTCATACCGCACCACCGGGCTCACCATCCGGTATTGTGCTCCCGATCAACAGATGAAAGTGCTTCCATGGAAGTTCCATGGAAGTTCCATTGATGTTCAGGAGCTCTGGAGTAAAAAGCTGGATTGGCCATCTTGAGGAGATTACCTTTGCGCCTCACCTTGAGCTCCCTGGCTTGCCCAGCTTCGCCTGGCACCAACATCACAACGTTGGTGGATGTGACAACCATCTCGCCTTTTCCGTGCCCATCCGTCATGAAAGGTTTCAGGACGGCTCGATCGGCCGCCGTTTTTTCCTCTCTCATTCACTTTGTGCGTATCAGGGCCATAGTACTCTATGTTGATACCGCTTTTCAGGGAGGCGGTAAGCTGGCAAAGCTGGGGTCTGGAGATGCACACGCCAGCTCATCTCGGTATAGCTAAACCCGGTCGACCGGTTCTCCAAAGACATTGCAATGATCAACATCCTTCTGCTTCCTACCCGCTTTTCTTTTGGCCTTCTAGAGGCTCCTGAGTCCTGGAGAAAGGCTGATAGCTGTATCCGACGGTGTGGTTCTGGGCCCCTCGTGTCGAGACCGAAGTGCACGCGTTTCTTGCATTGCAGAAGCTAGAGAATACACACAGATCAGATCCGTGATGCCCATGCGGTGTCGTCGGCCACATGGCCTTCGACCAGGGGGCGGACCAGCCATCTGGTGCGAGACTCCTCCGTACCCGGAGCGGAATAGTCTCAGACAGGGGACTTTGGGGCGCACAAACGGAAAGTATTCTTTTCCCCTTTTCAGCGATTAGTCTCCTGAATACCCATGGATGGGGAGACAAAAAGATGGCAAGTGAAGCGAAATGTGTGATTTAAAAGGACTCCAAACAGCTCTTGATGTAGGTAGACTCCCCATCACACATGTCGCTTCACTTGCCAACTAGATCACTGGCAGAAATGCGAGTTAGTGGAATGCTCCCCGTGATGAAACCCCCAACCGACAGAAGGATAGTGGTAGCGAAAGGCGCAATATGCAGGGGTTTGAGTTTCCCGTCCTGATTTACATCAAATCATGGCGTTGATCCATGTGTCCGCTCCGCTCTGCCCGGTTCTCCGTAGATTCATCGAAGGGAAATGGAAGGAAATGCTTTGTCCAAGTTGCATCGGAGCATTAACATGACATGTTATGTCCATGGACACGAACTTTGCTGACGGCATGCAGTGATCTCCCGTCCTTCCCTTGCTTCGCCTATGCTGGCACACTGATCGAAGGATGGACACAACGATGATGATGAAGAAGGTGATGGTGGACGTTGATTACGCAAACATTGAGATGGCCGAATCCTCGCCAGATGTCATCGCCGGTTCCCGGCTGGTCGTTGGTGGCCCTTTGTCATGTTCATGTCTTGGGGTCCAGGGGAAACCAGGCGAGGCCAGGCGAGCCATGAGCCATCCCGCAGGAGTGACTTGACCACATCTAGTTTACCGCAACGGATCCCCAGGTCATGGCACGGGATTATTGGGTGCCTACTTAGCGACCCTGGGTTTTTCCTCTCGAGGGCTTTGCAGTTTGCACTGTTCGCGGTACCTGAAGGTCCCGTATGGACACTAACACCCTTCTGTTGGCTTGGGTCGTACTGGAAGGTCTTGGAGGTCTGTGCATCCAATAGACACCCAGCTGGCCTCCCCTTTCCTTTCTCCTCTTGCATCACTAATGTTGTAGTCATGGTCACTGTCTCTCCACTGTTCGTATCCTCCATCTGAAACCGTATCGCTGAGATGTGGAAGGTTGTGTCTCTTGGTACTTGTTTTTGTAGACTGTCTCTTGAAGTACCTATCTTTGTATCTATTCCGCTCCTCTTTCACGATGAAGACGTCGGAGACCGGAGTTCTCATGTGGACTTTTTCAACCCAAACAGCAGAGAGCAACTCTGCAAGGCACTGAGAAAGCCCGAACGGCGGCAACTACTATGTATTGGGTGTTTGTGCCTCGGCTCACAATGTCGCTGGCCTTTGGATCACCATCCTCTCCGCAGATACTGCGCGGGACATGGTCCAGGCGAGGAGACAAAGAGTCCGAGCAACAAGCCAAGAGTGGATGCTGGCGATGCTCCCATCATGCTCCACTGGGATGACAATCTTGAGTGCAGGTAGAAGAGCTTCCGAAGTTTGCCGGTAACCGAAAGATCCATGGGCTATGAACAATGATGATGAAAGGCCATTGCGTTCAATATAAAACCCAGTCAATGATGGATGGTTTGCAGGACGCGAGGTTTATCAACATCAACAACTAACAATACCAAGTACCTACTTGCCTACCTTATCGTGTCTACCTTATAACCTGAAGTACTACATACCTCTATGCACAGGAAATCCAGGAACAGATGTGTGTGTGTGTGTGCGCGTTAGGCAAGTGCAGTGCAGCAACAGACCAGTAGTGGTGGGGTGAGCACCGAGCAGACACAGCAATGATTTTCCACAGCTGCCCGAGTGTCCGTCACTCTCCGTCACTCTCCACCGTAGTTCCGTGATGCTGTACCTGCAGTGTACAAGCCGACGATCGGTCCAGCCGGACCCCGGGCAATGCAGTGTCGGTGGTCGACCATCCAGAAGCAAGGTTCCCCTGGAACTCCTGGGTACAGGTCCCATTTCCACTCTTTTCTTCTTTTTCGAATTCTGCGCCGCCCTGCGCTAGACCTTGAGGAATCCCCATCCTTGGAGGATCACATCGGTCTTGGCGCAAATCGACCAAAGAAAATCGACGAACCTCGCAGCTGGAGACTCGCTGAATGGAGACTGGAGACGACGCATCTTTACCTGCAGTGCCCTGAGTGCACTAGTGTACATACCTAGTACACTAGGTAAGGTACTCTAGTACATACTGCGCAGTATATCGCCTGCCCCACACCCTCTGCTCCTCCTGCCTCCTCTACACTAAAACTCTCCCCAGGTGGATTTCTCCTCCTTCATTAATTTCGCTCCGCTGCCCTTTTCGCTTTCCTTCCATTCACTGTGTTTGTGGGCTTACCACATTTCCTAACGTATTTGTCTCGCTTGCTGCCCACGTCCTTCATGGCTGCACGTCCTAATACTTCCATATAGATCAGACGCCCCAAATAATCTTGGACCCTAATCCTCGCCTTGTGAGACAGCGAGAGGACCTACAAGTGGAAAGTTGGTTGTCGGGGCGCATACACCTGTCAGGTACAAACATACCTACCTAGGTACTTTGATCTCCAGTCTCGTTGGTCACAGCAGGCGAAACAGGGTTCCCGGCACTCTCTGTTTGTCGAAAAAAAAAACAAAAGAACATCAAGATCGACCGTCCCGCTTCTCCCCTCGGCCACCACTTCTAGCGACACCAGTCAAAGAAAAGAGGCACCGTTGTCACCATCTTCTTCCATCCGACGGCCTTTCTTTTTCTTCCATTTCGGCCTCACAATGCGCGCCGTTTAATACTTAATACCACCCGCTATTACTCAACGTCATCACGACTCAACACCCTTGATATCGACGACATAGGCTTCGACATCGACACTCGATTCGCTTCCGTGGTCCTCGTTCAATCCTCGATTCTAGTCGACACTTTTAGTTTCTATGGAGGGCATTCTGTGCGTGCCCCCCGATAGGGGCCCCATCATTGGGAGGGCGGTTTGGAAGGTGCGCACATATCTGGAGAATCTCAAGCCCGAGGAGCTTTGTGTGTCTGGACAAATTCTGATCGGTTAATAGCCTCGCTACGTCGTTCTGGGAAATGGGCTACGGGAACCGCAAATACAGTCTGGCCTGGGCCGATCACAGAGCAACCGAAGCTCTACGCCAGCCCGGATGCAGATCAAGGTGTCTCCGGATACCATGTATCTTTCCATCTACAAGTCCAAGGTAAGCTCCGGTGCCCTCTCGGTTCGCCTGTGTGGTAGCCCGAGGTTGGTCTATCAAACTGGTCAGCGTTTCTAACATCCACTCAACCGTGTAGGAGGATTGGGAGCCGGCATTGCAAGTCGCCGTGTCCTTGATAACCGACTGCCAGGTACAGATGCTGGCTCACCGCAAGCAAGGGCCCGTACTCCCAACGATGGTTGTCAATGTCGCCCCTGATCCCGCCGCCGAGAAGATGCGCAAACGTCGTTCGAGCAGGACCGCCGGTCTAACCACCGGGAAGGACTCGATTCCTTCGACACTGCTGTTTCGCGCAGGTGAGGATAGCCAATCGTACCCTTCGCTCCACGAATGGGCTCGCTTCATCCAACAGCTTATCCGCCCGAATGTCGTCCCAGAGGGGCAGGCCACCCAGCCCCCTTTGAGTCCCATCACTCCGGCCTCGCCAAGTTTTGTCAACCCGTTCTCACCCCGATCCGGCGATCAACAACATAGACCAAACAGCGGGAGCGCAAGCTCGCGACCCAGTTTTCACCCCATGAATTTTGCACCATTATTCACCAGCCGCGAGCGCCCTGTCACTCTAGTCGATACCCCGAGTCTACACTCCAAGCGCAGCGATGTGTCGTCGCAAACCAGCTCCATGAACCCAGGCTTGGGGCATCAGCATTATACGGCCATGTTCCCTGCCGATCTTCCATCACCGGCTACCACTATTGGTGAGTACCAGGGCGAGTTTATCGAGGGCTGGACTTCCGCTCAGGGGAGGTCTTCCGCACTGAGCTCACCCGTAAGAGGACGTGACAACAGCGTCGGTTCCCACTCACCAGCGCCGCTTCCCCATCAGATGCTCGACCCCACTTCACCCCCGGGCCCTCGGGAGACCATCCTGGATAGAGCCTTCCAAATGCGCTGCATTCCAGGATCGGAGCGCGATGTCCCAGGAGAAGAGAAACTTAGCTCGCTGGCTCGTTTCGATGCATTGATGCGAGAATTGGATGACAAGAGGAAGAAGCGCGAGGCGGATGAAGCTAGGAGCAGATCCGCCACACTTGCAACCTCAGATCCTGCAACAGAAAGACCTGGACTTAAAAGTGCATGGGACGTGGCCGAAGCCTCGAGCCCAGAGGAGGACATTGACGAAGAGGACGAGGATAGTGATTTGCCTGAGGTTGAGCGTGACTCGGAGGATGGCTTCATGATTCCATCCTCTACTCGAAGAGCACTGGAGTTCATCACGGGAAGGAACGAGCTGGCTTCGCCACAAAAGCAGTCCTCTCGCCAACCGATCCGGGTTCCGTTGATGTATAACGCAGACGCCTTGAACGCTTTGTCATCAGGTGGTGGCAGTTCCTCTCGACCACAGACCGGTTATTCTCACAGGTCTCGTCCATCCATTGGCGCAAGAACACAGTCACAACCTCAAATGACGGAGATGCTTGCTGCTTATGGAAGCCCACTAATGGGCGTTCTTGAAGGACACTCCGAGACGTCGTTTGAAGAAAGTAATATAGCTACCGCGATGAACTCGACTACGTCGACGCCGCTTCAACATAGCCACCGTCACTCGACGTCGAGTGGCAAGCGCCTGAGCTTCAGCGATTTCACCAAACGTCTCAGCAGCACAAGTAGCTTGCTCCTGGTCCAGACCAATAACAGCACCGGTAGCAGTCGTGGCAGCAGCAACAGTGAGGCCGACAGCACACAGGCTCAACCTCAACAGCGACCACCGTCACCGTTGCAGGGCGACAAGATGATCCCTCGGAGCGCTGGCTCGCCGCCGCAACGTTCGATCGACCGAGATGCTTCGGACAAGAGATGCGGCTGGCGCGGCAGCGTTGGGGTGTTTGGCGGTCCAGAGGGCGGTTTCCTTTAGAAGAGGGCTAAACGGCGCCCTTTTGTACCAAGCGCCACCTCGTCAACCGCTGCGATCTCGCTTGTGACAAGTAAGAAGGAGCGGAAGCTGTTTAAACCAAGTTCTTGGCTCGGACTGGCTCGTTGAGCTTTGCCCCCATTCTTGGACCTTCACCTACGTGCATCACTTGTTGCTGGAGTCTCTCATCACAGTCCGCCCAACTCTTATTTCACACACATGGCTCTATCAATTCTCTCCCATCGTCAATAGCTCGTCTTGGCATCTACAACAACTCGTATTTAACGACTTTTCACGATCGAGCGAAACTCAACATTACCATATCATATCTGCACAAACCGGAGTTGGGAGGGCCACACGGGCATCTGGCGTTAGACATCATCATCATCATCATTATGAGTAGCTTATCTTTTTCCTGCTTTCATGCTTTGGTTAATCCACATCACATACACTCTGAAGGCGTCCCCATTGGGAAGACATGACTTACGTCCTTTGGAAAGAAGAAGAGGAGAAAGAAACGAGGTGGGGGCAAATAAAGCCAAAGAAGTTGGGTACGGGAGTTTTGGGGAGGACGAAATGGGGGAAAAGTTAGAGGATGGCTCGTTGTAGGAGAGCAGGAGGGCTCATGTAATATGAGCAACTGGGCCAATATGCCGCAATGTATATATATTCACACGAACGACTACAAAATTGACATTACTGGACATACTTAGATTTTAAACTGTTTCTATGTGCCGTGGCGAAATTTGTGGCCTGACTTGTCGAGGCCACAGCCCGTCTGTTACCATTCATTGATGCCGCAACGAACACAAAATGGCACAAGCGACAACCAGATGGTGTTCCATGCGCTCCGACAGATACGCTACATAATCACTACTAGGGTCATTCTTTCTCTCAAACTCACATCGATAGAACTCGCCTGTTCTTTTCTTTTTTGAATTCAGCCGCAATAAACAGTCATCAGTTAGAGCTCATATAAATCAAAGAGATACCTAGGTTTAGCAAGAGAAATCCGCTGAGTTCGAGTCTCAGTCCAACTGCAAAAGTCGAGGCATCAGGTGTACTGTAGTGGTACATACTGTGGTAAAAGCCCCCCCACTTACCGCAGGGGTCAGGTGTTTAGTGGTCCCGCTCCCATCCCCGTGGGGCCCGGGGACCAAATGGATGACGGGCGGAGCTCCGAGCTTCAGTGTTCTTCCCTGAAGAAACAACACCTCACTTCAGCCTCAAAGCTGCAATCAACTGTTTTGTCTCACAACAAATGCCCAATATCGTTCGCTTGACTTTCTGGGAAAACAAGCATACCTCTAGTCTGTAAGCTGAACATACCGCAACATTTATGCCCACCAGAAATCGATTTCGAAGGTCTCCACCCTCCAGCGCCCTCGAAACGACAGGTAGGAAAAGGCAGCCCGCGTTGATACGGTACTTATTTCGAGCCGTTTGGTCGGATAGCTAGACATGACTGGGTGACGCTGCTCATTCACGGTAGTGTAAAGTACAAGGTATAGATACTTTCAATAATCATACCATCATATTACTCAAGCCTTGGTATATCAACTCCAGTCCTTAGTAACCTTTGCCATCGACTCTCTCGGAGTTTCGCCCACGCTCGTCTTGGATAGGTTGCTTTTAGCTCAGTCTACCCGACCGTCAGTCAAACAGTTGCTGCACAGCCGACCAGACCCAAGTCCCAAAAACTTCAAGTTGCTTGAGCCTTGGAGCAGAAGCCACCCAGTAGTCAATACTCAAATACCCCCGCCGACGCAGTAAGCAATTTTTTTCCATCCGACCGAACTTCCCGACTAGAAGCAGGTAGCTTGGACTCAACCTCGTCATCATCTACTTGTAAGTCATGGACGTGCTTGACTTCTTCCTGCTTCCAATGTTCGTTCTCTCTTTCACACCAGACCATCGAGATTGGATCCAGGGGCATCCATTGCCAAGCAACAATGCACATACGCAACTACCTAACGGCCACGACTGCACACGGTTCTCCCCGCGATCGGCGAGCTTCTCTTTTTACTTAGTGTTGTTAGTGCAGAACTAAGGTGGATGACGGTTGCTCTTTGCTGAACCCCTCTTCGGTGCAGGGCAGTGATCGATGCTTGTAGAGGTAATGACCACCAACAGACACCATTCACCTTCTTCGCACTGTCGCAGCGTCGTAGTGGGTAACTGAAGCCTCAGCTGTCTCCTCGGTCGCTGTTACATCCGCTAGATGCCGGCTCCGGCTGCCTACAAGTCCCCTACCTACCAAGCAACAACCTTATCTGAGCGGCAACCGGGAAGCCCACCTTACCTACCTGCCTAGCTTTACCTACGTCGATATCATATACATACCACCACCGGACAACAACTCAACCTGCATCCTCCTCCACGACCACCTTGTTGCTGTGCTGTCGCCTCCGCTCCCCAGTGTCAATGTTCATCTAACACGCGACCGCCAGCATTCCGTCTCGCTTCCATCCGACCGTCATCGCTTCTCACCATTCAACAACGCTGCGGGAACGGACATCGGTCCCGCGCCAGATACGATTTCACCGTGGCAGACCGAACCCCCAACCAGCAAGTTCCCATAGATCCCCCAAACTCCGACCAACACTCAAACACCCCGCAACCTCCGGCTTCCTCTTCCAGCACTGTCGAACTTGCCCCAATTTCCGCTCCACCCTTCCCAGCTGCTCCCCCGCAGCCACCGTCCGTGACGCCATCGGTTCCCACCAGTCTCCCACCGTTGTACGTCCCTCAAGGCCCACACGACCGCCCGTACGCCTACACTCCGTCCCAAGTCCTCGGCCGCCGCCGACTAAGTGATTTGGACGAAAACGGACAAGACGAATACCGTCCAGCTTCGATCGACGTCTCAGTCAACGCCACCTCTTCGGCAGCCGCTACTACGACCACTTATACGTCCCTGCGACCACTCAAGCGAAGACGCGGGATCATGTCGGCCGACATCGATGGCCAGAACTCGTCGAATGGAGTTGGGCAGTCGCTATCTAATGGATCTCGGGCAGAGATCACAATGGCGGTATCTAATGGAAACGGGACGCTCAAGGCAGCATCTGGGCCTCCAAATGGATCGGCTTGGGAGGTGAACCGCCCAAGGTTACCATCAGGGAATTACCACGGCCACAACCGGGAACAGTTTACACGTCTCCTGATACAGGCCATGACGGAGATGGGATACAACGACGCAGCAGACAAACTCAGTCAGGACAGCGGCTATCGACTTGAAAACCCTACGGTGGCTGCCTTTCGAGCGGCTGTCTTGGACGGTGACTGGGGAAAGGCGGAGGAGCTTCTTAACGATGCGCAGGTTGCTGGAATAGCAGATCCTGGTTTGAGGGATGGCCTGATACTTGCCGCAGGAGCGGATCGCAACATGATGAAGCTTTGGCTTAGACAGCAGAAGTACTTGGAGCTACTGGAAAGGCGCGAAACACCACGGGCTTTGGTGGTGCTGCGGACGGAGCTCACACCGTTGTGCGGGGACCAGCACCAGAAGCTGGAGTTCCTGTCAAGCCTGTTAATGTGTGCGAGTGCCGAGGACCTGAAGGATAAGGCCGGATGGGACGGTGCTCGCGGAGAAAGTCGGCACACCTTGCTCTCTGAGCTATCTAGTATGTTGAGGAGTGTCAACCTTTGGGTCTTCAAGCCTGCTAACACGTTTTGCCCAGAATTCGTTTCGCCTTCAGTTATGCTCCCTGAGCACAGGTTGGCGGCACTTCTTAGTCAGGCGCAAGAAATCCAAATTAGCAACTGCCTATATCACTCGACCCTCCAAACACCCTCTCTTTACAAGGACCACGTGTGCGATAGGAAGGCTTTTCCCACGATTGCCAAGTATAAGCTGGATGAACACAACGGCAATGAAGTGTGGCAAGTGAGGTTTTCACATGACGGGACACGCTTGGCAAGTTGCGGCATGGAGCGTCTTGTCGTCATCTACAGCGTACCTGAGTTCAAAGTGCTACACAAGTTAGACACGGGCGATGAGCAACACGACAACCGGGGTGTAGGTAATATCGCATGGAGCCCGGACGACAAGATGCTCGTCACTTGCGCAATGAATGCCAAAGTGTGGGATACCGAGGTAAGTGCAGGAAAAGACAGCCACGGCCATAAGTCTCTGTCTGTCCTGCATTCGCTAACAAGAGGTGATATTGTAGACTGGAGCGCTGCTCAGGACTATCGACCAATTCAACGAGCCAGTCAGTAGTTGCGCTTGGGCAAGCAACTACGTTCTTATCACCGGGTCCTTCGACAAGGACAGGTCAATCTGTTCCTGGAACTTCGGATCAGCCGACGTGTACAAGATCGTGTGGACGAAGGACCATCGCACGGAAGACCTGGCGCTGTCCCCCGATAGAAACTGGGTTGTTGCCCTGGACGACCAAAAGCGGTTTCATGTCTACAACTACCACACGCGCGAGCAGGTTTATTCACATGAGCTGAAGGATAGAGGAACATCACTCTGTATAAGCCAGGACTCGACGTCTTTGTTGGTAAATACACAGGTAGGAACAGCGATTTTGTATGATATTCTCACCAAGGATGTCATTCACCAGTACAATCAACACAAGGGTGGGGAATTCCTTATCAGAACTTACCTTGGTGGCGCGAATGAGGGTTTCATCCTGTCTGGGAGCGAGGGTAAGTGATTTGAGGAAGCTTGTTGACGACATTTGAAGAGCAAATGACGGGGCTAACAGGCACATTCACAGACGGGTCAATATATATCTACCACAGGTCCACGGGCGCCTTGGTAGCGCGGCTTAAGGGAGCCCATGCACCGCGTTGCAACTCTGTCACGTGGAACCCTTCAGATCCGCGCATGATTGCCAGCTGCGGAGATGATGGGTTGGTGAAGATGTAAGCTTGATAGCCCCTTTGGACCAGGACAGCCGTCAGTTTTGCTGACCATGTTGGACAGTTGGTACCCCGAATGGCCCGACTGGGATGAGAATATGGAACACAGCGGCGCAAACAATAACGGAAGCGTCCACGACACAGCAAGGCCGCGATAGAATAGGGAGTTGAGCTGGAACAGCGGACGTTTGTTCTTGCCGCTGACAGCACGTGTGCTCCATACATTTTCCAGGCTGAACATATATTGAGGAACGACGACCAGCCATGAAGTGTACGAAAGGTTAAGTCTGATGATTGTTGTGGAATGTCATGGAAGGATAAAGATAGTACACCACCAACCAGCGTTGTGTTTACATATTGGGCTCGCTTCAAAGCGATGATTGAGTAATCGATGGATGGACGGGCGGGCGCGAGAGCATTGCATTTTGTGTTTCCCTTTTTCCTTTTTGGCTTGGAAATGCTTTCTATACACAGTCAAGATGTTGTCTCACGCCTCAAAAAAGGTAGAACTGAACAAGTTACAGATCAATACAGCGTAGCATAGGATATCGGGGCGGATTGGCTGGGGTATGTAGTGATAACAGAGATAGTTTTCACACTTTACTTTTTCGCAGTGGGCTCAAGAGCAATTTAGCAACTCGTCGCTTTCAGAGATGCTGGTTCGTTTCAGCAGGTGCCTAGTTTACGGTCACACGCCTTGTCTTCTCAATGACTTTTCATCTTTATACCGCCCAATCCGTGAGACCATGACGCGGCCTCAATTAGGTAGAAGAATAAAGCCACTTTGGCAAGCAAGACGCCTTGAGACATACATAACCGGCCGCGTACGACGGCGAGGTTTCAGGATCGATTTCTATGTGTGGGACTTTGTGGATAATAACATGTAATTGCATTTGTCTGTAAAAACAAAGTGAGTCCAAAGTTCTGAAAGAAGTGTACATAGTGTAGAGTTCCTCGGCTGATTAGTTCTCAAAGACGTGGTTACAGCATCAGTCTCCACTTCCTCCCATCCGTGGCTTTTGTGTGCTGCGAGTGGCCTGCGAGCCTGCGACGCACGGTGACCTGACCCTGCCCCCTTCAGCGCCCCCTGCTTGTGCGTAGGTAGCCGGACGCTACGTCGTATGAACACGACCCGACTGCCTCGTCGCCTCAGCTTCGTACCAAAAAGATTCCCATCTCCCAGAACAACAACAACAACCAACGTCTAGTAATATCTTCCAGTTGCCAGTCCCAACAAGCCGGCTTGTTCTATACCCATCGTCCGTCTCTCGTCAGAGCGCCGCTTGCACGGACCGCGAGACCTCTGAGACGTTTGCGCCTGGCTGTTACGTATCGCCGCCTTAGACTATTCTAGACGTTACCTAGTTCAGGCTCCCGTCCTTATCTACCTACCGAAACCCAAGCGAAGCGGGAGGAGGCACCAGAATCCGCCGACACCGCCTGCCACCAACCACACGACATCCCTCAACTCCAAACAAACACATCACCATCGTCCACCTCTGCATAGCCAGCAATCATGACGGTAGACGTGAATACCGGGTCGCTCAGCACCCCCGGAGGTATCTCTGACCCCGGCCTCATCAAGTACGTCCACGTCCTGCGTCCACTCCTTCCAGTCTTGTGCCTATCGCATGTCGGGCATCATCGTCTTCGTCGTCTTCAGTTCGCTAACATGGTCGCCATCCGCACAGGCTCGTCAACAAGCTCCAGGATGTCTTCACCACCGTCGGCGTCAACAACCCCATCGATCTCCCCCAAATAGTAGTCGTCGGCAGTCAGTCCAGCGGAAAGAGTTCAGTACTAGAAAACATTGTTGGTCGCGACTTGTGCGCATCCCCCCTCCCCCGCCCCCTTTCCCCGCCCCTAGTCTTTCTTCGCTTTCCACACTAGTTTCCCCCCTCCCCAAAAATGCTAACGCGAGACCCTTGTTTTTTCTCTTCTCCAGTCTTCCTCGCGGCTCCGGTATTGTCACCCGTCGTCCCCTCGTCCTCCAGCTTATCAACCGGACAGCCACCCAGAACGGCTTCGGCAATGAGCTCGACGATAACACCGACAAGGCCGCCAACACGGACGAGTGGGGCGAGTTCCTTCACATTCCCGGTCAAAAGTTCTACGACTTCAACAAGATCCGCGATGAGATCAGCAGAGAGACCGAGGCCAAGGTCGGCCGCAATGCCGGCATCTCGCCCGCTCCCATCAACCTGAGAATCTACTCACCCAACGTTCTCAACCTCACCCTCGTCGATCTTCCCGGTCTGACAAGAGTGCCCGTTGGCGACCAGCCGCGCGATATCGAGAAGCAGATCAGGGACATGATCCTCAAGTATATCCAGAAGTCCAACGCCATCATCCTCGCCGTTACCGCTGCCAATGTGGATTTGGCCAACTCGGATGGCTTGAAGCTGGCTCGTGAGGTGGATCCCGAAGGTCAGCGCACCATCGGTGTGCTTACAAAGGTCGACTTGATGGACGAAGGTACCGATGTCGTTGATATTCTCGCCGGTCGCATCATTCCCCTCAGGCTAGGATACGTGCCCGTGGTGAACCGTGGCCAGAGGGATATCGACAACAAGAAGCCCATCAACGCTTCGCTCGAGGCCGAGAAGAACTTCTTTGAGAACCACAAGGCGTATCGTAATAAGAGCTCATACTGCGGCACGCCCTACCTTGCCCGGAAGCTCAACTTGATCCTGATGATGCACATCAAGCAGACCCTGCCCGACATCAAGGCTCGCATTTCCAGCTCGCTACAGAAGTATACCCAGGAGCTCGAGTCCCTGGGGCCTTCGATTCTCGGTAACAGCGCGAACATTGTCCTTAACATCATCACCGAGTTCACCAACGAATGGCGCACTGTTCTTGACGGTAAGAGCACCGAGCTCTCCAGCCAGGAGCTGTCGGGTGGCGCCAGAATCAGCTTCGTCTTCCACGAGCTGTACTCGAACGGTGTCAAGGCAGTGGATCCCTTCGATCAGGTCAAGGACTCTGATATTCGCGTTATCCTTTACAACTCCTCCGGTCCCTCGCCCGCTCTCTTCGTCGGAACCGCGGCCTTCGAGCTCATCGTCAAGCAGCAGATCAAGCGTCTTGAGGAGCCCAGTCTCAAATGCGCCTCGCTCGTGTACGACGAGCTTGTCCGAATCCTCACCACCGTGCTCAGCAAGCAACTATACAGGCGCTACCCCGGCCTCAAGGAGAAGATCCACCAAGTGGTCATCTCCTTCTTCAAGAAGGCCATGGAGCCCACCAACAAGCTGGTCAAGGACCTGGTCGCTATGGAGGCGTGCTACATCAACACGGGTCACCCCGACTTCCTCAACGGCCACAGGGCCATGGCCATCGTCAACGAGCGCCACAATGGTTCCAGGCCAGTTCAGGTCGACCCCAAGACGGGCAAGCCGATCCCGCAGAGCGCTACGCCCGCGCGAGCCGCTAGCCCCACCCTGGCCGGCAGCAACCTTGACGAGGGAGGGTCCAACGGTGGCTTCTTTGGTAGCTTCTTTGCCGCCAAGAACAAGAAGAAGGCGGCGGCCATGGAGCCGCCCCCGCCATCGCTGAAGGCCTCGGGTACTCTTTCTGAGCGCGAGAACATTGAGGTGGAGGTCATCAAGCTGCTCATCCAGTCGTACTACAACATTGTCAAGAGGACCATGATCGACATGGTTCCCAAGGCTATCATGTTGAACCTTGTTCAGTAAGTCTTTTACCTTTCCTTTTTGCCGCTACTACCTACATTTCTATAAGTGAAATACTAACACGAACGAAATCCAGACTCACAAAGGACGAAATGCAAAAGGAGCTCCTCGAGAACATGTACCGCGCCGACGAGCTCGACGACCTCCTCAAGGAGAGCGATTACACGGTCCGCAGGAGGAAGGAGTGCCAGCAGATGGTGGAGTCGCTGTCGAAGGCTAGCGAGATTGTTAGCCAGGTACAGTAGGGTTAGTACTACGTTCGAGAAGACGAAGAGAGTTGTTTATGAGACGAGATCAAGACATATTATTTTTGATGATGATGATGATGATGATGATGGGAGTGATTACTTAGAAAGAAAGGAAGAGGGCGATAGGGATGAAAGTCCTAGGGGATCATGGTGGTAATGATGAGTTGGTTGTGGGTGGGTGGGTGGGAATGAGGTTGGAGAATAAAGGAGTTGTTTGTGACATGACAGATTATTTAAGCAGCAGTTGATATACCAAAGCGATGAAAGAGAGAAGAAGATGATGATGGGGAAGAGAGTGTCATTTGGTGGCACGTTTTTGTGTCTAGCTGTACAGAAAATGTTTACGACTTGTGTCCATGAGAGCCGTTTGGGTCAAGTGAACGGAAGAGCTCCAATCCATATCTTGCACGGTGTTGATGGGCTTGACATGATCATTACACGGGGGGTAATTCAGTCACAAGGAATGACACTTCCTCTCGAAGAACCAACTCAAATGTGTAGGATTCCGAAACGTGGTTGCAACTCAACAGAAAGGAAGATGGTAACGAGGAGAGAAAAAAAGGTATTGTACATGTTGATGCATGCAACCTTTGAAAGTTCCACACAGAATGATCTGTCCATCAAGAAATAACATCAAAGAGACCCAACATCCGTTACAGTTTGGACTTGATAGCGACAGCGCTCCCATTCAACACATCAAACTCCTTGCCCTTCTTCCAACCAAGCCACCGCTCCACGACAGATTCGCCTCCCTTTCCAGGTTTCAAGGGAATGCCTACATACGCTTCCCCCTTGACGCCCGGCCCTTGCCCATGGCTAGCCTCCTTCGCATCGCTCCTCAGCGCCAAGCAGGGCGTCTCCCTAAGCGTAACCACGGGTCTCTGATCGCCCTCCAACCGCTCCCTCTCCCTTTCCATCTCGCCATACTCAAACACCGCCGTGCAGCACGCATCAGTCCCGTCAAAGATATCCTCCCACTCCCTCCTCGTTTTGGTCTTAAACTTGTGCTCCAACACCCTCCTCAACTCGGGCCAATTCTCCTTCTCCCCCCTCCTCTCCTCCCATCTTTGCCCCTCTAACCCCAACCCTTTAACCAACTCCTTGAAAAACTGCGGCTCCAATGCCCCGACAGCCATGTACTTCCCATCCGCAGTCTCGTACGTATCATAGTAAGGGCAGCCCGTATCCAGCAGGTTCTCCCCCCTCGGCGCGTTTCCCACGGCCGTTTTGAGCGCAAACCGGTTAAAAGTAGCCAAGTAACTCGCTCCGTCGACGATATTCGCCTCCACCACCTGTCCCTTGCCCGTCCTCTCCCTCGCGGCCAGCGCAAGCAGGATGCCCTGGAACAAAACCGCTCCACCGCCGGCAAAGTCTCCCAGAATGTTGATGGGCGGCGTCGGCTTCTCGCCCTTCCTCCCCAGCAGACTCAACACCCCGCTCACAGCCAGGTAATTGATATCGTGCCCGGCCATGGTGGCGAACCGGCCGTCTCGCCGGAAGCCCGTCAGGCGGGCGTAGATCAGGCGGGGGTTGCATTCGTCGCTGCACAAGACAGAGGGACCCAGCCCGAGCTTCTCCAGGACGCCGGGGCGGTAAGGATCGATGAGGACGTCCGATACGGCGGCGAGGGATTTGACGAGGGCGATTCCGGAGGGGGACTTGAGGTCGACCACCAAGGAGGATTTGTGACGGGTTAGTTGGTCGGGAACTTGGCGGGCGACGGGGCCGGAGACGGCGCGGTCGATGCGCAGGACGGAGGCGCCAGCGTCAGCGAGGAGGAGCCCGGCAAAGGGACCTGTTCCCAAGCGGGGAATTAGTTTTGTGACTTTTTTTTTTCTTTTTTTTTTTTTTTCAAGTGAAAGTGAAGTGTAAGTGAAGTGTAAGTGAGACCTCAAGATTGGCCGGGTTTCGGCCGAAAGCCTCTGTGTGTGTAAGTCGGAGGAAAGTGAGAAGATGGAGGGCTGACCTGGAGCTAGACCGGCAAACTCCAGGACCTTGAGGCCGGTAAGAGGCGGTTGGCCAACCATATTGATTTGTTTCCTGGTCCTTCCAATCTTTGAATGTTCTCGAAGGCACCCCTCGAATAACTTCGGCCAGTAATCGTGCCTTGGGAATACGAAACGGTTACACGGCAACGGACCGATCCACGCACAAACACTCTATCCACCCAGCCGGTTCAAGTTTCCAATTCCCCGATTATTATTCTGTTTGCGAATGGCGCGGGTCGGTTGGAAAAAGAGACACCCAGTAAATGGCGAAGGAGCTCAGGGGTCAATGTGACCGATGGTAGTATCTGCAGCAGCAGCAGCAGCAGCAGCAACAGCAAGGTCGACTAGAAAGGATGAAACGAGAAGGGGAGAAAGAGGTATCCGACCACTTATGAGACCGGTATTCGGGACTTTGGCGTATGGGGAACTCGGATCATGCTACGTTGGAGGTGTGGGGTAATAGGATGATCGGGGATGGAGATGGTGCAGTATTGTTTTGACTCTTTCTGGTTTGTTTTTGACTGTTTGCAAGACCATGCAATTGGGATATCCGACAAAGACACTAAGTGTGATTTTTTCAGTTCCCGCTGAGAGTCCTCATAAGGTTACGGCTCTTCAGGGCTATTCGACAGCTAAGACTATCGTGCTATGCGATAAACATCATCAGATATCCTTTCTTGTTTCTGAATCCAGAGATCTCACTCATCTTGGAACCTTGAGCACAAGAGCTGAACAGCAATCGAAACTCGAAAACGACCATATGACAAAGTGGATTTGGGAGCAACATTATCGCAGTGACACGAATGCGGTGAGGTGACTGACTACTGAAGCTCCGTCCCTTCTCCTGCTCACGTTGCCCCAGGCCTGTGAGGGAGGGGTGTGTGAGGGTGTGCTGTCACCAATTTGCACCGTGAACGCACTCCCGTTTAGCGGCTGATCGCGGCCCGCCCTGTGGGGGAACTGGGGAGCTTGGCAAGTGGAGAGAGAAGGGCTTGGTATGCGGGGTAAAGACAAGAGGAGGAGATGGACTCTCAACTTTTGTACCTGAAGCGCCAAAGTGACAAATCCCGAGGCATTGGATGACAGGAGCAGATCTGGGAAAGCCATGTTGCAGCAGTCGAAGATGCGATTGGTACCAAGTAAGCAACACATGATGCAAGAGCTTCAGTACATGGCAGTACCGAACCCACGATGTCAATACAACATACGCAAGACAGCCTCGACAAGCGACAATACATGGCAGGTTGATTATTGACTCTTGACACCAGAAGATCTAACAAACAATCAGCATGAAATACCATGTACCGGGAAGGTCATGGGAAGTGTATCAGACGCCATGGGTCTAGATGGTTCAACTCCGGGTGGATGGGTGGATGTGCCAGACTCCCTGAGTGTTTCTAATTCTGACTTTCAATCGTCAAAGTCTTGAGAGCGCATTGGAAACAACGATGCCGTTGTAATGAGCTGTGGGAATATGCATGTTGGATGATGAGTGGAAAATGTAGATGCCTCCTCTACCTCGAAGCTGACAAATGATCCAAAGACCAAAGGTGCAAAACAGATCGCAGAGCACAACCCTAACCCTCTTTCAGGAGCTATCGGAAAGCGCTTTACATCATCAAGGTCGGGTACATTGGAAAGCTCCAGTTACTTAGTCGCCGCTAAAAAGTCGTGATAACGCTTCTTCCACTGCCGCTGCCGCCGACAATCGCCATCCGTCCGCATTGCCGTGAATTTTTGTCTGTCTTTGCGCCGAACACCTTGTCACTCTCTAGTAGCCAGTACCGCGCCTAACCTTTCAAAATGCTCACCCGGTCGCTTTTCTCGAGGGTAAGCGCTGCAGATTCCGTCACCCGGCAAAGTCGTAACCGACACTAACATCCTCCTCCTCCTGACAACAGCAACTCTTCGCCGCCGCCTCTCGGCCGGCCATTGCGCCCAAGGCCGTCTCCTCCGCCTTCCGCCCCGTCCTCTTCTACCAGAACCGCTTCCTGTCCGATGCGACCCGCCAGGCCATCGACAAGGCCGTCGCCTCCGCGCCCGTCGTCCTCTTTATGAAGGGCACCCCAGAAACCCCCCAGTGCGGCTTCTCGCGCGCCAGCATCCAGGTTCTGGGTCTTCAGGGCGTTGATCCCAACAAGTTTGCTGCTTTCAACGTTTTGGAGGATGCCGAGTTGAGGCAGGGTATGTTACACAACCAGTTGGGACAAGTAAAATGGGAAAAGTAAACAAGGACAGAAACGCTGACGAGTGGGCGTGCACCGCGCATCATCATGCATATATAGGCATCAAGGAGTACAGCGACTGGCCTACCATTCCTCAGCTTTACATCGACAAGGAGTTCGTCGGCGGTTGTGATATCATTGTCTCGATGCACCAGAACGGCGAGCTTGCCAAGCTTCTTGAAGAGAAGGATGTTTTGGTCAAGGGCGAGGAGGGTGCTGCTGAGGAGCAGACCGAGAAGAAGGAGTGAAAGAAATGAAGCGGCGGATGCGGATGCAGCTTTCGGCTATGCGTGGAGGAGATGAGTGATTCATGAAGCCATTGTACTTGTACTGATACCATTTGATAGACGATTTGGATCTCATGCGTAGACTGTACGATATGTGTTTACTCTTTACAATACTGAAAAGCGACGTGGAAGTATTACTCTGGGAATTCATCAGGACATTGGGAAACCAGATAACAGCAGATGATGACATGTACAGTACATGTGAGATAGATTCCCTCGAAAGTATCTTGACCTATACCCGTCTATGATGTGTTGAAAACGCCATGTTAAATGCCGCCTGGGTATCATGTTAAAGCTCTCCCTTTTCCTCATGCACACAAAGAAAACTGAAAGATACAAAAAAAACCTCAGCCATGTTGAACTCTCTCTTCCCCTTCCCCCGCCTTTCAGTCACTGCCCCCATCTCAGTTGCAGCCAGGCCCATCCGTAGCCTGTTAATTCGTCTTCGCCTCCAACCCATAGCCCCCCAAGCCCGGGCTATTATAACTCAACCCCTCCGGCCCCCTCCGGTGCTGACTTCTCGGCCCTCTCTCCTTCAAATCATCCCTCAACCACCTCAACACCAGCTCTCCCAGCCTACTATTTCCCGTCACGCCTTCTATCACATTCTTTCCGTCCTCGACCTCCTTCAACATCTCCTCCGCCTTCCCCCACCCCTTCACAGTGCCCAAGTGCATGTGCACCAGGTGCGTCGGCCAACTGGCCAAGTTGTCCAGGATGTGCGTCGCGTACACAACCGTGCACTCCCTCGTCTCCGTCTCCCGTCTCAGCCACCCCAGAAACTGCGCACGGGACCAGACGTCCAAGTCGACGGTGATTTCGTCGAGCAACAGCACCGTCCAGGGCCGGATCAAGCCCATTGCCAGCTGCACTCTGCGACGTTCTCCGTCCGATACGGCGTGCATTCGCCAGTTGGTGTCGATATCCAGCACCGACACCAGTTCGTCCCTTCTCTCGGGATAAGCATCGCCGCCCACTGACCGCAGCAGCTCAACGACACCAATGTCCGTGCGCACAATCGCGTTGAGGACCCATTCCAACCCCAAGTAGGTGACGCCCTCCAGACCTTCCTTGAACGGGTCAACACCCGACACTTTGATGGTGTTGGCGGGCGCGAGACGCTTGCCGGCCAGCAGGCGAAGCAAGGTGGTTTTGCCGGCACCGTTGGCGCCAATCAAGAGCGTGCGCGATCGAGGCGGGAGGGAAAGGGTAATGTCCGAGACGCCATTGGAGCGGTCGGGAAAGCTGTAGGTGAGGTTGAAGGTTTCCACTGTTGGAGGGGCTTGTTGGGAGGCCATTGTTTCTTTTTTTTGGCGGATGGTTCGATGAACGGGTTGTTGGTTGAAGGTTTGTTATGTTGGCTCTCTCGAGTGAGAGTACTGGTTTCTGGTTGGTCCTTGCCACTGTATTAACCCTTAAGTTCGTGTTGTTGACAATGTGAAGGGATGTACTATGGTGTTGGTAGGAAGGGGAAAAAAGAATTTGATTTGGGGAGTGAGGGGGAAAACTGAATGGATGGAATGAGGGGGTGATAGCGGCAAGCGGCAAGCGGCAAGCGGCAAGCGGCAAATGTAGGTACCTACCTATGTGATGCAAAAATCGGAACAGTTTCCACTTGCACCTGACAGTTTAGAGAGCTCGGCGATGTTGGGCCAGAAGGTCTGTCGTTTCAATCCGCCCCCCCCCCCCCCCCCCTGGAAAGTTTTGCGGGGTGGTAATGACGCAAGCACGCAACAAGGGCCGTTTTGAGTCCACATGGCGATTCAGTTCTTCAACTCCAATAAATGTGCGAAGAGAGAAAGCAGAACGTTCCCGATCAAAACACCTCTCCACCTTGGTGTCTTAGATATGCCTATGTCTTGCGTCCAAAAACTGGGAATAGCTCCAAACACTTTTCCTCATCATGTCTCACTATTACCTACCGGAACAAACATCGTTCAACTTCGGCATCTGTTGCAAGGAATCCATGCAAGGAACCAGGTGGTCGGTGATTCAAGGAATTCACTAAATATACAAACCGGAAAAATGTGAAACCACCAACACCTTCCTAAAACGGAAACCGAAGTTATGGTATTAGTGCTGACTCACCTCAACTCACCCTCCTTTAACAACACTGAGTGACGAAGATTGTCAAAAGATACAATACGAAGGCTCGGAGGCTTTCGATGGGTGGTGACCGAGGGTAGCAGTACGTACAGCACCCGCTCCAATCCCCGGGACCCACAAATGCAGCTGCTGCATCGATCACCATGGCAACACATGGGGGAAATCGGTTGTTCTGAGACACGAACCCGTACTGCGTGAGACGGACAGAAATCCCACTACTGCCATTTGCAAGTTTTTTGTTGTTTGTCACTTGGCAGGTTGTAGGCATCCTCAACCCCCTTGCTAAGGAAGAAAACAGAGCCGAAGAGACGTAGGAATACGACTTGGCGATACAGGATGTATATTGACCCATCGACTACACTAGAATTACTGCCATGCAAGTGAAGGATGCAAAGATTAATGTATCAACAACCCGAAATCCCTTTCGTTGATTGGTATTATTTGATTCTTTGTTCCCCTGATTCGCCAATCGGGGCGGCCCATGGTAGAAGTTTAAGTTGGTGATCAGTCACCCAACTCGAATAAATCACCCATCCTACCGTGCCAACCAACCGCCCCCTATCTAACCTAACCGCCGCCGCAGCCACCGTCCTCAGGTTCTACGTTCCAGAACCGGTTCCTCTCTCTCTATTCTTCCCTTTTGAACCCCGAATGATGTAAAACGATAATTGGTATCCCTTGAACAGAACAGAAAACAAAGCTCCAGCCAGTTGCGTAATAAGCAAGAAAGAAGTGAAGTAGAATGAAAAAAAGGAATATGCCGTGCCGCAAGAGGAACATATGATGAGAAAGAAAAGAAAAAAGCCCTTTCCCTTTTCTCTTCGTCTCTCTTCCTTTTATGCTTGGCCACCTACCAATGCGGTGCAAAAAAAAACATGTATGATAAAATGCTGAATGACGCTCGCAATCCATCCGTCCACCACAACCGAGGGAAAAAAACAGAGTTCAGACAATAATAATAAGACACGAACAAGAAAATAATGGCATCTCTTCTCCCTCTTTCCTCTGCTCTTCCCCTCATCTTAAGCCATGTGTTTGGCTTTTCGCACTCTTAATGGTAGTTTGGTTGCCTCTGTACCTCCTCTTCACCTTCTCTTCACTTCCCGACCCAGGCCTCTTCATCGCCTCACTAAGATCCCGCAACAGGTCCCCACCGATGCTGCAATCCATCCGTCCACCTCGCATACAGCAAATCCGACAGTGCCTTGCAGTGCTCCATGCCCGCTACCGCCGGCTGGCCCGGGTACTTTGCCTCGAGCGCCGCCCGCTCGCGCAGCTCTCTGCTGCTGCTCTCCCTTACGCGCTCCTGCTTCTCGGGGGATCGGCTGCTGGCATGGGACGACTGCGACGACTCTCTTCGTTGATGGTGCTGGGGTGGTGGAAGTTGATGAGAGGACGAGTTGGAAGACTCCTTTCGTCTGTGGGCGGCTTGCTGTAACTGGGCCTGCTGTTGCTGTTGTAGCTGCTGGGCAAGCTGTTGCGAGCTGGCCTCTCTTCGCTGCTTTTCTTGCTGGAGGACCGGGTGCGAGAGTTGTTGTTGAAGGGACGGCGGGTTTTCCTTTTTTTGAAGTAACGGGGCGGAATGTTGCTGCAAGAGCTGGGGCTCCTTCTTTTGAGGTGAGGGGGTTGATTGTATTAGTTGAGGCTGCTGTATTTGCTGAATAGGGGTTCCTTGGGCTGCTGCCATTACGGAAGACGGCCTGCTGCTGCTGCTGCTGCTGCTGCTGCTACTACTACTCGTCCTTTCTGCGGTGGGCTTCGGTGTGGACATGGGCGCTGCTACGACACTCTCCCGCCTTGGTCTAGGGCTAGCCAAGGGTGTGTTCAGCTGGCTGGTCATCAGTTTTGTCGGACTAGCAGAAAGCATCGGCTTCTGTGGGGAGCGCGATGGAGTCTGTGGGATGTTGTGGTTTTGAGTGACACCGGCTGATGTCGATGGCCGTTGGTTGAGGTCGCGATTCTTGCTCTGCGGTGTGCCATCTACAGATTTTCTGTGAAGGTGCTGACCGGGCGAGATCTTGCTGGCGTTCAGTAGTGCTGCACTGAGCCTGTTATCCTGTGATATTGAGCAAAGGAGGTGTCTGAGAAGGTGATAGGCTCCTTCAGGGTCCACCGAGTCGAGGTGGGCAAAGGCATCGGACAGATTAGCCAGGGCCTCACGCTTGGTTGAGGGACCGGTTTGCGCATGAAGCTCGTCGAGGGCAGGCTCAATGGCCTTGTGATAAAGACGACGACCGAGGAGCGCTTCCTTGCTAGTGGGCTCGATAGGCGCCTGCATCGCGGAGGGAGGTCGGTTCTCGTCATTGACCACCTCTTGGGGCTGTTCCTGGTGAATTTTCGGACCCTCGTGCTCGGAAGGTACACGACGAAAGAGTCGCATAGTCGAACCCGAGTTGCCGAAGGACATATCCGTCTGAAGGGGCCTCTTTGCTGCTGCGACAGGTGGGCGTGGTGAGCCAGTCGAGGTGGAAAGTCGCCGTTGCTGATGAGCGGCCGCGGCCGATGGCTGTCGCCGTACTGTTGCTTTCCTTACCGTCTGAGGGGTAGAGGGCTGCAGGGGACCATCTCTGACTTCCATTCTTCGCATGCCTTCTTCAGTCTCCCGGACCCTTGATGGATCCCTGGATTTTGTGGGAGTAGTGCTGACGTTCAAAAGGTTCTTGGGTAGCGCAACCGACTTGATCGTATCAAACACCCACTCGTCATCATCGTCCTTGGGGCTCATGGTGTGAAGGGTTTCCTGGTAAAAGACGGGAAGCTTGACGCGGTCCTGCTTGGCGTCCCACATCTGCTTGCGCTCGATCAGTTCCTGCAGCGCCTCGACCCTTCCAGCTGTGCGGATAAATCGATGCCTGAGCAGGTCTCTAGCTGTCGGGCGCTGGGCAGGGTCTTTGATCAGACAATGAGCGACAAAGTCCTTGAACTCTCTGCTGAACTTGCCCTCCAGTCGTGGTGGTGGGTTTTTGGGAATCTGAAAAAGGACCTTCATCGGGTGGATATTCGCATATGGAGGCTCGCCGACAGCCAGTTCGATGGCAGTGATACCGAGCGACCAGATGTCGGCCTTGAAGTCGTAGCCAGCCTGCTGGATGACCTCGGGGGCCATCCAGAACGGGGTGCCGACAAAGGTATTGCGTTGAGACTTCATATGTGTCAACTGCGCTGCAACGCCAAAATCAGCGAGCTTGACCTTTCCGGCTTCCGAGAGCAGGACATTGGCGGCTTTGATGTCGCGATGGATCTTTCCTTCGGAGTGTAGGTAATCGAGGCCGAGGAGGAGTTCGCGGCAGACGATGGCGATGTGTACTTCGCCAAAGTTTCCCGGTTTGAGCTGGCGCACACAATCTTGTTTAGCAAGCAGGGAAAAGAGACATGGTATGCGACAGCAATAGCAAAGGGACCAGACTTACGAGGTCCAAACAGGAACCTCCCCCGAGAAATTCCATCACGATCCATAGCTTGTGGCCGCGCAAGAAGCTCGCCTTGTATTGGGTGACGTAAGAGCTGGCGCATGTGCTGAGCACCGAGATCTCTTGTTGAATTTCCTGGATATCATCCTCGCTGGATTCGAGGTCAATCTAAAGGGGCGCAAAAGTTCAGTTAGTTTGCTGTCGAGGCTGGACGTCTCCTTGGTTCTTCCTTGTCATGGAATGCGATGTGATGCGATGCGATGCGATGCAGCCCAATGCGACAACAACGTACATGCTTGATGGCCACTGTTTCGCCCGTGGTCTTGTCAATTCCCTTGTAAACGACGCCAAAACTGCCTCCTGTGGGTGTTGGAACACCAAACCAAAAAGTCAGCCTCTCATTTTTTTATACTTACTTTTCCCCTCCTCCACAGCTCTTCCGGTGGCTGGATGTGGAAGTGGGATGCGACTTACGGCCAAGTTCTTCCAGCACTTGGTAGTGGTTGGCGACTCCTTCGTCGGCCATCTTTTTCAGTTACAGGAGGGTGATTGTCGCGAGTCGCGATGGACGGCAGGTCAAGTGCGCGCGACTACCTACCCAACCACTCGCTGGCGACCACTGGTGGTGGAGTAAGTAGGTCCGTTGGAGGTGACCTCTTTTGGTGGTGGTCCAGTCCGTGTCCAGCGATGTTCAGGGCGAGTCGTGGTGGAGTACTTTTTTTCGCTTAGAAACTGCCGCTGACCGCAAATCGACTGCAGATTAAGGATGGTGGGGTGGACGGAAAAGGGGGGCAACCCGGTCGGCTGGGGTCCGTCCAAATAAATAAAGGGAAAACAAAAAAGGGAAGAAAAAGACGGTGTCTGATGTTTCTTGTTGACGAGTACCCAGAACACAACCGCTTCGAGGTTGAGCCAGGTGAGTGAGGGAGGACGAAGGGCCAGCTCGCTACATATGTATAAGTCCCCCAATATCAAGTCCCTAGTAAGGTGCTAGGTCTAGTTGTTTGAGGAGCTGCAAGTCAACATCCAACTCGTGTGTGCGCTGCTGCAGGCGGGCTCAGCACAGGACCTTGAACTGGGCTGAATGGCCAGCGGAAGCGGGCGCCCAATGTTTAATCTAAATCTTGGTTTTCGGCTAACCAGGACCGGGACTGCTAGTCACTTGTACACTGGTGTGCGAGCGGCTGTCGAATGGGAGGGGGCACGGGCCATTTCCGTAGCAGGTCGGGCACCGCAGGGCTGAAGTAACCTGGCACTTGTCACAGATCTCGGAGATTACTGCTGGCGATAGTCGCGGATGGTCGTCGACCCCCGTTCGCTTCTCGTATTGCGGCTATCGCAATAACTGTATCTGGCGGTGGAAGTGTTGCCTCGTCTCCATCCTGCGTGCTCCCGTTTGGTTCGACAATGGGCAATTGCGCAGAGCGGCTGAGCGAGGGATGTGTGTGGTTTACATACCTCGAAGGATGGCGATGAGAAAAGGCTATGCCCTGCATTCCGTGTGTCTCTGGATCATTGGGTGTACCTGCTGGTAGCGCAAGTCTCCAAGTCTTGGAAAAGGCCTGCTAAGGGCAGTGCGAGACACTCAGCCAATCGCAGTACACGGTTGCGGGAGGCCATGCGTAATTTCTCCTTGAATCCAGATGGATACGCTCCTGGTCGCCCTAGCAAGGAATGCAGTGCCGATGCGACAAACGTCACATCGCCAACTATTTATTGTATCCAACAACTTGGCCAAGTTTTCTCGATTGGGTAGGTGGGGCTTTCATGCTTCCGTTCAGTCCAAGCTGAGTGTACACAGAACCAAACACTGGCCTCACTGCCCTCACACGCCTGCAACGCTGAGAATGCTGCGACGATGCGACGAATGCTGCCCGGGGTGGATTTCTGTGGTTTCCCATGGCAACACTCTCAAAGGTCCCGCGCTTATGGCCAGTCAGCATCGAGCTGGGGGCCTACCGAAGCGCGTCTCGAGCAACGGGCGCGCACTGCAGCAGATGAGGTGAGACAAGACCACACTAGCGACGGGACTGGGCAATGCATCAAGCCCCCACAGGCATCTTGAGGCATAATCGAACCTGGACGCCCCGAGCACGCGGCTCCGTTTGTTGTGCATTGTGCGATGTGCAGCGGCAAGGGAACAAGGGGGGCAGGGCATGAGCATGGGCATGAATGGTGGGCGGTTTGCAGTTGGACTTTTTTCTTCAGGTGGCTTTTGCAGCAGGCCGGCCTAGTCTGCAAGTCACGCGAGTCTTCCCTCTGCCTCCAACCCGCTCCGCATCTGCGACTCTGCGCCGTCTGCTGCGCAAGTGCGCCGTTGCTGACTTTGATTTTTTTTTCTTGTGTTGCATATTCGAGCACGCGGCATGATAGCTCGGACGAGACCGGGCCTGAGCTCCAATTCGAAACACAAACTGCAACCTAATCGGATCCTGTGTGCGCAGTGCAGCGCAGTGTGCATGCGGAGCCTGTCTCCCTTGATGCAGAATTTCTGGGTACTTGGTGTTTTCCGGTGTTTGATGTTTTGGCATTGGAACACATGGACAGCCTACGGATAGACAGACGCTTGGACGATATCGATCATTAGGGCTACCTCTATGTAAAGATACGTAACTTTTCTACTTCGCCCTGTTCTGGTAGCCAAGCAGTGTCTCTTGGCGCCAAGTCGCTGGCTATCCTGAAACCACTTTTTCTTTCAACGCTTTCGTCATAACCCCACGATGATTCACTGCATTGAGAAACTGATAGCACCAGTAAATCCAGCGCGCCCGAAAGGGGGCTTTTTTCTTCAGTCCGTTTTATATTGGCCCGTGCGGGGACTGATGCAGCGGTTGTGAAGAAAATCGCAGGTACTTGGGTTTGGTTGGCTTAGTTGCAAGATGCAGGTGGAAAAGATACGTATCTTTTGTTTGGTTACAATGTTCAAGTTCATTTTCGCTTGGACGGATGGAAGAAGAATAACGGAAGGCTAGAGACTGTTTCATCCCATCGTACTCGTTCGAGTTTCGATTCTGCGGGGGAGGTATTCCTTGTTTGCGTTGCGCGCTAGTATTTATCAATGGGCATGGCGGGATGGCCGGACGGATGTACGTAGGTTGCATGTACACTCGCATAAAACTCATTACCACAGCGATTACTTGCAGTGACCGGGCTGGCTGTACCTGCTTGGGTTTGAAGAAGCATCAAAGTATGTAGATACGGAGCAGGCCGAATCGTCTCGGAGCATCGCTCCAGAGAGAGCAAATCAGCGACAGGCACGGGCGGGATTCGTTTCTTGTTTGTCTATTTTCAAGGAAACTGGTTGTAGTGTGGTGCATGTATACAGTTGATCGACCTCCACGCGGCGGAACCCACACGTTCGGCTGACTTGCTTGACAGTCGAAGATTCTCCCGAGTTGAAAGACATTGCCCTAACACCGGGCTCCCTAGGAAGGTGACCCTTGCTCAGCATTTGATCCTGGTTGTGTTAGTGACTGTGGTCTCCAACTTCTCCAACCAAACAAGGGCAACCTACACTAACAACCACACATCAACTTGGCCGTTGCGTCAATCCTCTTGTTCCCAGAAAGATTAGCACCTTGCACCTTGCACCTTGCACTTCCCGATGCCATGGCCTCCATGTATGTACATAGTACACTATGCAGCAAGTGGTGCGCATTGTTCCTTGATTGACCGGAAGCTTAACGGGAGGAAAGCTACCTTTCCCTGAAAGTACCTCGACACTGTTTTGCGGGGAATATCAAAAAAGCCCCCTGTCAATCCCTTCAAGCCTCTGGCCGATTCTTGCTGCTTTGTTTAGTTGGAATTGGGTGGTTGGGGAGATCCCGCCCGCGTCCTGCGTCTCACAGACATTTTCAACAAGAGCTGAGAGGTGACTGAAGGGAGCCACTGAACAACAAAGCCACGCACAAGGGACGGGAACACTACTTACTATACACTGCAACCTCAAACTGACACAACCTGAGCCTCCCTGAGTCGACGTTCAGCAAGAGCCCGCCGCCCATAAGCTCACCAACTTGCGCCGAACCAAACCTACCTACCACAACCCTTGACCAGAACAGAGAGACGGCAAAGGGAACACTACTAGGTCAGACAGATACATCGACACGGCTGCCTGGGCGACAGACAATCCCATCATACTAGCCGGTGAGAGAATCGAATAGCGAGACAGTCCTTGTCGTCGGTTTCTCTCTGCCCGACCCGACTCCAACTCTCTCTCTTTCTCTCTCTCCCCTTCTGCACCTGAAGCGGATTCCCCATTTTTGCAGCTCCACCTCGGATGCCTCATACAGGCTTATAGCTCCAATTCGGTGTGGTCTGGATCCATCCCATCTTCAGCTGCGCCAGGTCTTTCTGTCTGTCTGTCTGTCTGTCTGTCTGTCCAAAGGTTTTTGCTTGGGTCCTGGTCCTTGGGCTGTAAGCGTTTGCTTTGCTTTGCTGTTTTCCGTCCGCTCGTTCGTCCGAACGCCTTCCTTGCTCCCAGGTTTGTTGCTTTTGCAAGTGGTGTGGGCCGACCGACATTTGTTGTTGACATAGCAACCAACCTGCACGGGAACTACCACAACCAAGCCTGCACCGCCCGTCCGCCGCCGCCGTGTGTACGTGCGGGCTCGAGTGCAGACGCCTTGGAGTTCCACCGCCCCTGACCTGCAACCCGACTGACAGACACCTGCCCGCCGCGACTCGACCAAGATATGGTTCCCGCACCACCACCAGTCCCGACGCGGTTCCCTTGTTGGGTTCGGGCTGTCTACTCGTGGGGAGGAGAGGTGCGTGCCTACTAGACAGATATACTGCAATTACCTTCCTGCGGTCCGTCTTGCCCAGCAATCGCGAGTGCCAATGCTGCTTCCCATCCGGCTCCAACATCCAAGCTGTGATAGCCTGACTGACCGATCCTCGTGTGCTTGCAGAACAAACGCGACCTCGGTTTCATCGAAGGCGACCTAATAGAATGTCTCAACGCTGGCGACGGCTCATGGTGGACGGGGAGGCTATGGCGCGACAGGAGGGCAATTGGCGTCTTCCCCTCCAACTTCGTCGAGCTGATGCCCGAAAACTTCAGGCCGACAAGCAGATCCACGAGCCCCATGGCTTCCAGCAACTCGCCCAGTCCCAGCGGCACCCCGCAAAAGTCGAGGACCTTTCGGAAACCCTTCGAGGCCTACTCAAAGGCCCCCCATTATACGACAGCAAAAGTCCCCGAGACCTACAAGGATGGCTCTGTAAGCCGACCCCCGCGCGCTGGCTCGATTCGACCACGATCACGAGGACCCATAGGGCACCCAGGAGGAAGAGAGGGCGGGCATGGCTACGGATATCCCCACGGCGGTCCTCATCCGCCTAGCCATGGAGGGAGGGCACCGTCACCGGCACCATTCAGAGCTGCGTCGCCGAATCCCTACCGAGCACCCTCTCCGGCTCCGTATCCGGTACCGATACCGCCGCCTCTAGCCGGGTCACCAGCACCGACAGGACCCTTCCGGGCAGCATCACCGTCGCCGTACAGGGAAGCATCGCCAGCAC